AAAAATACAACCAGTTCCCGTGTCGCTTCGGACCATTCGTCCTACGACATGATGGGAACCGGAGGAATCGTAAAGCATGCGACTCACCGATCGCTGACTTGCATCACTGCGATCGTTTCACCAGTAAGTCATCTGAGACTGCACATCTGATTGACTGGCTGCTTGGTTGATTGACTGCTTGGCTGCTTGATTGATTGATTGGCTGCTTGGCTACTTGGTTGATTGGCTGCTTTCGTCAGATTTGGATTTGGCGGTTTGTCCGTGAAGTTGGTGTGGCTTCCTGTAATCATAACAGGAACACAACGATTAATTAACTGTGTTTAACAATTTGTATTTTGATTGACATGCAGAAATAAGTACAATAACTACATTCGGTTATAAATTTGCAAACGTTTGTCAATACGTGTAACATCGTAAAATATTGTAAAATATTCGAAAATGCATGTCAACAAATGTATGTAGAAACACTTGGGTAATTACTTTAGAGAGCATGGTAAACGTTTGCAAAAATATAACGAAACACATAGGCAACTACAGTTGAAACACCAGTAACAGTTTGTCAAAACATTTAAATAACCACTACATAAAGTACACTAAAGCACCAGTAACAATATGCCAATACACTTAAATAATCATTGCATAAAGTACACTAAAGCACCAGTAACAATAAGCCAATACACTTCAATAACTGTTACATAAAGTGCACTAATAACCACTAACAGTTTGTAAAAACACTTAAATAACCACTCCATAAAATGCAATAAAACAGTAAAAAATTAATAAAACATTTAAATAACCGCACCATAAAACGCACTATTAAATCCGTATACACATGCACAATCAATTAAGGAAACACACTAGTAAAGTCACTGATACTTGTAGAACCACTCCATAAAACTTGTTAATACACCCACATATTTAATAAAAAATATTTATTAAAGCACACTAAACACTAGTAGTAGTACACTAGGTACACTAATAAATCCGTATACACATGCACAATCACTTAAGGAAACACACCGGTAAAGTCACTGACACTTGTAGAATCACACCATAAAATTTGTTAATACACCCCCATAATTAATAAAAAAATATTAAATAATGCACACTAAACACTAGTAGTAACACACTAGGTACACTAATATATCCGTATATGTATGCAGGTAACACACCATTAAAGTCACTGACACTTGTAGAATTACACCATAAAATTTATTAATACACCCCCATATTTATTAAAAAATATTTATTAAAGCACACTAAACACTTGTTAAAGCACATTAGGTAACGTTGGGACAAGCACAGTATCAATTAAGTAAACCCTTGACTCGTACCGGTAAGTGTTGACAGCAGTCATCTGACCTCCGAGACTTCCAAAATACAACTGCGAGGATTTGACCTCCCGCTACCGTGAAAGTTATTGGTTGTTAACAACAGCCAATTAGACATCGTATAATCGACCAATAGACCATATTCGACCTTTTCGAGTATAATGAGTGATTGGTAGTTACAGTGGCCAATTAGACATCATGTAATCCACCAATAGGGTGCAACCATTATGATTGAAGGTTTTATAATTATTCTAACATGAATTTTTGTATAATTTTATATTTTTCGATTGTTTATTAACAAATTTATTATTGCTATTGTTTAAATTTATTATTTTTTTTAACTCACTTTTGCAGATATATTGCAAAATTATTGTTAATAAATATATTACGATATATTTTATTTGTGCGAACTATTTTGAACGCATAATAGTTTCGTATTTTTCGAACGTTTTACGTGCGGTTTTTTTAAAAGTGACGTCATCAGCGAAAATAGAACAAACGCCATCTCTCCGGCGAACAGGGTGAACTACACGGTTTTGAAACAGCAGTTTCGTTAGTTTTCCAAACTGCCACTAGACGGCGCCACGTGAAAATGAAACAAACGCCATCTCTCCGGCGAACAGGGTGAACTACACGGTTTTGAAACAGCAATTTCATTAGTTATCCAAACTGCCACTGGACGGCGCCATGTGTATTGTTTTCCGTTAAATTAAATTTCCGGTAGTTATATATATGGTAGACAAAAATATGTGAATAAAGAGAACTGAGCAAATATGCTAAATAAAAGATCATTGGATACATATACTGGGTGTCCACAATATACTGAATATGATTAGGCGTTACTGTTTGTTACTAAGCGTGCTTGAATTATTCAGAGCTGACATGCGCAGAATAAACGAAAACTGATCATCTAACAAGTATAATCTCAAAATGAATATTATACGATTTTATTATTAATTCTATTTTTTTACAGTTTTTAGATATAATTTAAATTAATGCATTTTTATTTTATTCAATTATCTAGGCTAAATGTAAATAAAAGAGAATATTTAAGATAAATTTACAAGGAATGTAACTTTAAGTATAATTCACAAAGTATACATCCATCAACGAATCTTACAAGTAGAATATTAATCGTACTTTCTTGGTTTCCTTGTATTACATGTATATATAAATGTAAGACAAGTAGTTTGTTTGAAATTGTGGATATGGCTATGTCAAGTATTTTGTTGATACGAAAAGGTTTTTCAATCAATGGTAAGTAAGTTTTCTTATAGGCATAACATATGCCACTCGCAATTTGTACGCACATTATTTTGATCTGGACATTTATTGCTTAAAATTTGTGACTTAATTATCAAATACATAAAAAGAATATTACAAATCGTATAGTACATGCAATAACTGTGTTTCATTGTGCAATTTGTATATTATATGTTTTGTGCCTGTGATCAGGACACAATTTTGTTAATGCATTAAAATAGGCAAAACAATAATATTCTTAAATGTATGTACAATCTCGTAATCCATTGTACATTACAATTTCTTTTTAAAAGTATATAATAATTGTGTTATCATTTGTCATAAATTTATGGAAATAATATAATATATTTAATACATTGGAGGGGAAGGTTATGTTATTGTTGTGTGTTTTGAAAATGATGAGCAAGGAAAATTTTTGTCAAGAAAATTATTAACAATTTAATATTTATGTGATAAATAAATTTATTAAAAAATGTCAGAGCCTAAGGAAAATGTAAAAGAGAAATTTATCAATGACTTAACTAATTATTTAAAAGAAAACAAACTTCAAGAAGCTTTAAACCACTTTAAGGATGATCGTTTTGAAAATGTTATTCAAGAATACTCATGGGATATTGTACCAATTATATCATCTTATCTTACGCTTGAAAATACAAAGAATAATACAGAATTAATTGAATGTTGCACTGCATTATTAAACTTTCTAGTAGAAAAATGTAATCCTTCTGAGACAGTATTAGAACTGTTGGAACAAATTGAAGGTCCAGAGGATGATGTAAAATTTTGTATAATTTTAAAGGTACTTAATAGATGCCTTTATAAAATGAATAATAAAATGAAAGCTATAGAGTGGTGTATCAGTACATTAAGGTCTTATGTTGATGGTTTACCAATACCAGATAAAGAATCTGAAAACAACATCACCAATATAAATAAAATACAAAGTGTTTATGATGCAATTATATCATTTTTGGAACCATTAGTAGAGGAAGCAAGATTGGATAATTCAGAAGAACATACCATGTTAAGAGATTATCTTACAAGTCTGTTAATCTTTTTAATGGGAAAACCATTGTGTTTTCTTTCAGAAAAAGAATTAAAATTACATTTGCAACAATCCTTACCAGAAAGAATTATAATTCTTGCAAGTCATATGAATGGAGATTTACTTTGGTATCTGAATGTTATAAATTTAAGAAGTAAAAGGACCAGTTTTAAAAGAAAACATGTAGAAGAAGAATGTTCTAATCTTAAAGTAACATTGTTTGAGTTAGATGAAAATATATCAGATTTAGCATATGCCAATTTTTATTTTTATATTGTGACAAAATCACATTTATGGGAAAAGGTACCACAAATATATGATTTGCAATATATTTTTCAAGCATGTTTATATCTTGTTATTAAACTTCTTGAAGAACCAGAAACTGTTACAAAAGGTTTATATCTGATGGACGAATTTTTGAAAAGATTGACAAAACGCTCTCTAACATCACAATTATTGGAACTTAATATTTATTCACGGCTGTTTGATGTAATCGTGAAAGTTATGATTTATTGTAATATTGATAAAGAAAGAAAGAAAGCTTTAAACATATTTCAAGAATACATTGAAATGTTTGACATGGAAGCCAGATATTTAATTGTTTTTCGTTTATACCAAACTAGTGAACACTCTGGTTTACTTAGTTTAACTACTGGAATATTCAAAGCTTCTGTTATTGAATGCCTTCAAGCAACTCCACCTATTTCACATTTTCTTGGTAGTAATTTAGAATCTTTGATTAGATTGGCTTGTAAATTACCACATGGAAGTGCATCAGACTTAGTAGAGTTATCTGATGAGATAATTACTAGTTTAAATCTTTTAAGATTTTTATTTATTAGAGATAATCACAATCAAACTGGAATTTGGAATCTAGTAGATAAATTAGAAAAAGATTACTTGAAACCACTCAGAGAAGGTATAAATTTGTGTAGAGCACATTGGAAAGTAAAGATAAAGGATTTAGAAGATCAAAAGAAAAATAATAAAGTAAATGGAAATATAGAATTAGAGAAAAATGATGCAGAAGTAACATTAACTGTAGGAGGTGAAAAATTACCAGCAATGCCAATTTCAAAGAAACTTTCATTCTGTTATCAAGCAGTGAATGGACTTGATGTGATGGAAAGCATTTTAATTAGAGTTAATGAATGTATTCTTAATAACCCTTTTAAACAACATAGTAATAAGGATTTAATTTCAGAATAATATCATTCTATGTTGATATGTATTTAAAACATGTACATTATCTGCTGTTGAATAAAATATTTTTATTATTTACAGTTAATTTATTTCAAGTGTACCCCATAATTCACATGTTTTATTTTATAAATATACTAATGATTATGGTAAAAGTAAATGTATATTATTTATGAAATAAAAAAATTAATTTTAATTTTATTAGGTTTTAGAAGTTTATGGACTTGTAGGACATTACTCACTAATCAGACTGAAGATGGCAATACGCAACAAACAAATCAGCAATGTACCAAGGAAAGTGAGGAAGAATATGAAAAAAATATCAAATCAAAAATTCTTGCTGCATCTTTAAAGTATGTTCATGATCTAGGATGGAGTCAGCAAGCTATTAGTGCTGGTAATTTATAACATTTTTTCAGTTAAGTTGATGAGGTAGAAACAATTGTTTGTATGAGTAAATAAATATATTTCAAATTCGATATATTTATTAACTGTTTTTAATTTTAGTTTTGAGGCATAATAATTTTATGTTATTTACATATAATACAAACAATTAATAAATGTATATAATGAAAAGTTGTGTACTAAAGGTGCAGAATCTATTGGATATCCTGGGGTGATTCATGGATTATTTCCCAATAAAGGGGCAGATCTGGTCCAATACTTTTATTTAACATGTAATACAGAGTTAAATAAGATCCTTATGAAACAAACAGATGCTACAGAAGAAAATAATACCAAAGAAAAAAAGACATTAGAATCACAAGTTCGCGATGCTGTTGAAATAAGGCTTAGAATGGTGATTCCATACAAAAAAACATGGCCCCAAGCTTTAGCTCTTATGGCACTTCCACCTAATGCACCAATGTCATTAGCTAATTTACTTACTTTAGTAGATGACATTTGTTATTATGCCGGTGATAGATCGGTCGATGTAAGAAAATTTTTTAATATTATTTTCTCTGTGTGATTTAAGATGTTTTGTATTAACATTTTATGATTAGACCAACTGGTACACTAGAAGAATAGTATTAGCAGGCATCTATAAAACCACAGAACTATATATGCTGCAAGATAACAGTGTAGATCATAAACAGACTTGGAACTTCTTAGAAAATCGTATAAAAGATGCAGCACAAATTCATGCATTTTTTACAACTTCTGATATGGCCCTACCAGATCAAGCTTTGAATCGTATTACTGAAACAGCAAGCGCTGCGTTTATTACAGTAAGTTTTAGTTAAATCTAATATTATTTAATAGAAAAATATTGTAAAATAATCGCATTAATACATTTTTATTTAATGTCGTTTTTAACAGGCACGTAATATACTCGGACTGAACTGGAATAGATAAAGTAAATTTCAAGTAGAAGAAAACAAATGTCGACCACTTATAGAAACGATACTTCAAATATTTTCTTTTTTTATTAATTTAGTGTAAATGAAGATACATTTAAAAGACTATGTATATAGTTTCAATTATACAGTGGGAATATTAACAAGAAAGAAACATTTAAGTTAAATTAACAATCATATCTAATTTATTTTAATATCATAGTTTAACAAATTCTGTACATTTGAAGTCGAACTCAATAAATATGAGCAATTTTTGTGCAAGATATAAAGGTATAAATTGTTACAAAGTATAGATCTAATAATATTTAACAATTACCCTGCAATACTACAGTAATTAAGGCAGTATGATCCTTTATTTTTTTAATAAAATTTTATTCCCATTACAACAAGGGAAGATCAACTTGTATCTTTACCATTCAATTGAGCAGAAGATTGTTTTATTCTAAACAATGTATTTACACAGCCAAGTACTTCACAGGTTGATTAAACTTCTGATTATGTTCAAGAATATAACATATTTTATAATGAAACAATTCATGCAAGTTAAAATTATTTTAACTATCACTCTTACAAGTCTCATTATTAGTATAAATAAAACAGACATAGCTATATCAATCAACTTTTATAAAAATGAAAACATCTACAAGATTCAATTCAACAACAAGTATTTCAGCTTTTATCAAATAAAAATGTTTGTATCTAATCTGTTCTTTGTTTTCAGAATAAAATTTTTGTGCAATAACTATTTTTAAACAGTTTAAAAATTTAGATCTATAAAAATTCATATCAATGATATAGTACATTCCATATCATAATGGATGTTTATACCTGCAATTTTTTTTTTTCTGTTAATAATGTGCTTCCTCAATATAGCCTTTAATATTTTTTGGTAAAGGTAGCTTATGAATATTATCCAATCTAGTATTTTGACGTATAACAAACCGACAAAGATACTGCAAACTTCTAACTTGATTAAACCTGCTCACTGGTTTTGTTAATCTGACTGGGAAAGATGGATGACCAGGATATTTAGGTCGTGAATAACAAAATACTGCTGATTGACTAAAATTCATTGTATAGTTAATTAAATCAGCTACTGAACTAAATCCTTCGCTTTCACTTTGGTTACATAAAGAAAATAGACCACCACTATGTTCCATACGAGCATGGAGCAGTTTTCCAGATGATTTAAAACTAAGTGTCAGGACGTATCTACATACAAACAAGTATTAAAAGCATTGTATATATTAAAAACTATTATTATTTAAGAAGTACTTTTAATAGAACTACAAACCTGTCATCTGAAGAGTCCCTGACTAAGAATGCACCATCTGGTTCTGACATAAGTTTGGCATCAGCTTCAGTTCCTGATATTGGTCCCCAATACCATCCATAATTACTTAATTTAAGCAGCTCTGCTGCAAGACTTGCCTTTGCTTTGTCATTTATACTAGATTCCGCACTTTCTTTAATATCTTCAATTCGATGTTGCTCTGCAATATTTTCTCTCACATCAGACCTTGTCAGTACTGTTTTGTTATTGGGACACAGATAATGCGTATTAGAAATGATTTCATCATTATTATCTGTTTGAAAGTTAACAACTCGTGTATTTACTGCTTCTGATTCTCTTTCAGAATCAGAATATCTTTCTAATGTTTCATTTAGGTTTTCTAAACTACATTCATTTTGTGATACATCCGTAGCACTTAAAGTTTCATTGCTATTTAAAATATCAGAATGTTTTGTAGTATCTTCACATTTAATTTCAGACTCTGTGTTCTCTTCCATAGAAATTGTATATTGGTTTCTTTGAAGTACTAATGAATCACAGACTGTATCATTCTGCAGGCTAGATGATTCTTTAATCTGAAAAAATTCCCTTTAAATACAAAACATTGCTAATGTTTTATATACTTACTTTTTGTTTTGAATCACGTATTGTCAACTTTTTACTCTGCATATATTTTTTAATATCCTTGAAAAAATTAAATGACCTTTTATTAGGAAGAACATTTTTTGTCTTGCCTTCAATAACTTTTACTTCTATCGAATCTTCTTTTTTTTTCTGGTTGCTGTCCTTTTTCAGTATGTTTTCGCGTCGTGAATCACGCTTCCAAAGAAAATCAAATGTTTTCACACCCACTTTTCGAGATTTTGAATCTTGATTAGGCGTTTTTTCCGCACTAGTATGTGCGGTTGTAATTGTTTCTTCCGACATTTGATTTATCATTTTCAAATGTCGTGCGATCCTTCAAACTAACTCTGAATCAAAGAAAGCGTTCGCTTCTACTACCTGACTGTCTTATCAAAAATTACTTCACACGCCATCTATTCTTTATCTTCTTTTCTCAGAACAATTACAGTTTTTTCCATTGAATTATTATGTTTTCATTCCTTCTGTCGCTTTATAATCACTTATTTGGATATTTTTATGTCGAGTGGTGTTGACTAATCGCAGCAAATGCTTCTACGTATACTTTTGTAAATTTGTTCAAAATTATTCCCTACTGGGACCCAAAATATTTTCTACCAATTTCAGACACAAAGTTCCTACTATGTTCATTATCATTGGCTCGTACTCCTATTACCAATAGGCGTATTGTGCGAGTATTATAGTGGGTGATAGAGACCTTTTTCTCTTGGTTGCCATTTTCCCCAAGGAGGTGCAATTGCATTTGAAAGAGTAATACGACTAACTTCAAGAAGTAAAGCCATGTGCGAATCTTGCGGCGCGTCACAATAAGGAATATCAACATTTTTCTATGTTCTTTAAAATATTTTTAATGATGTTCTGTTGAAATTAAGTGAATATAAAGTGCTTGTAATTCACCATGAAGAATAAACCAATCCGTCATAAAGAAACAAATACTTTTCAGGTATGTAACGTGAGCATATAAATTTCTTTTCTGTTGATTTTACGTTAAATAACTTTTTCTGCTATAGTTTAAACCATTTTCTGAAAGAATCAATGAAGTTGACGTTGATGTATTTCATCGCGTTGCCCACCGGAATGAAGAAAATGACGAAGTTGAAACATATTTTCACGAAACTCTACAAAAATGGAACTTCCTTAACCTCACAGAAGGTTATTGCAGTTTCAAAAAAGAAGTTCGTGATGTTGTTACGCTTACCCAGTTGATTAATCAGAAAGAATTTGTGGTTAATAAATTGATAGAATATTTAAAAAAGAAAGATATCTCTTTCTTACAGCCAATTTTAGAGTAAGTATTGGATTAAAAATTTTGTGTAACATAGATTAAAATGATTTCTTAATGACTATATTTTTCACTATAGATTGGTGGTAGCTGTGTCAAAAGATTTGCAGAAAGAATTTTATGAATATTTTCCTAAATTTTTAACTGTTATGATTGATTTATTACATACAAAAGATACAGATCAAATAGAATATACATTTACATCATTGGCTTACTTATTTAAGTTTTTATGGAGGTACTTGATAAAGAATGTAAAAACAGTGTTTGATTTCTTGTTACCATTATTGGAAGATACACAGCCAGCTTATATAAATAATTTTGCAGCTGAAAGTTTTGCATTTGTGGTACGCAAGATTAAAGATAAAGAATCTTTCTTGAAGTTGGTACTACAAATATTGGAAGATAATCCTACTGTAATACCAGGATGTGGAAAGTTATTATTTGAGGTAGTACATGGTTTGCCAAGACAATTTCACTCATGTGCAGAGCAGATGCTGATGTTATACTTCAGTGCATTAAATAATGAAGCTGTCAGTCAGCACTTGGCATTCAAAGTACTAAAAGAAATTATTAGTTGCATCTTGCAACACATCCATCCACAGAAATGTAATGTATTCTGGTCGGTGATTTTAAGTAATATAGATATTACTATTGAAAATAGTAAATGTTTCCAATCAACAAATGAAAGAGAGAAGAGTTTAATACTTCTAATGCAGTTATTGCATACAGTGGTAATTTACAAAGATGGAAGATTAGTTACAGATCCTGTACCTTTGATGAAGCAGCTTGTAAAGGCTTTAAGAACTTTTGAAAATGAAAATGATGTATTAGAAAAAATTACAAAAGTAGCAGTAGCAATACTTTTGGCCACGAATGTTAAATTAATGCAAGAAACATCTAGTCAAATAATACTTCAACTTATGTGCATACAAGATATTAAATTATTGTATGATGTTGTCAATAATTTAATGAATCATTCATCATTTGAAACTTTGATATTACCGCACATAATACGATACAGCATTTCTACTAGTTTTAATAATGATACCTTGGCACTGCTTACTGATGTCATAAAAACTAAAGCTCCACTATGCATTAATGGCATGAATTTGAGCAAATGGACAAAGTATAAATTAGATATACGAGGTGCTACATCTGATATTATCAATTATCTTCTTAAAGAGTTAGAAAGTTTATCAAATGATGATATACCAATGAATGCATTAAGAATGTTAATCATTTTACCACATTTGGAGCCTTTATCAGAAGCATTCGAAGATGCATTAAAGAAAGGAGTATTGTCTCTATATAAACGAATACTAAATCATAATGGGACAGAAACTGATCTAACTAAATTGTGTCTACCATTTTTAATAGCTTTGGAGTCAGCAGTTCATCTTCTAGAACCTGAAATTTTATACAACTTTATGGACACAAATGACATTAAAATATTAGATCTTGTCACTAAATATCCTGATAACAAAATCATTCTGAATGCAACAGATTTATGTATTACATATTTTAGTACAACGCAATACCGAGAGATGTATGTGAATCAAACTGTTTTTGATAACTTGAATGATAACATTGCATCAAACTTAAGTTCCCCATTCAGAGAAGTCCGTTTAATTGTGACTCATTTGTATTCTTTGTTTTCTAATGTTGAAGAAATTATGTTATCTGTCTCCAGTGAAAATAAAGAGACAACTGCTATGGAACATATGTATTTAGCAGAATGTGAACCTATAACAGTACAAAGTTATAGGGATAAGCTACTACATTTGCAAGCATTATCATTTGAAAATAAGGTAGCGTTAAATTTCGATCCTAAGTATTATAAATTTCCACTACAATATTTATTAGGCAATTTGTACATAAATTTTTCTTTGTTATGGGAACCTGTAAGTAAAATTATAGCAACATATGCAGATAAAAATTGTGAACAGTTTTGGCCAATATTCTTAGCTGAACTAAAACATGAACATCAAGCACTTACAGATTATAAACCAGTATTTGAGTGCAAAACTATTTCCGAAATAGAAATTGCAATACAAAAAAGTAATGACAAACCTGATTATGCAAATCATAAAGTTTTGTTGTGGAAATGTATGATAAACTTCTCACATTTTTGTGAAATGAAGAATAGAGATATTACAGGATTGTTTATTGATTTTGTAAATGACAATTTTTTTAAGTCAAATTCTGAAGATGGCAAATGTTGTAGTATTTTGAAGAAGGAAGAATTAAATTCTTCCAATAATAATATGGAAATTGACGAACAAAGTGAAAGTGATAATGAATTAGATGAAAATGAAGAAAATAAGGAGGAAGCAAAAGAATCTGCACCACCTTCTAAAGAACCTAAACAAACATCAACATTTATAAGCAAAAATTATAAGACAAAGCTTCTCATTGCTCAACTGGAGATATTTGGAAAGGTAGCAAACCCAAGAACATTATACAGAGAACCAGAGATGCATAGAATTTATTTGGATTTACTGTCATCAAAAAATGCTGATATTCAAAAAGCTGCTTTAAATTGTCTTCTTACCTATAAATACAAATATCTGTTACCGTACAAGGATAATTTATATAATTTAATTAGTGAACAGAATTTGAGGAATGAAGTTACATACTTTAAAGTTGATCAAGAAAGTAGCATGATACAAAGTGAGCATCGTGATGAATTCATACCTATATTAATGAGAATAATTTATGCGAAAATGGCTTTAAAGACAGGAATGAGAACTGGCGGTAAACTTGGTGGACTTAATAGACGAAAATTGATTTTACGTTTCCTAGCCGGTGTTCAAGAAAATGAAATGATAATATTTATACAAATGGCATTTAAGCCTTTCAGGCCATACATGTCATTTGAAGTGGATGAAAAAATTGATTTGAACCAGCTTACACAGAATATCATTGATACCATTGATTTAAACAATGTTATTCCACCCAAACGATTACAGAGTGCTGTAAATTTACTTACAATACTGATAGAACAATTTGGTAGCAAAATGAATAAAAAATTGTTGCCTTGTTTACTTGGTTTGGTATTATGTATCTTAGCACAAGTTACTGGAATTTTACAACAGAGGGATAAAGTGTTTGTTGGTTATTTACAAGCTGTTAGAAATGTACGAAATAGTTGTATTTTAATACTAGCAAGATTCTTCAATCATTTTGAAGATTATGAATGGAGGGAACACGAAATAGATGCTTTATTCAACGTGGCTGTATTTCCATGGTTGCAAAAATTACCTATGGAAGGTATTTATAGTCCAACACCTTTACTGAAGCTATTTATGGCATGGGGGCAAAATTCCCGTTTTTACCCACTGTTTATAAAACATCAAAAAGATGATAAGACTCTAAGTCCCCTTCCATACATCATGCAGCTTCTTTTGGGACCAAACACTCATGCATCTGTAGTTAACGCTATTCTCGACGTGATTGAAAAAATGGTAACACTTCAAGATTATGGAAGAACAAATGAAAATGACATGGAAACTGATACACCTCTTGTTCCTTTGACACCTGTACTTACCAATTTGCTGGAAGTAAACGAGGAAGCCTTGTCCAGTGGAACTAATTATGGATCTACTATACTTCTTCCTCATGTTTTTAGTATTTTGGAATATATTAAAAATAAGCTTGACAAGTCAAACAAAAAAATAAATAAGACAGAATTGATCATCTTATCACGCATTTCAGAATTTGTAAAAGATCCGAGTGCATGTGATATACTTGTTACTCTTACTTTACCAATATTGATTAAAAAAGCAGCTGCTGGGGGAGAGGAAACGGCTTTGGAATTAATTGCAACTGTTAAAAATCTTATAAAACATGTTAAGCAACCAACCATTCATTTGCGTGCAATCTTACCCTTATTAGGCATAGTATCAGCAACTCCTGCAAGGAAACTGCTATTGGAACTATATGGGACAATTGTAGAAAGATCAACTGATGATTGCCGTGAGACACTCATAAGAAATTATAATTTAATAAGCGCACTTAACGCGTGGGATCGTAAATGGGTCGACCAACCAGATTTTCAAAAAAGACTGGATGCATTTTCTGAAATTAATAATGCAATAGAAAAGAATGAGATCACATTGGAGTTTGGTGTAGCTATTATACATAATTGTTATTATTTTCTAAAAACTGAAGCAGATTTAGCCTTAAGGGATTATTCAGGACAATGTCTTAAACTTCTTGGTTCAAAATTGGCGAAAGAGCACAAGGAAAATATACCAAACAGACGTTACTTAATAGATGATACAATTTTAGTACTTTTAAAAAGTGGAATAACTAGCAAAAATGAAGTTGTGCGACTTCAGTCAATCGCTTTCTTAGGCCATATGGCTATAGAATGTCCTGACGTGCATCCTGTTTTCCGGGATTTGGCACTACTAGCTAATAAGCAGGATCCTGAAGTGGATTTCTTTGAAAATATGCAACATTTGCAGTTACACAGAAGAGGTCGAGCGTTGCTCAAATTTTGTAGTGTAGCAAAGACAATGAAAAAGAAGTTCAATCCAAGAACTTTAACGCAATTCATTCTACCTTTTGCTTCCATGTATTTGTGCAATGAAAGCTACATACATAAAAATAGTATCATTGATGCTGCAATAGAAACAGTTGGAACTGTGTGTAGACTTTTACCATGGTATCAGTATGAAATTATATTAAAACACTATTTGGACAAACTAAAAACTTCTGTTATTTTTCAAAGGCAAGTTGTTAGGGTAGTCGTTATTATATTAGATTCCTTTCATTTTAATTTATCAAAATATAAACATACAGAAGGTTCCTCTGAAATAAAAGGTATCGAACAATCTGTAAATAATGAAATATCTGCTGAGAAAAAAGAAGAAAATGTGGAGAATGATGATGAAATTGTAAACCAAGATATTGAAGGAAAATTAGAGGAAACTTTAAAATCTAAAGGGTTGGATGATCCTGAAGAAACTGTGGAGAAAGATCAAGTGGAGGATGTGCCTGTAATAGAGAAACAAATAGTACTTTCAGCACATGGAGCCCAAAAGGTTATAACTACTATATCCAAAGACTTGTTGCCCCAACTTCATCGGTCCATCATAGCAAAAACAAGTGGTGAAAGTAGTCATAAAGTCAATAAGAAAAACGTTGCAGCAAAAAATGAGGATGAAGAATTAATGCGAGTTCCCATTGCACTTGCTATGGTTAAATTGTTACAGAAACTACCTGAAAGCATTTTAGATATCAATTTACCAGGGTAAGTATACATATACACTTTCGCATAATGTATATTTTAAACTAATCTAACAAATTGTTTCAGAATCTTCATGAAATTATGTACATTTTTAAAATCGCGTTTGGAATCGGTGAGACGCGTTACACGGGACACATTACAAAAAGTTATGATAACTCTAGGTCCAAAATATCTTTCTTATCTATTAAGAGAAATGAACACATTATTGACAAAAGGTTTTCAAGTTCACGTTCTTGCATTCACAGTGCAATCAGTATTGGTTGCTTTGAAACCATATTTCCAGAAATTTGATATCAATCAGAATCTTCAGAGCATTTTATCCGTGAGTAACATTGCATTTTAAGATCATAATTTTAAATTCAATGTATTAATAATATATTTTAATACTCTAGGTATGTAAAGTAGATTTGTTTGGTTTAACCGGAGAAGAGAAAGAAGTACTAGGAATCGTGAAAACTGTTACAGAAGCAAAATCAACAAAAAGCTATGATATTTTCCACATATTAGCGCAATATATCACAGAATCTTGTTTAGTGGACTTAATTTTGCCATTGAAAGAGGTGCTTGTAAGAACGCATTCGCATAAAACATTGCAGAAAATAGTGGAATGCTTAAGGAATGTTGTATTGGGTTTAGCTGATAATACTTTTATACCATTAGAGCAAATGCTGATATTTCTTTATGGTATCGTTTCTGAAAGTATTCCCGAATTCTTGCCTGAGAAGAAGGATAAAGAAATTACAGAGAAGGAAGCAGAGGCATTGGCTAGGCAAAAACCAGATTGTTTCCTTATACCACCTGAACCAAAAAACAAGATGGGTATAAAAGTTACATCTAAAATCACAAAAAACACCAATGTCCATGTTATTATAGAATTCGGTTTAAAGCTTCTCCATATTTTATTGAAAAGAGAAAAAGTGGGCAAAGAATTAGATTGTTTCCTAGATCCATTTGTACCGCTCATAAGTGATTGCTTGAAGTCTCAACATGTCAAAGTAAGTTCATTTTATTGCTATTATAAGTTAATACAATGAACTATTCAATGTATACTAAATTACATATAATTTCTGTCCAGTTAAGCACTTTAGGTTTACAGTGTTTAAATTGGTTACTTAAGAAAGATTTATCTTCAATAAAAGACACAATCTCGGACATTTGTACATCTATTTTCGACATACTACACAAATATGCTGCAGAAGGTTTGAGTAAGGGAGATAACTTTGATCTTGTAATGGCTGGATTCAAATGTATGTCCGTACTTGTTCGTGATGTGAAACATCACACAATTAACGAAGATCAGTTAAAAGCTTTGATCATCTACGCTGAACAAGATATGTACGACAGTGATAGACATGCGACTGCATTTAGTTTGCTCAAAGCGATAATCTCCCGGAAAATGATTATTCCTGAAATGCATCAAGTAATGGAAAAGGTTGCTACTTTAAGTATTACATCAGAGTTAGAACACATTAGGCAACAATCCCGGGCCGTCTTTTATTCATATTTGATGGAATACCCTCTTGGTAAATTACTAAATAAACATATACTGTTTTATCTAACACAATTGAGCTATGAAATGCGACCAGGTCGACTGAGTGCCTTAGAAATGATTCATAACATTGTTACCGGCTTCCCTTTGGTAAGTACATTCACATTTTTATGTAAGTTTCGCACTCAGGAGTCTTTGCTTTAGAATGTGTATTAATAAACACTTTTTACAATTATAATTTTAGAGAACCTTGCTTATGAAGTCAGACATGATATTCATAATGGCAGGTGCAAGACTGATAAACGACGATGATCCGACATGTCGCAAATTATGTGCCAAATGTATTAAAGAAATGATCTCTCGTTTCCGTTACAATAAAAGGAGCAAACTTTTTGATATAGTCATGGAATGGTTAAAGGATACTAAAGTAATTATATCTTAAATGCATGTTATTAAGTGATTGCAACATTTTTTCATTATACCTTTTTTCTAGATAATGCATCGTACATTGGCTGCTCAACTATGCGGTATATTTGTGACAGTGGAGAAAGATACTTTCGAGTCTCGTCTAAAAGAATTATTACCCTATCTTTTAAAACAATTCCACGCAAATATGGACGATGATAAACCTGGCCGTTTTGTAAAATTACGTACAGAGAAAGAAACCAAATTACAAATGAATCGTAATATTAAGGATCCGGAAAGAATGAAAGATCATCATATGTTCCAAGTTTTACAGTTATTGTTAAAAATATCAGCAAATTGTAGTACATTCCTTAAGAAGGACGAGTACCAAGATGCTGTTCGCTCAATTGCTGGTATGTCCCGTGTGTTACTATATTATTTCATAATTTATTTAATACTAGCATAACTTTTTGTATGTTTTAGAATACAGTCAGTCTCTATTGGCCCATCCTCATATATGGGTTCGCTTAGCAGCATCTCAGTTGATCGGTTTCATCTTGGCTACCCTTAATGTCGATAAGATTATAGACTTCGTGGAAAATCCTGAAAAGTGTGAAGAGGAAAGTCGTTACATGTATTCTGATCCTATTGCTACTATCAGAAGTTTGTCTTTAGACTTGATTGCACAATTGCAACCCGATATGGCGTTGGAGGAGTTAGCGGATCAAACTGTTAAGAATTTGATATTCATTGCAAAAATCTTAAAATCTATAAAATCAGTTAATATTGCAACAGAAGACGAAGATGGCAAAACAACAGATACAGATAGGAACCAGTTATCACTTCCTTGGCTTGTTAGACGATTGAGGAAGTCTGTAAATATAGAAATAACTAAAGCCCCTAATTCCACAACAGTGGTATGTAAGAACAATAATGTTAGTACTGACTTTTTCAAGAATAAAATATTAACATTTATTTATTTTCCAGAGGACTGCTTTCTTCAAATGGGTTGCTGGATTAGTGGCCACTGTACCTATGGAATATTTAAATGTGGTGCTGTTTAATATTATGTCACCAATTGTACGCGAAATGTCCACAATAGACGAAAAGAATACTAGTTTAAGACGACTGGCAAAAGAAGCTGCTACAATGATTAAGAAGCGTTTGGGTAATGAAGAATATATTGGGTTATTGAGTAGAGTACAACAGCGGTTAGACATTAAGAAAACAGAGAGAAGAAAAACACGTACGCAACAGGTAGGTGTTTGATTCTATTTAAGGTATCTGTTTCAGTAGCTGACATCTTCACTGTTTGGGATTCTTTTATTACAGTTTGTCACGGACCCAGAATTGGCTGCTAAACGTAAAATTGCAAGGCAGCAAAAGAAGAAAGAAGCTAGGAAAAGGAAATTGGATACCATGAGGGGGAAGAAAGGAACGAAAAAGCGACCTAAGAAAGAAATAGATTTGGACGTTATGTAACCATTTTGTATAAGTAAATTTCTAAAAGAGTAAAAGTTATAATGTTTACGACCTATTTAAATAGTAATCTAATCTGTAATATGCATGTATTATTGTTTTCTATTATAATGAAATATTTAAAAAAATTATATATTTATTTATGTATATATTATGCACATACATACAGATATATTTTATTATTTGAAAGCTCAACATTTTACGAGCTCTTATTGTAAAATGAAAAATACGTCTATTAGAAAAACGATCTATTGAAATACAAGTTTTTATGCTGTAACATTGTTATATTTCAATACACAATATCTATATCTTTAACCTGTTTGAATTCTTTAGGTATTTTTCATAGGTATTTGAAATTAAAAATGTAACGTATTATTCCTTTTGCGCATGTTAATTTTGATTGGTTAAAATATATTTCGTTTGCAACTTCCATGATATCGAACATAGATATCTGGTGATCTTTTATTTCATATACTTATACTAATTCTGAGATTTGAAAATTTCACAATTTGAAAATTTAGAGAATAAAGTTTAGGAATTTTTAGACGTGTTGCTGTCAAGCTATTCGTTAATTATAGTTAGTATTAATCAATATCATCTGTTTGTTTTACTTACATATTTTTCTCCACCCTGTATATGACTGAAAGAATGAGAAGTGTATGGTACTGGAGAGCATACTGAAGTTAGCCGTGTTGCGCAAATTGAACATGATCTCTGGTGGAACGAATAATATAATGTAATTTATGGGCATTTTAAGGTGAATATTATTCAGAATGACATAACTTGACGAAATAATATTATACAAACCTTTAATTCAATTTTATTACGTAAGTGATGCGTTTTAATTATTTATAAAATAATTCTATTACACTTCATCTTTTTCACATCTATAGAAGTAGTTTTTTTCTTGATTAATCGAATACCAATTCCGGACTTCCGGCGTAAGATTTCATATTTCGAGAGTAGTCCATAATTTTCAAATAATTTATTTAACGTTAATTTTTTCTTTTCATGTTATATTTAAGAGCAACCTAGAGTAATAAAGGTATGTTAACAATAATCTTTTAATATCAGAAATTATATAGAATCAGTCCGGCATGTTTCGAATAATTTTCAAGTATTTTATATAACAGGACGCTATTCGAGAACAATCAGTAGTCTTTACCGGTTTAGCAGAATTTTACTTGAAGATTTCTGAACAAAGATATATTCAAGAATTATCGAGTAAAAAACTGTTGATCATTTTCTTTTATTAGAAATGTTTATTACTTTCGTTTTATTTAAAACTCGTGTTCTAAGGCATGATGTACCATCGTTAAACACAAGATGTAATGAGCAGCGTGATATTACGTGCTACCAAATGCATTCTGTCAGCGACTAAAACTTGTCTAACTATATCTCTTTGAAGCATCGCCAACTTGGCAGTTCTTTGTTTCTTTAACTTTGATATGCTTATAAGTAAGAAGACGAGTATCGTTTACTCGTGTTCAAGCTTATCGGAAAAAGTCGTGTTATCGTCGGTGGTTGGACCATAAAAGTCCGACACGACGATTAAGACGGAAAATTTGGCATATTAACTGTGGTTAGAAAATTGTATATATATTACCATCTAACTCGCCGACTTCGTTCTTCGTATAACCAATTCTACTTCGCAGGTTTTTATTCATCATCGAAACATCTATTCCAAGTTGTACGTGCACAAAAGAACACAGTGATGTATGTCACCATAATATTGAGTATCGTGATCCTGATTTTAATAGCAGTTGGGCATAAAATAAAAAAACAACCGCCAGGTAATAGAATTCATTGTTTTTATGTTAGATTCCTTCAACTACATCGCTCGACCGATATCTGATATTCGGTTTCATGTTTCTTCTTTTTTTACACAGAAACTTGACACGCAGATACTTTTTATTTAAACGTCCTGTCCGTTACAAACCAATTATAAGATTAGTGCTTACTATTTTTTGTTTTTTATTGTATTGTACTTTTGTCATAACGATAATAGAAACTTTACGAATATTTATTAATACAGTAAAAATAATAATAAACTGTTTATAAGCGTTAATAAATATACTTTCTTTTATTAATTTCGATGACGACTTCGAAAATTGTCTCGAACGAAAACGAGCTCTTGCTTGACAGACGCGTGTAGTACGACTATAAATGATTGGTTTAAATGTACAAATAAACTGGTTTAAATTAGACCTTCAACTGCGCTGCATCAATGAAAGTAGTTTTCTTTCGAATTTCTTCTTTCAGATTGCTTTTAAGAATTGGTATCCACCGTGTAAATTACAATGAATAATAGAAATACTAGGACGGAAGAATATTGTTTAATCTTTTTAACCCTCGGAAGAAGGAAGCTTCGAGATTGACGCGGCAAACGAAGAGTCGTTTTATTTGCGCAACGAATTGATAAAGTCACAGCCTGCAAAGTTTGCAGAATTCGGGACAAGAATCGATACTATTCCCTGCGCTATTGAACGCTGCATTAAATCAACATTGATTAATACTTGTTATATTGCCTCGGACGGGACTGTAGTAATTGACAATATAGAAAAGGGGCTAAATTTAAAAATTGAAAAATTTACAAACTCAAAAAGTTAAAAACAAAAATTTTTTAATTTTTAAATTTTTAATAATTAATTTTTTAAATAAAAATTTTTAATTTTTTAAAAATTAAAAAAATTTTAAATTTGAATATTTGACATTTGAAATTATAATAGAATCAAAGAAAACATAGTTTCTGTGGTTATCAAAATTAGTTCGCTTGTACAAATATTTACGTACATACACACATAATGTACACAATTTTCTATCCGACACATAAGTTGTCAGTGATAGATTCGGTTATCATTTCATTTTTCTCTTCCTTAAAGATGTTTTATCTTTTTCAGGTCCGTTCCCGTGGCCGTTTATCGGCAATGTCTTATTACTGACGAGTTTATCCCGTAAATTGGGAGCACAGCATTTAGCGTTCCTAGAACTGTCTAAACGATACAACAGCAATCTGATAAATTATTATATAGGGTCCAAAAGGATTTTGGTGGTTTCTGGAAATAAATATATTCAAACGGTACTAAACACTCCGGAGTTCAATGGCCGTCCTTGGGACTTGTTTATCCAAGTGCGCAATTTTGGAAAGAAGACAGGTATCACTGCTTGCAAAAATTATATAGTATATCTTCACACTGAAGTTACAGTGCCCTTCATTATTATATAGTAGATACCATATAGTCGACTCATTATTATAGGTACCTTCATACACACATCAATTTATAACGCCATAATAGAAGAAATAGAAGAAAAAGAATATCTCTTATCTAAAGTATTTAATCTCTCTCTATTAATTCGAATAATTCAAAGTCTATTGTAGTTATACGACATTTTTATCAACACCATATATCACTTGTAAAAAATTATCAACGTTAGGTGTCACGATGAACGACGGAGACGACTGGAAGGAGTTACGTAGTTGGACGGAGCGGTCCATGAGATATATCGGTTTTGGGAGAACGGAGATGTTTGAAATAATCAAAAATGAACTGACCACGATCCTGACCAAATTGCAGCAAGGAGGTGCACAAAGATTGAAACCTCTCATTAACCCGGTGGGGATAAACGTTATTTGGACTTTAGCTACAGGGAAACCATTCGCCGAGGGCCAGAAGTACATATACTTCTATTTATTTTTTATACTCAATTAGAAATACACGGGCTCGGGAATATGAAATATATAGGGGTATAGAGATGTGAGATATAGGAATATGTGGATACAAATATATAGAGATGTAGGAGTATAAGGATATAAGAATATAATAGATACTGAAAACATAGGACTGGGGATATTGGGAATTAAGACTAAAGATAGAAGTATAAGGTAAAAGATAAAAGGTAATGAATCTATTTTGATTTCCCTTATCATATAAGGTGATTTTCGACATAACCCATGATACGAACATAAACTTAAAATTTTCTGACCGCACTGATCAAGCTATATCATTGTTGCTCTTTTGTACTTTTATTGAAAAAACAGAATTCGAGATACTTGGTAAATGTTAAACAGAAGGTAACGATCCATAGCGAGAGTTTCGAGGGGGAACAAGTTGTAAGTGGGTCGTGTATTTAAAGCGCATTGAATCGTGATCGTTTATTGTCTTACTAACGTCAACCCGTAGGTTACAGTATTTTACTGACTTGATGGAACGTCGATCGCGAGCCTTCGAAATGAGCGGCAGCGTTCTTTCTGCTTTCCCTTGGCTTCGTTACGTTGCACCTGAGATCTCCGGGTATAACGTTATTAGGATGTTGAACAACGAGCTCAAGGACTTCGTGACGGTACGCCCGTTATGTAAATCAATTATAATTTTGCACGTAGATATTAATAAACGCCGCATAATTAAATGTTCGCATCGCTTATGGCATTTTATACAGGAAACCATCGCTGAACATAAAAAACGATGTACAGAGAACAAAGAAGACTTGATAGATATGTTTCTTAACAAAATAGAGAACGACAGTGAACCTACTTCACTTTTCACTGGTACAATTCGCACACAGTTTGTTTTTCTTTGTATTTGTTTAATTAACACAGTTGCAAATAGTGATGTTCTATGTCATTTAAAAGTTTTGCTAACTAAAAGCATCTACAACTTTGTATTCTTATTTATATTAATTTTTAGAGGAGCAGTTGACGATGATATTGGTTGACCTATTCCTCGCGGGTTGCACCACCATTAGCACAAGTCTGGACTTCGTGTTTATAAATATGGTGTTGCATCAGGACATTCAACGGAAGGTGCAACAGGAAATCGATTCGATGATTCCGAAAGACAGGCTACCGGATTTGAGTGATCGGCCAAAGTAATCTTCAATTTCTCTATTCTCTAGTCGATATTATTGATGTTTGTCATTACGCTGCACATCGACGATTTACAGCAAATGTAACAACTGAAATTTCTTTCTCATTACAGGCTCCCTTACACAGAAGCTGTAATAAAAGAAACGCAGCGAATGTGGCCAATATTTCCAATAATCGGACCGCGAAGAGTTCTCGCTGACACAAAGCTCGGCGATTATTACATAGAAAAGGATTCCACCGTGATAATCAACATATATTCTGCTAACATGGATCCCGATTCATTTCCAGATCCCCATAGCTTTATACCCGAAAGATTCATAGAGAACGGAGTCCGTAAATCAGATGCAGACTTCGTAACTTTTGGAAAAGGTATATAAAATATCCCAATGAAAGATAATAAATTACTTCAGTTACATTTTTTCGGTTTTAGGTAAACGGCGATGTCCAGGTCAGGCAATAGCAACAGCCGCGATGTTTCTGTTATTCACAGGTATACTGCAGAGATACTCTATACTTCCGGTACCTGGCAAAGAACCGACCTCCATAGAAATTTCTTCTGGCCTAGCGATCACACCCAAGCCCTACGAGATATTAGCTGTGCCACGATAATTCATCATGTGATTTTGTTCAGTGATTGTTCGCATTGTACTGACCTTTGTGCAGTTAACAGAGTAATTCTATGTGGATATATTTATAACTGACAAAAAAATGATGGTCAGATATACATTGTCTACAATAATACTGCACGATAAGCGATGTCAGTGCGAACTAAAAAACTAAAAGAAAAATAAAGACGAAGAAAAGAATGCATTCGTGTATTTTTGTTTGAACGTATCGATTAAGATGATGCAGTTGTTCACTGTGTTTTTATTGCTTGAGATCGGTTTTTATTTTAATAAAAAAAGGCGCCGAAGTTCTTGATCTTCGAAACGATAGTTCGACCTGTTAACCGGCAGCTCGTTTGTTTGACTTCAACAAATTTTTCTCTCGGATATTGTTTATTGTTTCTGCTGCGTGAAAGTCGTTTTATGCGTTCGACGAAATCGGCTCGTTTCGTAGAAGTCCAAATGTACCTTCGCCCCAGCGTCACGTGGCGATTCGGTCCTTTTATATTGAGTCGTGGCTGCTAAATATTTTCTTGTTAATACGGAATAGATCGCTTAAAAACACGACACCGACTGTACCGTCGAAGTACAAAAATGTGTATTATAAATTTGATGCAAATCAAACTGTAGTCGTACTAACAATATTTTGTAATCTTATACGAGTGCGTGATTTACAAGCTCGGATCTCAAAGTGAGTTTCAGATGGTACGGTTTTGGCGATATGGTGAAACCATCGTAGCCATTCGGGTCCGGCTTTCCATGGTCTGGTGAAATTTCGATATCGAAATAATGTACAACATGAGTGAAGAATAAGAATAAGGTTGAGCGAGCGAGCATTTCTCCTGGGCAACGTCTTTTACCTGAAACGTGCAACACTGGAATTTAATTTTGTCATAAATTATGTGAAGATTTCTCAAGAAACTTCCATTGGCATAGTTATTTGTCTGAGGTTCTATAATTTTACTAACAACTTGTCTACTATCAACTAACAACTACTATCATAATGGAAAATATATAAAACGATTTACCTAGACTGAAAAGCATACTCGCACTGTTTGGACAAAACCGACCATTGTCATCAAGGAATCTTTGCGGTCGAAACTCTTCTGGGCGATCCCAATAAGCCTTATCATTGTGAACACTGTGAAAGTCCAGAAGAATCATCGTGTTCTAAAATAACAGGAACAAGTGCACCCACACTTAAGATGACATAAAAATAACACTTGTTATTGTATTTACCTTGGGTATGTGATATCCATTCAGAGTAACATCCTTCATGGCCTTATGAGGTAATCCAAAAGGTGCCAAGTTCAAATACCTTTGTGCCTAACAAACGTATAATATATTTCAACCTCTAATTTGTATTCTAGATGCAAGGATTAGTAACTGTAATAATAAATATTTGTATCTAGTAATTAGTAACTATGGAAGTTGATGCAGATTTTTAATAAAATAATCAAAGTCATTTCAACCTCCGCAAGAAACGACTCCATCATCGGCAACGACGAATAATCCTTCAAAGCTGGAGACCGTGATCTACCGACAACGTTATCTAGTTCCTCCTGAAGTATTTTAATCCAGTCAGAGTGCAGGGACAAAAATAGCAGAGTGGCAGCCAAAGTATCTGTCGTGGTTTTCGAACCGGCCAAAAAAAGATCCAAACACACGATCAACAAATTTTCTCCTAAAAAAGCAAAGCCTTATTATCCTTCTTAGATTAATTGTTAAACTTTATAGGAGAAAGTATTGCTCACGATCGAATATCGAATCGTCATGCTGGCCGTTAGATGAAATCTCCAGGAGGAACGCTTCGATTAAATCCTGAGGTTGGTTACCGGACAATTGTTTCTCGTGAACGGTGATCTCCTCGTCCAGGAAGCCCCACAGCTTTCGCAAAATTCTCATTAACTCGTTGTAGCCGGACAACTCTGGCATTATGAAACGTAAGAATGGAAGTTGCGATACTATACCGCCCATGGTGTCCATCAATCTAATGATAGAAAATTCAGTAAATGCACTCGACTGAAGGTGCAATGGAGAGCATTAGGTAGTTAAATAACTTCCTTTCACAGTATCATACTACCTGAAAGCACCGTGAACAGCATCAAGTATCTCCATCAGTTTTTCATTATCATAGTCGAACCGATGACCAGCGAGCATCGACCAAAGGGAATTCAAAACTGCAACGTCGAAAGCCGTGTGCATCGGCACTGGACCTTTCGCACTAGCTCGACGAAGATAATCCACGAAGCTCTCTGCCTCGATGATCAGCTGTTTCTCCATAATTGATTGTCCCAAACCAAATGCTCTGAGGTGCCGCATCGTGAAGCGACGACACTGCGCCCATGTTGGTCCTTCCGCGAATAAAATACCTATTGGATGCATGGATGAAGGTAGTTCAATGTTTATTAATTAGATGAAATAAATATAGGTAATACGTTACCTCTCTTTTTACCAAACGCACGGACCCTGAAGAAGAATCCATCTGGTCTGCCGTTAAACTCGTCCTGAAGAAGAACTTTTTTTACTAGGTCGTGTGTCGAAACCACAACCACCTTCTGAGTTCCCAGTTTCAGGCCCAGAATGGGGCCGTAACTTTTCATTAGTTCATGAAACGCTAAGTAAACGTAGCCGTTCTTCGACTTCAGTCGTCGGAACGTGAGGAAGCAACCGATCAATGGTATCCATTTTGGACCTATTCAGAAGAACGCGTGATTACATTGAAAAGATAAAACTTCGTACAAATTAGATTAGCTTCAAAAGTTTGCTATACCTGTATTTAATCTTAATTTGAAATGCATGGATACAGTTTAAATTGAATATTAGCCAATTTTTTAATTATGTGCCTGCATAAGAAGTATATTGAAATTAAAGCTGTTCTTTGTTTGCAGTCTTTGGAATAATGTTCAATCGTCAAAACTGTACTAGCTTGTATTGTATAGTTTTAGTATACTCTAAAGAATTTTGTACCTCTAGAATCTATTTCAAATACAGCAGAACTTTTGTATCGCCCTAACACGTTAATTGAAACTTTTAGATAAGTTCTAAAACTTTCAATTAAACATTCGGTGTAGTTTATATGCTCCAAGATAAAGTTCAGAGTTATTAACTCCTGATAATCACACGCTAACGCACCAGGAGGGAAATTATGTGGTTTGACGCAATCGTAGACGCAGAAGATACAGAGAAGAACGAGGAGAAGACAAATCACCGCGTAGAGCATCTTCGGTAACACTGATACTTCACATTTGGTGACTTCGAATGCAGTTACTATGCCACGGAATATATATGTGTGCCAACGAAAAAAAAAACGATTCTGGTGCCACCCTGTGATATTATCGGAGTGACACCCATGGCCTCTGACAAAAATATCTTTTTGTATGAGAACACATCCTTTACATGGTACTCTTCGGTACCGTGTTATAGAAGCGGTATCGGTCTTTTTTTTTGAAGCTGATACAGCACAATACTCGGGATGAGTTGGCTACATATTCAACGATCATTCTCTTTGTGTGCGTCAGTACTGAATTTCCATTTTCAATTATTGCATGATATAAGCATGATATAGTGGTTCTCTTCTTTTAGATATTTATTTTGTATACACTTTGGTCGGTTTTTGGTAACACAATGTTTTTTGGTATCACAATGTTTAACTCATTAAGTATGTATGACATACTATTTCAAAATGTATTAACTATTTAAAAATATATTAGAAGTGTGGAATTATTAATAACAATTATTGTAATTTTTAGATACAACAATTTGTGTATTTGATGGAGCAGAGAAGTAGAACATGGAGATTACGTCTTGGTCAGTTAACCATACAGCGGTACATCTATAGTATGCAGGGTGTATGAGTTCAAAATAAGATGGAAAAGAGAGCACTTTACTTGTTACGACAACGTATTATTTATTCTCCTGAGAAGGAAACCATCGTATTCCTGTAATTCCTGTTCATTTTCATACGAGCAATTTGCTGGCATCGCATACTTGATGGCTTCCGTTTAGAATACAAAACACACGAGATCACCGGACTCTCTATACGGAAGACATTTAGCAAAAATTTGATTTCTCTGGAAACAGAAGTTCCGGCTCGAAGAATAATGATGCTAGACGCGAGTTAAATGTTTAATCAAGCAGCTATTTTATTTTTGTAAAATACCAAGAGTCTACAATTTTATTTGTTTATAAAGAAAGTGGTTCGAGTAGAATTGCAGCAATGTTTGAAAGTCAAGAATTATTTCCTGGTTGACAGGCTAATCGCAGTCAAACTGGTTTTTCAATGAGCAGCAGGGAAAATATGACACAATTCTACAGGTTCACGGACCCGCTTTAATTATACGTTTTGGATTTATTGGAGTCGTTGTTGACCTTCCACAATGCGGACTTTCGATACGCCCACGATGCATCGCCGAGTTATCTTTTTAGAAAGTTTTTTGGAAAGTAACTTCGTTTCTAGAATATCGTTTTTATGTAAACGGAATTCGATTGCTTGACATTTAATTCTTTTTTGAATTACAGAAACTGTATCAAATCAAATGGCAAATTAATTTGCACTCATCGATCCGAAGGTGTTTAAACCAATAGTAAGTAGTGATCTATACTATTTATTATTTACACTTTCTTGTTACATCCTGTTTTCTTTCAGATGATCATTTAAATACTAACGTCAACGTGATGGAATGTTTTAATGGCGAATATATGCCAATGATGTTTCGCCAGCGATATTTGCAGATTCAAAACAACCGAGTAGTGGGAGGATTTCTTTCTTCTGTCGAGGATTCTCTCTAATACGGTGATTCGAGATTGTTGGAAATTAGAAATTGCTTTCTAGTTTGCAAACCGTAACGTGGTTGTTTTGAAAAAGTTCATGTACCCGAAACCTGTCAAATTTGTGCGAACTTCGGATTGTAATACAAGGTAGAAACCGTTCAGGTGCTACCACGTTAATTATGCATTGTTTCGTTTCTGTGCGAAATTTCCTTAATGCTTTGAAACTCGTCGTTAACGTGCAAAATTGATCGTTATCTTGGCCCATTCAAAGCGAGAGATTTCCATTTGACTAGGGCTTCGAGGCAAGAGGAACCTGAAAGGATAGCGTTCACGGAGAAACGGCCTTGAACGTACACAATTGTGCCATCAAGAAAATGCTGCGAGTAAAGAAAGAAAAAGAAACGGCGGTAAAGCGTTAAAGGAACTCGATGGAAGATAGAACCAGGTCAACTGCAAATAGCGAGAGGAATAGTTTATTTTAACGTTTAACCGGAAGTTACGTGCGTCCTTCAAGCATCTCTTCGAACTCAACATTTGTTTAATAACCAAATATATTTCCAGGAAAACGGTGGTGAAAAATCTGCAAAAATGTGTTTGAAGTACATACGAATCGAAAAATTCACGTATGTGAACATACAGGATAAAGCAACATATAAAAGATAAAATTACTTCAAGAGATTACCCAAAGACATTACATTCACCATGGAAGATTTCAAACAAACAAAAAGAAACAACATACAAAGAGTATATGAAAATCAATTTAATTTTTCTTTTTTAATGAAATGCCTTATTTTTGTACAGTCTAAAAGAGCTCTTTAAGATGTTTACAATAACTCGTTCAAGGTCATTGAAGATCAAGAGCGATGGGAAATAATTTATTTCGAGGAAATGATCAAACACTCCGGTGATTTATTTGTCTTTGTATAACACATTTTAGAAACATGAATCTTGTCTTCTATAAAGTAAATTATTTTGTATCAGAGTCCATCTTCAATGATCTTGATTTCCAAGATCATTCAACTATAACCATAACCCGTTTTAAACTGCTTTAGTAGATTATAAGTATAAAAACATGTACACTAGAAAAAAATGAAGTTGATCTTCATATGTGTTCACTCACAAAAAAAGCTGTTCATATACCAACTGGTATTAAGGTTACTGAAGAATTTTTTCTGTGTCCAACAGCAGAGATATTCAAGTGTCAAATACCTCAACATGTAATTAAAACAAACATGCTACAGACAGACAGATAATGGTATCTCAACGATGGTGATCATTCGTATGTTATTAATTCGAATCGATAGAATAATTTGCCAACAAATTACAGGGAAGTATAAAGTAGAGAGAAATTAAAACGAGAGAAAACAAAATGCGTCCGTGCATGATCATGATTTCCAGAAGCTTCGAACAGATAGAAACGCTGACGCAAAGTATGACGAAATGAGAATAAGAGAAAGACTGCGAGGAAAGTGAAAACCGAGCATACCGTCGACATGGATTAGAAAATACTGGCATACGACATTTCTCCAGTTTTTTCCTGCGGCTATCAAACGACACGCACGATGAAAAGCTTGACCTCCCGATACGACACGATGGATCGAAGCAAAAGTTTCTCCCGCGTTCGATTCTGCACGATTCACACGACTTACCACGTATCACTGCGCTGCTGAGCACACGGGAGAGTAAACGGATTAATTATTGCCGATGGTACACGCGCGTGTGTTTACTTATGTGGGCAATTGACATTGGCGTACGTATGGACCAGTGTTTAGGAATTTACAAACTTTTATATTCATCTCATTTTCCAATTACATCTAAAATTTCATAGTTCTCTAATACTACATTTGCCAAATTCTTTGCCCTTCAAATTTGATATTTCACAAATTCTTTATTTTGCACATTTTCGATTTTCGTGAGACACCGAATCAGTAAAGTTAATCGCGAAGTGTTTGTTAATTCACGAAGAAGTTAATCTACTGGTCCATCACGTGTACAAAAATGCTAGTTACGCCAATGGTAAACGGTCGAGCGTGTAAGAAGGTGCACGGTCACTTTCTCCACGGTCGAGGTCTCCCATATCCAACGGGCTCGACTTCCTTCCATAACAGATCCGACTTTCTCCGGTTTCGTAGCGGCGTGCTCGCAGCCACGTTGCGTCATGTCGAGCGTGGGCAAACCGATGACAAAGCGAATCGCAGTAATGCGGAGGTGTTAACGAAATATTAGGGAAGTTCGTAACACCGACGTTTTAGTTGGGACGTCGATTGTAATGCGTGAGACTAGCGACAGTACTCATAGAATAGTAATCAACTTCATGAAGGAAGCATTGTTTTGTTAACGTTATATTTTAACTCGGTTCAAGTATACTCGGATGCAACGTAGGCTTAAAGAGAGGTCATTTGCTTTTGATTTTAGAAAATCTCTCCTACCATTTGCTTTCTATTTTAGAAAATATCTCCCGCTATTTACTTTTGATTCCGAGGAAAGGTAATGTGGACAGTGCTGTCCTTGAATGTAAATAATAAGGACAATGTTCGGGTCCTCCACTTTCCCTTAATCGAGGGAAGTCTATATGTTGCGCGCGATCGTATAAATTTCGTAACTAAGATTTCTAGTAATTTCGTTTGCGTTGCAGCGTTCGCAGGACGGTGGCGGAATAACAACAAGATGGATGTAACAAAATATTACTCAACTTTATTTGTAACGGCAGTGGTTAACAAAGGAGGGTAACAACAACGAGTATAAAAAAGAAAAATGGAGATAATATACATAACGCGTTAAGATGCGCGAACCTCGGAAACAGAAAAGGCGCCGAGTCAGTCGATTAGATTCTCCAAAAACTTAATTCCCTACAACTTATCTAACACGTAAGGTAATATATACAACGGCTTATGTTACAATACTCTGTCAGCAAAGTGTTTGTACAAGCGTGACTACTCTCTCAGCGTTTCGGGAACGCGAAGTTTGGGCCGCTTTGATTGTTCGTCGCTGGCGGAGGTACTAAATCCTGGCTGATCGATGGAGCTTCCGTTTTAGACGATCTGTCCCACCTGACTTTGTTCTCGTCGACTTGACGCTGTTGCTGTTGACCCTGAGCGTTCTGCTTGGCAGCTGCTTCGGAACTGTACGGTACGATCTGGCTACCTTGAGCTTGAGTGTCTTTCCGGTCCTCCCATCCGTGATGAGGCGGATGATGGTCCTCTGCAGGGAACCACTCCGATATCCAGACGGGCTTCCAGATCTTCTTCCACGCTGGTACCCAGATCTCTTTCCAGGCAGGTACCCAAATCTGCTTCCAGGCCTCTTTCCAGGCTAATTTCTTGTCTGGCACCCATTCCTGCTTCTTCTCTGTCTTCCAGATTTGTTTCCAGGCCTCCTTCCATTCCAGCTTCTTGTCGGGCACCCAGATGAGCTTCTTCGACGGTTTCCAGATCTGTTTCCACTCCTCCTTCCAGATCAACTTTTTGTCGTCCACCCAGATCTGTTTCTTTGCCGGTTTCCAGATCTGTTTCCAAGCTTCGACCCACTCGAGCTTCTTGTCAGGTACCCAGATCTGTTTCTTCGCTGGCTTCCAGTACTTCTTCCAAAGCGGTTTCCAGATCAGCTTCTTCTTCCACAGATCGTGACTGGTGTACTCCCAACCATGTTGGTCTTTACCGTGGTAATGTTCACCTGGGATGCCGATTTTCACCCACTCCGGGATCCAGATCTTCTTCCAGGCTGGTACCTGAATCTCCTTCCAAGCTGGTACTTGGATTTCCTTCCAAACGGGTTTCCAGATCTTTTTCCATGCGGGTACCTGTATTTCTTTCCATGCTGGGACTTTGATAGGCTTCCAGACAGGCTTCCAAATCTTCTTCCAAGCTGGTACTTGAATGTCCTTCCACACTGGTACCTGGATCTCTTTCCAAACAGGCTTCCAAATCTTCTTCCACGCCGGTACCTGGATGTCTTTCCATATAGCCTTCTGCGTTGGCACCCACACGGGCTTCCAAATCTTCTTCCACGCGGGTTTCCAGATCTGTTTCTTAGCTGGTTTCCAGATCTTCTTCCAGCCGGGTTTCCAAATCAGCTTCTTCTTCCAGTAACCCTTATCGTGATGATGATCGTCGTGGTGTTCTTCCAGCGCTCCACCAGCGTCACCGCCTCCGATATCGCCGCCTCCAGAATGACCATAACCTCCGACATCGCCGCCTCCGGAGTGGCCATAACCACCTCCGACATCACCGCCGCCAAAGTGACCGAGACCGCCGCCATCTCCGCCGCCGAAATGACCAACAGCACCGCCAGCGTCACCGCCTCCAGAGTGACCGAAACCACCGCCTCCAGAGTGGCCAAAACCACCGCCGATGTCACCACCTCCGGAATGACCATAGCCACCTCCAATGTCACCACCTAGACCACTCAGGCCTCCACCGTGGCCACCCAAGTCTCCACCGTGTCCACCTACGTCTCCACCGTAACCTGTACCAAGATCTCCACCATGGCCACCTGCGTCACCGCCCCATCTCTTCTGGGCTGCTGTGCCATATCTGTGTACAATAAGTTCATAATTAGTATTCTGCTTCTTAGTGTCAAGTATCAAGTCTGTATCAAGTATCTTCTACTTCAAGTATCAAGTTTCTATTCCTGTAATAATTGTTCAATTTTTTTAGATATAAACAGTGTCCATTTGACATTTGGGAGTTCTTAGATCTTATAACGCTAACTAAACACGAGTAATAAATTTTAAATATGTTAGAACCTGTCAGTTGAAACGGGGACCAGTAAACAGGTTAAAGAAATAATTTTAAGTTCATAAAATTAAAAATTGAGTTTACAGTACTGCTACCACAGGCGGGTACACAGTGTGTACTACACACTCGACAGATAAGTTATAAATAAAGAGTTAATTTTATTCTTTTTTTTAATAGAAGTAATGTAAGAATGTCACGTACGGAATTTGCTGCTGAGACTTCTGCTGTTGCAATTGATTCTGATCCAATGCCTTGCTCGCCACCAAAGCGACTTGCAGTAGCACTACTAGTGCAGCCTGGAAAGAAGACAATTACATAGACATGACATTTCACTGACATTGAACACGGTCACGGTCGAATTAAACGTTTTATTTGGATCAAGATAAAAGACTCGTCGAAGAGACGGAGAAATCTCTTCTTCTTTCGCGACAGCATTCCCGGCATTACTATTAATGGCTATTCGTTTATGGAATATCACTTTCGAACTGGCCGTCGATAATCAAGCAATACGTTCATCGACAATGACCGGCATTTTACAGTTTCGCCTTTGCTGTTCTCGATTTCTTTCGTATCTAGTGAACGGTACCGGCATAACAGATATTGCCTTATACACCGAATAAACACCCCATATTTTTGCGGATGATAAAAAGCAAATGAACAGGTCACGGTTGTCCTGAAATAACAAGGTGATACAGATTAAATATTCCTAAAGTATGACTTAATATGTTAAGAATTTAGAATGACCTAAATTAAAACTATATTTAGTTGTATTATATCTCATAACAATCTTCGTGTTATTTTAGAAGTTATGCCAATCCCTGAGATATCGTCTGGAGCATTCAGTGTTCGTCCAATCGGTAAATGGCAATCGATTCTTTCAAGGATCTTGAAGACGCTCCCAACGATCGGTCGATCACCATTCGTCGATCGTGACACTCACTACTTACTCCAGATACGATGGGATGTCACCGTTGTCTAACCGAACGCACCCCTTCCGAGAACAATCAAACGGCGCTTACGATCGCCACCAAAGATAAATTATACCGTAGCCGAGAGTTATTTGAATAGAAACTGACCGCGCATCCCGGGCGAATCCTCATATTTTCTCGCAATGCCGCCCGTCGGGCTCGGGCTGCTTACTCTTGTTCCCTAAGTGCAGGAAAACGTAAGTTACTTCGCCCAATCAGCGGAACGCCGTAGTTATATAGGCGCGTATTCCTCCCCCAGTGCTATCGTCGGAGATGGTTCGCGATGTGCTGGGCCAGCTGTTGCGAAGGTGGTGGTAAAGTCGTCCTGGTGGAGGAGGCATTTCGCGTTGCTGGAGGAAAGGAACTCACGATGGTGGTGGGTTCCAACGGACACGGGTTACGGAAAGCTCGAATCTCGTGTAGCGATGGGCCCGATCTCCTACTTGTTCATTCTGTAATTCATTTCATTTCTCATCATTTATATTCTCATTATTTATTTGGTCATTCATCAATTCAAGGTGGTTGTATCACTTCATTATATGTTTTCAGATCTGAACTAGAAGTAATGATATCTACATGGCAGTGAAATTTTATGAAGGATGACCGAATTAAGAGACTACATTCAAAACCATAGTACATATTTAACGTGTATCATGAAATCTGAAGAGCATTTTTAATTATAAGGAATTCTGTATGTCTTTACAGAATTGTAAAGGATTATAAAAGGGTATGAAACGTTCCAAATATACTGCAAAGGATTTAAATGCAATTTAACATTTTATTAATTTTTATAAAATTTCAGAGGAGAAGAGTATCCGTGGTATTAATCTCTACATCGTATCAATAGGAAATTGATCCCATCGCTACGTCCATTCTCCTTCCTCCTCGCCTTTGTCCACCTCCTACGAACCTGGCGATCTTACTTCGTGCCACAGTGGGCCCATCGTTCCGGAGAAAGTGATCGGGAACACGATGATCAATCGGTAAATGGCAATCGATTCTTTCAAGGATCTTGAAGACGCTCCCAACGATCGGTCGATCACCATTCGTCGATCGTGACACTCACTACTTACTCCAGATACGATGGGATGTCACCGTTGTCTAACCGAACGCACCCCTTCCGAGAACAATCAAACGGCGCTTACGATCGCCACCAAAGATAAATTATACCGTAGCCGAGAGTTATTTGAATAGAAACTGACCGCGCATCCCGGGCGAATCCTCATATTTTCTCGCAATGCCGCCCGTCGGGCTCGGGCTGCTTACTCTTGTTCCCTAAGTGCAGGAAAACGTAAGTTACTTCGCCCAATCAGCGGAACGCCGTAGTTATATAGGCGCGTATTCCTCCCCCAGTGCTATCGTCGGAGATGGTTCGCGATGTGCTGGGCCAGCTGTTGCGAAGGTGGTGGTAAAGTCGTCCTGGTGGAGGAGGCATTTCGCGTTGCTGGAGGAAAGGAACTCACGATGGTGGTGGGTTCCAACGGACACGGGTTACGGAAAGCTCGAATCTCGTGTAGCGATGGGCCCGATCTCCTACTTGTTCATTCTGTAATTCATTTCATTTCTCATCATTTATATTCTCATTATTTATTTGGTCATTCATCAATTCAAGGTGGTTGTATCACTTCATTATATGTTTTCAGATCTGAACTAGAAGTAATGATATCTACATGGCAGTGAAATTTTATGAAGGATGACCGAATTAAGAGACTACATTCAAAACCATAGTACATATTTAACGTGTATCATGAAATCTGAAGAGCATTTTTAATTATAAGGAATTCTGTATGTCTTTACAGAATTGTAAAGGATTATAAAAGGGTATGAAACGTTCCAAATATACTGCAAAGGATTTAAATGCAATTTAACATTTTATTAATTTTTATAAAATTTCAGAGGAGAAGAGTATCCGTGGTATTAATCTCTACATCGTATCAATAGGAAATTGATCCCATCGCTACGTCCATTCTCCTTCCTCCTCGCCTTTGTCCACCTCCTACGAACCTGGCGATCTTACTTCGTGCCACAGTGGGCCCATCGTTCCGGAGAAAGTGATCGGGAACACGATGATCCGGTCGAGCGAGCCAGGCGGTTTCGTTCCCTTGGTATTTACGCGCCTGTGTCCGGCAAAAACGAAGTTCATGGGGAGGCAAGGTTATGTAGCAAGGTTATACCCGGTGATCCAGATTACCTGCAGACGGGAGAGTGGTGGAACCAGTTGGAGCGCGGCAACTAGCGTTTGACGAAATTCTTTTTTACCCTTTTTACGGTTCATTCGATTTCAGAATAGCGTCAGGCGATTTCTCTTCCGGGAAGCCCTCGGGCCTGGGCCATTGCTTTTCCTTTTGCGGATTGTTTTCGACGATGATTGCCCTCAAGGGGTAATCGAAACGATTAAGAAATGTTAGAGATCGGCAGGTTGAACATTTGCGGTGTATGGAGGATCCGCTCAGCGAATTTCACTTTGCTTTCGAAAGGTCACTCGTGTTTTAGGGATATGTAGGATATTATTATATAGAACATTACGTATAAAATATTATGTAATGCTTGTATTGTACAATATTGCTATTTAATCCACTGTGTTATTCTGTTATACTACGTACTGTTATTACATGCTATATATTTATTTTTTATTTATTTCATTAAATTAAATGAACAAATTTTTTGACAATAGAACAATTTTTATTTCAGAACAAAAGGGAATACATCAGGTACAAAACTATTTGTTTAAAATAAATAGTAAAAGCGTGAAAAGCGTCCCCACAAATTAAAGGAACTAATTATCGCTGCTAGGCACAATCGATGCTTCCAGGAATAGTCTCTTCTCCGCGATGAATGATTATAACCTTCCCCGGTTCGCACGATTTCTAACGATTCCTCTTTCATTAATTAAACATGCAAACACAGGCTTCCGACCGTAGACGTCAACGATACCGTTGGCACAATTTTATTGATCATTAAGTGATTCAATCCCAGCATGGCAAAGCCACACGCAGCGTTTATAATCAGCTTACGTAATTAAGTCTTAGTTTCAAGGTCGTCAGAGTTTGTCACGGTATGCAAAGAAGGTACATTTCTCCTTGTTTTTAGGCGAAGAGGAAGAGGATGTTACCGATAAGCTTTCGCAAGATTGAATCTTCGTAAAAGGAACACGACGATGTAGCGTTTTATTTGAAAAGCTCATAATCACGGATGCCTGCACGGGTGAAAGTATATACATACCGAAGGAAGAAAATTTATAACGTAAAAGCAACAGGCCTGCAGACCGAGGAATTACGAGGCAAATTTTACGGAGTCGAGCAATTACGAGATACAGGTCAATTTCACTGGATCAATTTTGCAATTTAACGGATAGACGTCGAGGGAGACGCTAGAGGAACTTGGACGTCGTTTCAGGAAGTTATCCACGGTGACGAGTCACTCGACTCGATCCGCTAACAAGCTGAAAGCGATAAGTGGTTAAATTCGCACAAGATACATTCGTGTATTTGTCGGATGAAAGCGAATTCTTTGCTTTACTGCGGACAGCTAGGAGTATATTACATGAAATTGTTAGAATACGTTCCAGCAATTCCGGTTCGTAAATCATTCAACCTCTTTATGCTCTAGATTGCGAACTCCTCAGAAATGTTTCATCTTTTCTTTCAGAATTCGTTGCATCAATCTTAGAAAATAATGTAAATCTCATTATTCTCTAAATATAAAAAAGTCCACTAAAAATATACAAACTATATTAGTCGCACACAAAAAGTATTAAACACCGATAACAAAGTCATTTTAAATATTTGTAATAACAGTCAACACAGTAACGAGTGTATACTCTGTAGATGTCAATAAATATTCGGAGAGATTGTATCTAATGTAACGTATATTGTTTGCTCAGCGCGTGGGTAGAACTAAAAGAGCGACGTTTGAAACATTCCAAAGACGATAGCAAATAAAAGAGCATGTGTTTGAGGAATTTTTATTTGCACTCTAAGTGTTCGGTTTATGGACGAGTACCTACGATTCACTTTCTAAACGTGCCGTCCCTCAAGGTAGTTGATATCGCTTTTCGAAATGTCTAGCTGTTCGATATTTGGGTTACGTTCACCTGCTAAGTCTTCATGGAAAATAAATAATTGCGACATTTTCTTAGGAAACGTTGGACCCGTTGACTGATATAGAGCGAGAGTTTTGTTCCGTTTATGGTATCTTTTGTAAGCTTAGAATATTTTAAGCTTGTAAGCAGATATTTCATTTGGAAGAGGTATTCGAGTATTTTTAGTTTGTCATTAAAAAATATATTCTTACTGCATGTATTTAAATGTACGATGTTTTTTAACGGTTTCTCATTTCTTTCTAGAATGAATCATCGCTCATGAAGGAATGTCATTCTACTTTTGCATCAATTCTGAAATCGTGTTTTTGCGTGTCTCACCATGGGTAATCAGTTTAAATCTTTACACGAATTTCTCCTTTAGTGATTTCTTCGCCATGCCCCTATCTTGAAGTCGACAATAATCCATCGAGAGACTCGACATATAGAAGAAAGTTTTATCCTTCGTATTTTCCACTCGATACATATCTTTCGTTTCTTCTTACCTCGTGATTTTGCTTTCTACCATAACGTATATTACAAATTGATGGAAAAAGCTGAAGAATCATGGATTAAACTATCATCAGCTGTTTCGTGGGAAGCATTGGAACGCATTTACGATTCAATTATAGGAACACTTCGTTCTTCGTGACTCGAGAACACATTTCAAGATGTCTTCGGTGTCAGCATGTGAGCCTAACTTTTTCCTCGAAGGATGAACTCACCGATAGTTGATGGCAGCTTTTACCTTCAGCTACAAAATATAGTCTTTCTAGTAGGAATTTTTAAAATAATACTTTGTAATAACTAGTTCGATTTTTTTCATTGAAAAAATTTACAATTACCTTTATTTTTAGATGTTGTGTATTTTGTAGCTTTTACCTTCAGCTACAAAATATAGTCTTTCTACTAGGAATTTTTAAAATAATACTTTGTAATACTTTATTCGATTTTTTTCATTGAAACCATTTACAATTATCTTTATTTTTAGATGTTGTGGAATCAGATACTCTGTTATTGAGTCTATTAATCCGGAGGATAAATAACGCAGCACGTCCCGAAGAAGAAACAGCCTTATTTACTTTCTTCAACTCTTTTTACTTCTTCGAGTATTGTTTGTACACAAGAGCAGTTTATATCTTGTTTATACACCACGCACAAAGAATCAGAAAGATCAGTGAAAACTTGTACTGCTATCAACTATTGACGCATTTATCATAAATCGCCATTAATCTTGTGAGCACAATTATATCTTTCTGCGCCAAAAAACCTTCCATTTGTCTTGGACTTTTGAAGCCTGTAATTTGGTGCCAGTGAAAGGCGCCGGAGATGATTTCATGCCGGCGGTCGCACACACGCACTGTTCGCATGACCATATAAACAAACGGTTATCACGTTACCTAATCGTTACCACTAGCCACCCATTGTCAATTAACACGTAGCCCGGACATTTCGCCAATTAAAGCGATCGTGCGAATCCATTTCGCTAAAATGGGAGAAAGAAAGGATTATGGAAATTTTAAATGCTTGTTTGTCTTAGGTCGAAACTTTCATTGTTGTCCAAGCTTGAAGTTGCACTCTTTTGAGAGCAAACACGTAACTTGTCTGGTACAATGAAACTAAATGTATACTTTTTAATTGACTTACTTTATTATTAACTTTTCAAGTAAGCATAACAAATTATATTTTATAATTGCAACTTTTTGCAACCATTTCGCAATCGTTTAGAATACGGTTAAATTACTGTGAAGCATCGTATCATGTAACTCTTATTAACGCTCGTTCTCGTTTCAGGTGTGCGTTTCACGGCCCACATGATCGTACATTAGCATATTTCTGTCTAATCTCGGAATATCCGCTTGTTCCGTCGGGTTCAGTGAAAGTAACAAAAGCGAGCGGGCGATTAATGTAACATCCGTGATTCGGTTAATCTGATCATTACAGTTCCTAAACCCAACTGGGACTGTTTTTAATTAATACGTGGACACTCAGGAGAAAGGTATTTCGTTCCTCGGAGTATCATGGTTCATGATATTAATAGAACAAAATTACATTTGCAGGTAGTAGGATGTTCGCCAGGAAAGTCTCCAAGTATCATAATAGAACCGTTTAGAAAATACAAAGTCATGCTTTCTAATCGCTGCGTTTAATTATCAATCACTAGACCGATTAACGATCATTACAAGGCAATACAAACTGTACGATTTTCTTTTTAGGATACAAAACCGGATGCTCCGCTCTCACAAAGTTTAGGAAGCCACGGAATTGCAGGCATTTTTATGCTGTCTTGCATGAGATTTCAAAACGAGGGTGAACAAAGAAACACGGTACATACACAAAATGTAATTGTCACTGGAGAGTGTCAGAATGCGCTAATCGTCTAGCAAGCAGGATCAACTTTCACATATTGTAACAACTTCATGAACGTAAGTGTAAAAATGTTCTCAGCGAGCAGGAAGCGTTATTAACCCGCTGGGCCCAACGATTTTATCGTGCGACAGAATTTCTTTTGCAAGAACGTGCCGCAACTGCAAATATTTATATTAATAGAAAGCGACAGCGAATTATTCTCTAAAATCAATGTACGGTATATTCAAGACTACCGTAAGCTCTATCGAATTCTAATATAATGAATATTTCAGATCATGACGGTGAAACTGCGACGAAGAGGAAACGCGTATCCGCGAGGTCATCAAGTTCAGACTACCCTTTTCCCATGTGACTCGGTCTTCTCTTTCCTGGTTGTTGAGACGATTTCCTCGATGGGAAAGTCACGGTCATGTAACGTGGCCATCCTCCGCCGCATCTACAGAGATGCCATCCGTTTTCGACGTACGACAACGAACGTGCACACGCTTCCGCTGTAACGAACGAGTAGAGAGTAGAGGAAGCAGCGGAGACGAACCTACCAGGTCGAGAGTGAAACTGTTCGATGCAACGTGATTGCACCCAATTAAGAAACTTCTTGAATCAACAGTTTTCGAACCGGTGTATCGGGTTTTGCGCGGCGGTCGTGAAAATATTCTTTAACTTAATGGTAATGCTATACGCGTGGAAAACTTTTAGTTCATTATCTTTAATGGGTATCGTTTACAAGAATTTTAATAATTTAGAAGTAGAGTGCACATTGAGTTAGGTAGATTTAGTTAGTTAGCTTCATAGAGGTAACAAGACTAGTGTGGTCGTAGAAGACTGTAGATATTTGTTGGGTAAATGAGATAAATAGCAAACTTGATGTTATTTGGTTGTGTATTAGATTGCAGCGCATTAGGACGACACGTGTTGTATTTCTCTTGTGTTCTTATTATGCAAAATTTCTTATTGTTTCATTATTTTGCCAGTGTTGTGTTCTCTACAATTAAATTCCTACCACATAGTGTGTTCCGTGCGTTAAATTCTCCACAACTTACAACTCGAGTTGTATTTTTGATGCGTTAAATTCTCGTTGTGCTCTACTCCCTCTAAGTTGTGTTTTCAATGCGTTGAATTCCTATTAGGTTATGTTACGCGTCATATTTTCCACGCGTTCTCTATGCGTCGCATCTCCACGTATCGTCACACGCATTATGACACTTCAGCTTTGCATTATTAAATCCGTTACCAGTGACAGTGAACCTCTGAGCGCTATCCAGATAAAAAAGAACGATATCCTCTGAAAGATCGCTTTCCCTGAAAGAAACTCATAAATAATGCATAACCACTCTTTTGTATGCAGAGGAATATCAATTTTTCCCATATTTTGGATTATACACGGATTACTTATATAACCCAGCAATATCTTCCGGAATTTCTACGAATTTTCACGTGATTTATTCGACTAGGTAGTTCTTCTTAATAGGCAAAAAGTTCATGAACTTCCGGGTATTCGTGCTTCGTACTCGTCATTAGTACAGGAACATGGATGCATTCGAGACGACTCCAGTTCGAAAGTGAAACTCGACTTTACGATCAATGATGCACCTTGTCTAAGTGAAATCTTGACGCTTAATCGGCTGTTCGGTTGAATGTCACGGAACGTCTGTCGATCGTTGCTTTTGTTCTAGAAATTACATTTGCTCTTCGAGAACTGGGTCACGTTCTTCAAGTGCAGTGCCTGTTATTTTCGTCAAACTTCAAGCTTTAATTCCATGTTCCATAAGTGATGTTTTGTCTTTGATTTTCTGTAATGCGTAGCAAGTTAGATATGTGCTAGAATTCAATTTTGGAAATGTTTTTGTGATTCATTTTATTGGTATGTATTATTTGCAGAGGTCCTAAAATCATATTCTGAAGTTGTATAGTTTAATTGTCCTTAGGTCCTAAAACTCTGAAGTCCCAATTCTAAATTCTGAAAGTTTTAAAATCTCAAAATTTGAAGTTACAAAGACCTAGTCTTAGAATTCTAAAGCTCTAAAGTTTCAAACCTGAGTTCTACAAATTCTGAAGTCCCAAAATTCTAAAATCCCAAATTCTTGAAGATCCAAATACTAAACTCCCAAAATTCTAAAGCTCCAAAATTCTAAAATACCAAATTCTGGAAGTCCTAAAATTCTACAGTTCCAAATCCTAAACCCCTAAACTCCTAAATTCCCAAAATTCTAAAATACCAAATTCTGGAAGTCCTAAAATTCTACAGTTCCAAATCCTAAACCCCTAAACTCCTAAATTCCCAAAATTCTAAAATACCAAATTCTGGAAGTCCTAAAATTCTACAGTTCCAAATCCTAAACCCCTAAACTCCTAAATTCCCAAAATTCTAAAATACCAAATTCTGGAAGTCCTAAAATTCTACAGTTCCAAATCCTAAACCCCTAAACTCCTAAATTCCCAAAATTCTAAAATACCAAATTCTGGAAGTCCTAAAATTCTACAGTTCCAAATCCTAAACCCCTAAACTCCTAAATTCCCAAAATTCTAAAATACCAAATTCTGGAAGTCCTAAAATTCTACAGTTCCAAATCCTAGAAGATCCAAATCCTAAACTCCCAAAATTCTAAAATACCAAATTCTGAAGGTCCTAAAATTCTAAAACACCAAATTCCAAATTTCCCAAAACCCTAAACCCCAAAAATTCAAAGTTTCAAACAACCAAACTTATCAGTCAAAGTCTTCGTCTTCTAATTGAAGTTCAGTATCCATGTTGATGCAATAGATTATCGTCTAGTTAGTATCCCTGTGCGCAAATATTGAAGCGCAAAACCAAATAGCACGTGGCGTTCGCGAAACAAACATGCAAGACTCCAACGGCATCATACGTTTGATCTCGGTTTGAAAGTGAAATTGTTTTCTATCCGCGGCCAACGGAGCACGATATCTAGGTGAAATTACGTTTCTAATAGACGATGGCATAAACTATCATTACCCGATACATTGACCGGAATGGTTTCATTCACGTTATAGATGATTTCATGTTACGTGCCATGTAAAAGCAAATAAACGTGTCGGCTCGCATGATAGATCACGTAACGATATTTTTCTTGTTGCGAACGCATACCTGTCTGGTTAATTACGACTGTAACACGGTTTAACCGTTTTGAACATGTACTAGCATTATTCGGTATACTTGAACTCTTTTCTAGGACACATAGTGAAATAAATGTCAATGTCTCTTAAAGTGTAATATTATCAAATCTCAAAATGTAAAAATGCAAACTTAAAATATTGTTATTTGTTATTTGGCGACAAGTATAACTATCAGGTTAGGTTGGTAGATATGTCTTCACTCTTTATTTGCTATATTTATTAATTATATTTGTAAGGATACTATGGCTACATTATATTTATTAGTTTGGTTAACTTATTTTTGTAGAACAATGAATGAAGTGAAGGTACAAAACAAATGTAATGTTTTTGAATCAAACTAGATATGGTAGATGTTCGTCAAGTATAGTAATTATATTATTGAGATGTTGAAATAGTATTTAGCAAGACTGTTGATATTCACCGATTGTAAATTACTATAAATTCAACGTATGAATCGCTTTCTATTGAGTAATACTTGTGACCATGTTCTCGTGGTGCGTTATACATAAAGCATGAACAACTTTCGATGCTTTATCACGAGTAGGTTATGAATGTATTAATTTCTATACTAATTGTCTTATGTTTATTTCTTCTAACAACTTTGTACAAACAGTTTAACTAAAAGATTTTTACTAAAATTTTAAACCTTTTTCAGGTTCAACTTGTTGGAAAATCACGCATGTTCTGACGCTCGCTGTGCACTGGTACCCAAGATATACGCTTCTTCCCACCACGTACCAGTTTCTGGTGAAGGTGGTAATATAACAAGAGTCTGCTGTATTTACATTCAACTAGCGAGGAAGCTGCTTCCACCTGTAGGTGAATCGTCGAAAGCCATTTTCCTTATCCGGTAACGAAAGTCTGCTGAAGTTTACGAAGAAAGTACGATGATATTCGTGTAGTTATAAATTTCATATACAAGGTGCTTCATATACACAAACATAATGTAAAACAATATGCAACATAATGTTACATATACTTAAACGTAATGTAAAATAATGTGCAACATGTTTCATGTACTTAAACATTATGTAAAATAATATGCAACATGTTTCATATACTTAAACATAATGTAAAATAATATGCAACATGTTTCATATATTTAAACATAATGTCAAATAATATGCAACATGTTTCATGTACTTAAACATAATGTCAAATAATATGCAGCATGTTTCATATACTTAAACATAATGTCAAATAATATACAACATGTTTTCATATACTTAAACATTATGTAAAATAATATGCAACATGTTTCATATACTCAAACATAATGTCAAATAAAATGCAACATGTTTCATATACTCAAACATAATGTCAAACAATATGCAACATGTTTCATATACTCAAACATAATGTAAAACAATATGCAACATGTTTCAAATACTTAAACATAATGTAAAACCCTATGCATCATGTTTCATATACACAACTTATACATGAACATTGCTCACAAATAATAAGCAAAGAAACAAAGCACAATTTATAACAAAAAGAAGTTCCAAATATTGTCTCCACAAACAGAAAAAATAATGTATTCGATTAACAAGTGTATATACAAATTGTATTGCAAGTTAAACCATATATTTCTACAGTAGTATTGTATATGAATCATTAGATGCTCTGTTCATTATATCATGGGGAAGAGAAATCGTTTGATCGTGTAACATCGAAGAACCGATTCGAATTAATGGTTGCACGGAGGACGAACACTTTTCCCAATGAACTTCGCTTCAAATTAATACCGTACTTTTTCTCCCACCGCAACTTTCTTCTCGTTACGTCGATCTCCCATGGTTGATTGATTAAGCATTATTATTTACACGGCGAGCATCGCACGTTTGATCTCTTCTAGACCTGTCGTGAAAAGTTGCATCCCCTATAAACAGATAATCGATCGAAAGTCCCTTCCCGGTTGTTTTCGACGTGTTTACACGCTTAAAATTGCACGAATGATTGACTGGTTGTGCCACTTCCGGTCTACAGGCTGGTGCTTCTTCTTGGTCCTTTCTCGTGGCACACGTTGTCGTGCACGAGAACGGTGAAAGTTAAGGTCGCGGACGAGCTGAATCGCGACCCCGAAGACCCACGGATGTGCTGGTTCCCTTGAATCTCATCTTATCCCTAGAAAGCATCTTCCTTCTTCTTCTCTCTCCGGATTACCTCTCTTAGACGATGCTTAGAAAACCACGCTTTCATCCGGCGCGAGAAAATTAATGTCTACTCGACTATTCTTTGTCTTTCAAACGTTTGAGTGCCATGGTGGGAAAGGAATGATTTCACACTTTTACTCGGATCATCTAATGCGAGATTCATAAAGAAGTTCATGTTACTGTAAATAGTGTTAAATATTGAATTTTACAATTTTAAGATTTTGGAACTTTTTATATTTAGACTTTAGCTTTTTTGTACTCAGGAAATTTAGGAATTTAAAACTTTGGGATTTTAGAATTTTTATGTTTGGGACTTTGCAACTCTGACACTATGTTCTTGAACTTTCGAATTTGTAGACTCAAGAAGTACTTTGTAAGTTTGGGACTTTGATATTTTTTAATTTTTTAATTGAAGAGTGTTGAACTTTGGAACTTAATATGTAGTCTAATAATTTAACTACAGAATTTTGAAAAACAATATACACTTGCGTTAACTAGAAATTTAGAGTATCTAATAATGCAAAGTAAAACTTACTATGTCATATAAAGCAACTTAGTTTCACTAATTACACTTGGTTTTATCTCGTGTGAATTTTCATACTTCCTGCTCTCAAACTAGTTATTAACGAAGAAATTTATTCCACGTTGTGTGACTTTTCAACGTTCATGCGTACAAAGTTGTTTGCGGTTTTGTTACTCGTAAACGAACTTTCTATCACGTCAATGTTTATTTAAAACGCACGAAAGCGTGTTTAACATTCTTTTCGTACAGAAGAGATTAAATTAAATGTACGTGTATATAAAAAAAGATGTGTATTTTATTGTCATAATATACACAAACGTTGTACAAAAATATCTATGTATATATCTTTCTAAATTGTTATTTACAAATAAAGGAATAATTACATAAGTGTCATGAATGGATTTGTCCAGGATATGTGGACGATTAATATTTTTACTACGTGATATATTGTTTGTACACGAAATATTTGGACTACGTCCGTGGTCAAAATTATTGTTTGTAAATAAGGATGTATCAATCTCGTAGATGAAATCGTGCGACTTGGTGCAACGTAGGTGTCTTTTAGATTAGAGCATAGGGGACCACCATTTGTCTTTACTTTTTGAAGATCAAATAAGAAACCTATAAACTAAACTTTTGTGTTACTAAATTACCAAATTTCTAAATTCTCAAGTATACAAGTTTCAAACCTTCTACATCTGAAGAATGTTCAAATTACTAAATTAAATGAGTTAGGATATTTTCCACCCAGAAACTGAGTGCTTATTCTTTGTCCCCAAGATAGTGACTTTCCTTAGAGAAGCCTACGTTGCATCGCACATTTTCTCTTCCATCTTCGATTCAAACCTATTTCATTCCACAATCTTTCCCACGTATATTTAAAAATTCGTGTAATCGCAGACTGTGGTTGTTGCTCAAGCGAGGCCTCAAAACGCACCGCGAATTTAAAGGTGCTTTCGAGTGGGACCTTTGATCGCAACACGACTACGCTAGCAGAAACTTAACAACGATGACGGTTTATCGTCAAGATGAGGAAAGATCGAAGACGATCTCACGACAGGAATTTACTTGTATCCATGGTGGTCGTCATGGTGGGGCTCCGCTACCCAAACTTTCTCCCAAACGGGCTTCCATACCTTCTTCCACGCGGGTACCTGCACGTCCTTCCAAACTGGCACCCATTTGCTCTTCCATTCGTCTTTCCATACCTGCTTCTTCTGCGTGACCCAAATTTGTTTTTTCTCCGGTACCCAAACTTGAACCGACTCCTCTTTCCAGACTAACTTCTTGTCGGACACCCAAGCCTGCTTCTTCTCCGTCTTCCAGATCTGTTTCCACTCGGCCTTCCATTCCAGCTTCTTCTCGCTGACCCACACCTGCTTCTTCTCCGTCCTCCAGACCTTCTTCCACACCGGTTTCCAGATCAGCTTCTTCTTCCAGAGATCGTGACTCGTGTACTGCCATCCATGCTGATCCTTACCGACGTACTGTTCTCCAGGGATGCCGACCTTGATCCATTCAGGTACCCAGATCTTCTTCCAGTCCGGCACCTGCACCTCCTTCCAGATGGGCACTTGGACTTCCTTCCACACCGGCTTCCAGACCTTCTTCCAAGCAGGTACCTGGACTTCCTTCCACACTGGCACTTGGATCTCCTTCCAGACAGGCTTCTGCACCTTCTTCCAGACTGGTACCTTGATTTCCTTCCAAGCTGGAACCTGGATCTCCTTCCATACTGGAACCTGTATCTTTTTCCATTCCTGTTTCCAGGTCAACTTCTGCTCCGTCTTCCAGATTTGCTTCCATTCAGCCTTCCACGTTAGCTTCTTCTCCCAACGTCCTTGTGGCTGAGCGGGAGGCCCATATGACTGGGCAGGAGGGCCATAGGATTGAGCAGGGGGTCCATAGGACTGCGACGGTGCTCCATAGGAGGACGATACTCCTCCACCGCCACCATGATCGCCTCCAAAGGATCCATGATCTCCCCCGAAGGATCCGTGGCCTCCTCCGAAGGAGCCCTGGTCACCTCCGAAGGATCCATGACCTCCACCGCTATGGTGGTCGCTGAAGGACCCTCCACTGCTGTAACCTTGGTCACCTCCGAAGGAGCCATGGTCAGACGGGGCTCCATAGGAGGAAGATGGGGCTGATGGTGCGCCGTAAGAGGAAGATGGAGCACCGTGAGACGATGGGGCACCGTAGGAGGAGGAAGGAGCCGATGGAGCACCATAAGACGACGAAGGAGCTGATGGAGCACCGTAAGAAGAAGACGGAGCACCGTGAGACGATGGATGAGACGATGGGGCACCGTAGGAGGAGGAAGGAGCCGATGGAGCACCATAAGACGACGAAGGAGCTGATGGAGCACCGTAAGACGAAGACGGAGCGCCGTGAGACGACGGAGCACCGTATGAGGATGAAGGTGCTGACGGAGCACCGTAAGAGGACGATGGTCCTGATCCACCGTGCGAAGGTCCTGATGGTGCACCGTAAGAAGACGAAGGTGCACTGTACGACGAAGCTAGTGGAGTGCCATAGGAATCAGACGGTGCGTTATAAGAACTTCCTACGTTTGGAACTCCATAAGAAGTCGATGGTGGACCATATTGACTCGGAGGCGGACTCAACGGAGCTCTAAAATGTACAGTATTTTTATTTACAGCTACGATCTTACGTTTAATAGTTTTATTAATAATAAGGTTAAGTATATGCACTTACTCTTTCTTTGTCCTGATAGGATCTCCAAGGGTGGAGACTAGAAAGAAGCCTAGCAGCAGCTGAAAGGAAAATCATAATTAGTAATCGTGTGAGAGACGATAATAATCGTGAATAAATACTGCGAATCTTAAGTAGAACTGCGTTGTTTGCGGAAAAACAAATTGGGGTTAAATCGATGCAGCAGGAAGAAAGTAACCAGTGGAACGTTCTGGTCAGAAATGTAAATGAGTTAGCTATGGTATGTTAGTCATCTAGGCGATTACAAGGCTGGAGTAACTGTAAAGAAAAAGAGGACGTGTTTGGGGCACCAAGGGTGGAAGAATAATATAGAAACTTTACATTGCTGACTTGAATGCTGGGTCATATTTTCTAAACTTCAATAGTTCATATATTCTAGAGTTTCAAAGCCTCAAATCTCAAAAACTTTAGAGCCTACAATTTGTAAAATTTCAAAATCTCAAAGCTCCAAAGTTGTAAGTTGTCATTGTTCCAAAGGGGTAGCATCTCAATATCTGGAGGTCTCAAAATTTGAACGTCATTAAATCCAAAAATTGTAAAAGCTTGGGGTTCCTGTAGTTATTAATCCTGCCTTGAGACTGTACCACCTTCGTAATTACCTACTAACACAGTCGCTAGAAATTCATTCACCGCAGATAGGATCTGAAACGGCACCTCCGTATGCGAGCATTATACTTAATAATTAGCAGCCTGATTTCAATCTATATACTTGGCCTTCGCGTTATCCTTCTTCCCATCGTCTGCTGACGTTTAATAAATGCATCAAACCATTCTCATAAATATCGATCGACCGATAAAGACAAAGAAAGAACGAGGTCTTTAACCTTCTGTGTACAGGGATGCAAATTTGATTTTCCCTCGGGCTATCTTTCATTTCGTATATCTTCTTAAAATGTTATATTGTACTCAAACAGCCAAAACCTTTTCTTTACATTTCTGACTGCAAATACGTTCAGTGTAATTACATCGGTTAACGGCTAAGTATCTGTACACAGAGAAAAGGCTAAAATTATGAATAATATATCTTGCGGGTTTTCGCCGCTTTACGAGCGTATCTCTGAAAAAATGAAAGTGTCCAGGCGCGAAGTAACGCGAATGGACGTAAGCAAGTCCGTGAACGGGGTCGTGCGTGGCCTGTTTTATTTTTCTTCGTTTTACAACCGGAAAGAGGAGACATCAGGTGTTCGTGAAACTCGAGGCTGTTCATTAACGCTGGTACCAGCGCGAAAGTGGGCCTTCTCAGTTTCGTTTCTCACCCCAATTTAAATATGTATATACCGTATATGATAAATAATAAAAGTATATACATATATTTGTTGCCTTTTGGGGATTCGTTAATCATTCGAGCGTTCCGCTCCTGTTCCGACGATTACCACCAGCCAAGATGTCAAAATCAAGGATCGACATAACCGACAAGTTTAACGAGCAGAACGTTATCTGATTTTTCGTCGTGTGCCCTCGTTAACATGTATCGTCACTGTCGATCTAGTATAATGAGCACATGGACAGATTTACGAAAGTACGACAGATGAATGGAAAGTGAGCAGGGATGTTACGTTAACGATAGAAAGGGAAAAGCGTAATGTACCGTGGTACTTTCGATGCGTAAGATGTTCTCTGCTTAGGCTTCCCACGATTAGGGGAAAGTGTAATCGATGGTAATAACCGAGAACCAACATCAAGGTCTATGCTAGATTTTCTGGGTTATTTCAAACCTGGGAATTTCTTCTTCCAGAATTTGAAGATCTTGGAAGTTTCAAGATTTAATAATGTAGGAATTTTACTCATATATCACACTTACATGTACCAGATAAATTAAGAAATAATCTAGCCATAAGTTTCAATAGAGAAACGCTAACGAAGACATACTTAACAATGTTGCGACTAATGAATGTAGAATATAGAATACAGGTGAAAATATAGAAATCAGGTTACGAATAGGATTCTATGAAACAATGTTAAGCATTTATCATACTTAAAAAGCAAACAGTGTCTTAGCAGACTAGTCTCCTAATTCGATAGAACAAATGAGCTTAGAAAATATCTTCAGTGCAGTTTCACGAGAGATGATCATTCGAGGCACGAGCACGGTGCTCGACTTTCCATTCTACTCAACGAGAAGCGACGAGAATACTTAGGCAAAGCTTAGAATACACCGTTCTTTATGTGTAGAATACTATAGAAATCTTATGAAAGAAACTTCGACCCAAAACCTATCACAAGTGAAGAAGGTAAAGGTGTCTTCTTCAAGAACTGAAATTCTAGTCCTCCGAAATCTCGGTACCAATGTATCCACGAGGATCTACAATATGATCACTAGTAAGAACTACCATAACTTGCTTTCGATAGTTATAGAAGTTATAGTTGACGTGTCATAAAGTCCAAATAAATGGTTCACCACTTGCTATCAACGTATCACGTGCACGTGCAACGATCTCACATTTCACAGGCAGGTACACTGGATACACGAGTTATCGGAGAACCGAAGAGTCCATGAGAATTAGTCAGGGTTGGTATGCTTGTTACACTAACCAGGCTGTACCGCATCTTCACGACGGAGTGCGTGTGTCGTTCACAGAAGAAAAAAAAAGAACGGCAACCACTGCCGCCTTTTTTTTGTTACGGTTCGTCACTTTTCTGACGAATTCCTCGTGGTACCGGAGCCTTTTATAGCGAATGTTCCTCCGCCTAAGCGTCTAGTCGCCCTAAGCACAGAAGACATTTCGAGGAGGGGTACGCATGGAGTAGCTTCGCGATGCCAATATGGGGGTCCTAACACTACATCCTGAACTCTCTTCCTCTGGAGGGGATCCTCGACTTGCGTTCGCAGCTAGTAGACTAGAAGGTAAAAGGGGCATTTAGGTGCCACAGACGAACCTGACATGAAACGTGTGCTTTTTTCGTAACATTGTTCTGCGATCACTTCTCACTATATTTTCCCACGTTTCGAGCTGTCGACACTACTCAATAGGAGAACTTGAAGATCGTGTGAGGTCCATAGCTCTTCTAAGGTAATTTCTTCGTTTCATTGAAGTCACTGAAAGGGATTAGAATGTTTATTCATACAGGGAGTTTTAGGTACTTATTTGGAAGAATATTCTCATACTATGAGAACTTACTCTTCTTTTACTTCTTCTTCCTCTTTTTCTTAAATTCTTGCATGTTAATAAATCACGTTATCTTATTACAAATTTAATCGTTTCAAAATATAAAATTTATTAACTATAATAATATTAATGTTCATTTAAAATCTATTTGCATCAACACATATATGAATATGTATCGTTAGAAATTGTAGAAATATATACTAACTAATGAAAGTTTCAATCGCTTCGACGTACTAGTCAGCATATTAATAATCTTGACAGTCAGCATAACAAATATGAAGTGTGAACATATCGATACGTATCGCATTTATGCACATGAGTACGTAAAAAGACAGGTATTGATTATTTGTTTAAAGTAACATGACGAATAAATTACAGATTCGTAATATGTTGATCTATCAACATTAATGAGTTATGTAATCTGTACACTTTCGAGGAAGCAACCGAAGTGAAAGAAGAATATCGAAATAAAAGAAGAGGAACAAGATGCAATAAGAAGTTGGTTCAACGAAGGAAGTAACGTGATCCTACGAATGCTGGTATTTAATCATGAGTAAAAGCAAGTTTTGTATGATTGTGTAGTTGTTTGCTTTCACTGATATCACTGATTCACTGAGCATTCTATGCAATGTGGAAGTTGTAAATTGTCCATCAATCCAATCCAATCAGCTTTATCAATCTTATCTGTAGAAGACAACTAGATTCTTCACCTAAAATAGATTCTAGATTAGATTCTTTGTATACAATATTATATTTCTACACAACATAACAAATTAACAAAGAAGACATACTTACTAAATATAAAATACTTACTGTATCAAAAGGGATCTCAATAGACTCTCTTCTTTATCTTATTATTAATCAATCGGTTTTGCATTTCTAATTCATTCCGTGTGGAGGTTCAGGTAGACGTTACAAATTTCTCGTTGAACACGTGCGGTCTTTTAGCCCTGCGGTCAAATTTCGGAGGTCCACGTGACGTCGACAGAATTTCATTGCCCAACTGAATCGCCCTGGAGCACAGAACATGGCACAGATTACGCAACCATCGGGAGAAGATTAGATGCAATGTGAGAGTTGCCACGAACGAGGAATGAGAACGAAATTATCGGTCGTACACGGTATAAAATATTAATGACCCTCAGAGCTCGCGAAATTTGCTTGCGTGCCACGGAAACCCGGCTGGGTCCTTGCTTTACGGTGAAACTACAATTTTAGGCGGTTCGAAAACAACAAAAATAATGGATAAAACCACGGAAAGAACATTAACTAGGATTTTTACCCGGATTGAATTTTATACCCTAATTTTACTAATATACTACGTTACACATGAAGTTTGGAAATTTAGGAACTTGCATAACTTCTCTAATTAATTTCTCATTACATTTGTGTATTCTAATTGGCGAATTAATCGAGTGATAACAGTCGGAATTTACGTAAAGCAAATGGAAATCGCGTGTTGATAATAGTGAAGTAATTAATGTCTTTCTCTCGGAGAGCTAATCTAAAGAAAATAATTAGATACTTTACGAGCGTCTCTGGTATTTTCCAGTTTGGCCTACTCGTTCTTTCTCCACGACTAACTCTTTCACAACCTCTTCCTAAGATTTAGAAAATAAATCTTCGAGAAATCGATGAGCAAAACATTCGGTGTCATGGTCGCCGTGGTTTCTTTTACAATTATGTAGGAATCGCCTCGAAAACCAGCTTGAATTCATTAAAAGCATACACAGTGACTCACGTGAGGCCATAAATGTTTAGCATATTTTATTGGTTCAAAAATATACTTCATTAATGTAACTAAAATTTTTGTTTAGTGTGGGTCAAATACCCTTATATCATCATGACATTACAAATCCTAAATTCCCAATTCATATTCTGAAATTGCCAAATTTCTAACGCTTTAAATTATTATATTTCTCCCTTTCTCCTACACCGCCATTTTCCCTAGAGATTCTACCACATCCGCCAATATACATGATTAACTATCCATAAATGTATAAGAGGCAGTAAAAGGGACTCTAAGATGAGTTTCCTTTTTACGGAATAGCAATAAAAAAAGTGAAATCTATTCCGTAGTATTATCCCCTGAATTCTGTTTGTTGGTCTCAAAGATGACCTCTCTACTTTTGTTGACAGTAGAACCGACATTAAGTACTTTCTACTTATTGGTTATCGTCCGTTTCATAATCGTTATGTCAGTTTTAATTGACCAAGTTACAAAGTAGAAATCTTATGCAGTATTTTGAAATGATTTAAAACCGATAAAAGAAGTGTGGTGTAAGAATGTGTCCCTCTTCTTTCTTCGAGAGTATAGCGACGAAGCTCTAAAATTATGATGAACGATGATTTCGCATGTTTTGTAGGATGATTCGAACTTCATTGCCGATCGTATGCGCTCCAGGCACAGTGAAAGTAACCACCGCCATTATCCTTTGGTATTTTAAAATGGGGAGAAGACAGCTGCAACCCTAAATTGAAAGAAAGTCAAAGCTATACGAACACGAATGTAATAAGCGTACAACTTTCAGCGGCGGCCATCATCTTCCATATCATCACTTGAACATCGGTATTTTTACTAAAAGTGTTACAGTATAAGTTCAGTATATAAATAAATATAAGTTAGTAAAATTAAACGTATCATACCTTGTTAATTTATGTAAATTTATATGTCAATCACCAATTTTAATCCCAGTGATTATAGTACACCTCCATTTTGTGTCATGTTTAAATCTGTAAAAATAGATTTTATTAAACTATATTCATAACAATATTTGCATACATTTGCATTTCTGTATTAAATACGTAATTTTGAATAATGGCGCCATTTGGCTCCCTGAATTAAAAGACGCGCGAAAAGGTGTCAAAACTCAGGTGAGAAGTGCTTACCTGCATTTATTGACTTCACCAAATATGTTAATTCGATTCAACAAAGTGACCACACGGACCATTGAGCCTGGTACTTGAACTTTTCTCTTAAAATGAAAAATCCTGAACTTTCGTAACTACTACATTAAGCGTACTCTTTGTCAAGTGTAGCTTCGAGCCATACTTTGAGTAAACGTGTCAGTTGAGCGGTTTACATAACACTACATCGGCATTCTTTCCTCTCCCTCGTTACAGTTATTTACCTACGTTATTTTTAACGAGACAATAACTGCGACTAGTTGTATTTAAATTAAAAAGCCGCCATTGTATTTTTAGATCAAGAATCAATACAGCTGCCGTAGTGATTTCCCGCGCAATTATTACTTCACGTATCTGTCCTTATTCGAAAGAAGTAGAATTATTTCACTTCGATCCTTTCTATCGACCACGAAAGCAGAAGATGGTGCGGTGAAAGGTATCAAATGGAATAATGTCGCGTTATAGGAAGGAAGGCACGAGCAGAATCAAAAGAAAGTCAAAGTGACTCTGCCAATAGTAAAATCAAGTCGATGTATCCGCAATACGATGAGCACCATGTTCGTGAATCTCTCACTTGTGTTTCACGATGCGTTTCTCCGTTCCAATGTTAATCGCATTCTAAGGCACTCGAGTAGACTTTCAGGTTGAAAGATACACCCGCGACTCTCAACGCAACTTCCGGTGGTGATACAACTGGTCAACGCTCCCTTCTTCGAATATTTATGGGAGCTTCTTTAGAAGTCTTATAATAAAACTTGACAGAATACGAGGTATTTATCTATTGACTATAATTCTTTATCTTGCGACATAAAATTTTAGTTTTTTATCTCTAGTCTTCTATCGAGACGAAAGTTTTTTATGCATCGAGAACACGTTTTCACTCCGATCAGTTTATAAATATATTATAATATCATTGTCACATAAGATCGTTTGTAACCGAGATGAATATCTAATCGACATTGAATATCGTTAGAAGCCCTGGAGTGAACAGTCGGAGAAAGTAACTTTAAACTAATCCTATTTTTAATGACTGCGTCATTTGGTAACGAAAAGAATGTTTTTTCAGATAGTACCAGAGATCTTTCGTCTGAATACTTTTCCATTAACATATATATCAAGAAGGATTTATACTCCCTATAATTTTTATGCAAGAAAATGTTTACCGAAATCTCTATACATTTTGTAAAATAGGTTAGAATGTTAATTTATGAATAATTCATTATCAAATTTATAACCCATCATTTATAAATGATTGTCAACTTTTAATCGGCATTAATAATAATATGTAAATATTGTTGTAGGTAAAAAAGTTCTTAATCTAACCAGGAAGCTGGATTCAAAGTGATTATAGTTTCAGTTTCCGGCAGGTTAGAAATTGCTGCGGGCGATTCTGCTGGCATCTTGTGCAATTAATCAATATGCTTATTGCATACACGTGAAGTAATTTGAAGTTACTTTCTCAAGAATTTCCAAATTTCTTAATTTTAAAATCTTTAAAAGTCCAAATTTGCAAATTCACAAATTTCTAAATCCCAAAGTTTCAAAAATTTCAAAAGTTCGTATTTGTAAGTTTGCAAATTTCTAAATTAGGTTATCGTAACTATACACTCCCTACATTTCGATAAAAATAACCTACAAATTGAACTACTTTTTTCGAATGCTATTTCAGAGTAACGAAAAACATAGGAAGATTATTTCATCTTTTACAAATAGGAAGTATAAAATTGAGCAAAGAAACTTTGTCAGTAATGTTTTATTAATTTGCAGAACGGATAGGAAGCATCAAAGAAAAAATATGTAGGCGAATGAAAGTAATGTCTCTGTACCTCGTAATGAGTCTCGCTTACATGAAAGTCCAAAGAGTCTTCCGGCATGGTAGTCACATGAAGTTAAACTTTGTTTCACGATTTCTGTTGTGATAAACCCAGACATAATCGCAGGTGCCAACAATTCTAAGTAGATTATTAAATGATCATCAGTAGGTGGAGACAATATTTACGACACTTCTTCCGGTTTGTCACTTCCGAGCCGGGAAATATTATTACGCTTTGATGATCTCTAAACAGATGTTCGTCAATAAGGTAATCGTTAGTCGGAAGTATTTTATTGCCTACTAAAATAATTGGAATGATGTTTAACAGTGAATACTACAAGTGATTTGATGATGTTTATTACAGGTTCAGCGAAGACTGAGTAAATATTTCTGTCACTTTTTATCGTGCATAAAGCAATAGGATCAGGATAAACTAGTCGCAGGTTTTGTTTCTTTGGAGGCGTGTCTGTGGAAATATACGATTCCAATCTGTTTCACGCCATTCGTCTGCGAAGATAAACTAACGCCGGTCATTAAAATTCGCCGAAAATACACGAGTGATGCTGTTTCGTGTTTTCAGAAATTAAATCCTACTGCTGATATATCCGTTTTACTAATTTTATTTCCTTATGAATATATTTAAGCTGATTTCTGAGGTTCCTTTAATTGGTTAACACGTTCGGATGACGTGAATTTGTACCACACTCGGTTAATATTTCTAATAATAATATTAAAACCAACACTAACATTAATCGAGTGTGGTACAAATCCATGTCATCTACGACACACGCGTGAAGCAATATCTCTTCGTATTCAGAAGAAACGTCGATAATGAAGTAATGAAATTTTCTTTGCAGACATAATGTTAGTCATTACGAATTCACGAACTTTCCTAGGAAGTTCGCGTTGTTATATAATTATTGCAAATGTTCTGGAACCCAGCGCACAAAAACGTGTTAGAAACTCTTTGACACTGTTTGTATGCAACAACGATACAACAAGGATGTACAATAAGCGCGTACTGTGATTTTAGATTTGTTCGAATACACGAACCGCCACGTGAGCAGCAAGTAGATTCGACTGAAATTGCAACATTTACAGTCAGTTTTTTTCCTAAACTATTTAGCTACAGGTACCTAACATTGAAATTCTTTTGAAGTCGCTTCACGAAATTTTTTAAATTAAAAGAATAGTGTCAAGTATTTTTCTATGTATTAATTTTACTGTCTTTTCTTAATTAATTCATTAATTATAGATTAGCAAGAGGATGTCGGAGATCAGCAGTTTTCAAATTCATTTGTAAAATGGAAGAGAGAAGACAAATATTTGATAGTGAGAAGAACAAAAAAGAAGAGGCAGAGTTGTTTTACCGGCATTGCGTAAAATAAGAAGGTGAAATACTATTCGAAAGTGCGTAATGAAAAATTCGTGTATGAATTGCATTTTGTTAAGTGGACAGGATTCACACAAGTTAGAATTGTGATTAAATTTATTCTCATCCCCGCTCTTACCCTTAATTCGATTCTGAAGGAATCAACGTTAACGAACCTTGTTCGAATAGCCACACAGTTGTTCCTCGCGCTCTTTGATCGCTTCGTCCCTCATTATCGCTTGTCTCTCGTTATCTCGATCGTTGCATCCTGTCGGCTATTATTTCTATTATCTTTATTACTTGAATTCATCCAAACGAAACGTTCATGATTTCATCGATCTTCCTAATTGCATACCGACGTCGATATGTAATTGGTCTTGTCAATGAACCTGCGTTATCTTGCCTGCTTCCACCTTACACCGTTAGAAGCTGCGTCATTACAGATTAAAGGCCACTCGCAGAACAGTCGCTAGGGTTTATGGGACCCAGGTCAAACGCTAACTTTTCGTTAGAATGCCATTACACTTGATATAATTTATATTTACAAAATTCGAAAGTCCCTATGAGCGTGAGGCAGAGCACGTGTCCCATTTTACCCGACCTTTATTTTTACATCTTCGGTTGAACTTTCACGGTATAGCAATTACAGATTTCTCTTACGTAAGAGGACGATTTTTTGCTCGACGCTGACATGGAATTCGGATGAAATTGTTTGCTTCTTGAATAGACTCCAAGTGTCTTATATAATGATAATTACCTTCAATTTAGAAATATAGTCACAACCGTCTTGTGTAACATACGTAAAATTTTATTCACCCTGAGGATAGGTTTTTGTGTTGTCGAAGAATGCTGCAAATTAACTGTCCATTTTTAATCTGATATTACTTGGCTAAAGAATGAATGCATAATTTGTATAAGATACATGTTATCTGCGGAATTTGCCGCCTAATTCAAACACGAATTATGTCAGTCACGTATTATAGATAAGAATAGTATTTTCTTAAATACCATTGATATGTTAGAATATTATAAATTTACATTTCTTCATATGCTGTACTTTTTTTATTTCAGCAATTATGGAGATAGAAACCCCGTAGAAAGTACGTGACAAAGCATCAAACGTTTACGCACCTCGTGCATAACAATTTCAGGAATCACATAATCTACAATTACTAATGCATGGAAGCGTGTTTCGTCGGGTCAAATGATTGACTGATATTGTCTTAGAAAACACCAACAGCGAAAGCATACGAACAAGCAATTGACAAATCAACTTAGATCCAGTTTCTTTTATTTTAAATTCAAAACTGAATTTGATTCTAGCTTAGCAATGACACAAAATTTTATATTGAACTTTAATGTGTAAGCAGCAATTCTTTATATTTGCTTATTATGGTGGTCATTTTGTCAAATAATTAGTTAGAGACCGAGTTTTGAATAGAAAAATGTAGATTTATGTTTAACGAATCTGACCTTACCACCATACTTAATATTTGGATGTTCAAATTTCTATGGTTTACTTTCGTATTTGAGCGGTAAACATTGAGAAATATTTTTATTATCGCGCTTCAACAACGAATACTCAAGCAATGACGCTGTCACTTTCTCCGTTGTAACTATTTTTCACTTTCAACGTACGTACACCCGTTTAGTGCTCGATGAAGAGCATTTCTCTGTTATTAAGTATCAATTTATTCGAACTAATAACTATGGTGTCAATTACCCTTAACTTCGATCGTTATGATCACCCTCGTTTAAGAGAAAATTACTGAACAATTTTATCAATCTACTTGAACTTCTCACTTAGCTGACATCTCAATCGTTTAATCTCAAACCTTAATTAAATTTTCTCATTTTTTGTAACTGAAGATGTACTATTAATGAGAAACATTCTTTTCATAGTTATACGAAAATACACGACTGTAAGTTTCTTAATCTATTTTAAACTTTTAAAAGGGGATTGACTTAATGTATACTAGTTAATCAATCTTATATAATCAGTATATGTATGACAAGTTAAAACATCAACTTAGAAGTTCATTTATTATTAACGAGGACGTTTACATGTCTTATCACTGTTACATATGCGAGGATATCTTTCCAGTCAATTAAACATACATTTGTCAAGTAACTACCGATATAAGCAGCTGAAGAACAAGGAAGATATTTTGAAAGAATCATTCATGCTTGCTTCATATTGCAATAGGAAGGAAGATCATAGCTCAAACCACATGATAAAAGATGTTCGTGACTAGAATTTTTATTATGATACTATGCCTCATTTCTTCGACTTGGTAACGCAATCAATTGCATAACCTGTTACACGCATCGACTACATTGTAATGCCTACATCTAATCCCCGTTTTCTAGCGGAAGTCAGGTAAATATAAACTTATTTTAATTGAACGATGAGGTCGAACGTGTATGAAGTATTCACTGCAATTTTCCCCATTGCAGTCATCAAGAACATTATCGGGAAACTTTACGAAATTTGATGAAAAGCCTGTAATTACATGGACTTCTTTCTGAGGATCGCTCAGATGCGATTTCTCTTTTTATGCACAAAGACGGTAAAAAACTTCTGTTTAATTTTAATAAAATTTATTATTTATTTAATTCGACTTTATCTTTTGTAGTACAATATATGGTACGTTATTAGTACAATAATTGAATTATAGAATTAACTGATGACATTAAACAGCTGAACAAATATTAAATTATTATCTTATCACAGTGAAAATACAAAGATAAATAATAATTATTGAAATTTAATTTTTATAGGAGACTGAATTGTAAGGAGCAAAGAAACGTTTCACAGATAGGAAAAAAGGAAAAGAAATTTCACTGACGCAGAGATGAACGTGTTAATTGGAGCTCGGTTTGTCTCGTTCACTTTCCCGATGTTTGTAGCTCGCCGACTTCAACAGAGTTTCGACGTCGCGAGAAAGATTGTGGAGATAATGATCAAGTGAAAACGTACCTTTCGCAATTATTCCCAAATACTTTTCTCGCTTGCATTTACATAATATGCCGTGAATAATTCCAGTGGAAGTTGGTCATCATCGGAAGTACCGAAATGTATATAAATAATAGAAGACATTAATAGTAGCACAGTACTTAGTTCAATTAGTTCAACACATGGTACAGCGTCTTATAATTCGATACGTAATTCAACTTGTAATCCGACTTGTAATTTAACTTATAATTCAACAACCAGTAATTTGAAAGTTATTTCAAGAATTTTATCAGAGAGACGAAATTCCACAGTATTTTAAAAAACACTGAATTATTCATTGATCGCATAGACTCGCATCTGTGTCCACATTCTAGGATGTTGGCACAGAAACGTAGTTCCTGTTCCGTTCAAGTTCGAAGTGGCACGATTACATCAATGTCACCGAAACTGAGAAACGGACGAGTTCTTCGAGTTTTTTTTGGAAGTCCCGTGAGTTTGACCTTCCTCCTTGAGTCTTGGTTTCACGAACATCTGATTTACATATATGCGCTTGTAACCGATTTGCTAATCATTATAAACGACTCGACCAACTAAATACTGGATGATCTATCGTCGTTCCCGTTAGACGACGTCGCTGATCTACTCGTCAAGATCACATAGAACTGAAAAACTAAAGAATATAAAACTATTTGTATAATTTTGCAATGAAATTACCACAACGGAAATGCAATGAATTACCACGCGGATTATCAACATCCATACTGTTATTAGAACAATTTTTGTCAAATTAATATTGTGTAGTATCTTATATACAATACCGAGAAATCTTTGTTTAAGAGATTTAAATATTTCAAAGTCCTAAAAGAAGCAACGATTGCAGGTACTTGTTGGGAGAAATGTTTCATTATCTCAGGAAGTCTTTCGAATGGAACAAATTAACAAGAATCAATTTAATCTGTCGGACTGTTGATTACAATAATTAGATTGCAATCGATTGAGACACCAAAATATGAAGGAAGTATGGACGCAAGAATTAATCGGTCTCCACGTATATCTAATCGATTGCTCGCTAATGAAAGATAAGACTATCCTGTCCACAAAGACACTGTTAATATTTAGTCTCTAGCTGACTGTTGTTCTAATAGCAACCATGAAGTTTCCGATATTGCTTCTAGTAGCCCTTTGCTTCGCTTGCGGATCCCTGGGTAAGTATTCATTTACCGCAGAGATGTCATTACAGAAATTACATGATAATTTTTATTTCGAAAATGTAGAGGCAGTAACTAGCATTTTTTCTGGGGTGATTGGGAAATTTGGGGACATTGAAAAATTAGTTGAAAATGTATTATGAAGTTTATAAATTTAAGAATTTAAGGATTTAAAAATTTAGGAATTTAAGGATTTAAAAATTTTGGAATTTAAGGATTTAAAAATTTAGGAATTTAAGCATTTCAAAATTTATGAATTTAAGGATTTCAAAATTTAGGAATTCAAGGATTTAAAAATTTAAAAATTTAGGAATTTAAGAATTTAAAAATTTAGGAATTTAGAAATCAAATTAAAAATTGTGAAACTTAGTAATTAGTGTGATAAGAATTTCTGAGATTTCCACATCCACCCTGCTCCCAATTTCGTTACACCAATGTCATGTAATCTCTGTATTCTAAAATAATTGAATGTAAGGAGAACGGAAGATCACTTTTAAAGTAATTAGAATGTCGGTTATAACGAATGACACGTTTAAGAAATGAAAGCGTTTAATGCGAAGTTCATCCGCGTGAAAGATATTTAGTAAAATTCCGTAAACAAGAAACGCAGGAAGTGAAGTAACCGTTATTCTGCGAAATTTATGTTTGCTTTGTCAATTTTGCTAACTTTCAGTTATCGAAAATCTTCACTGAAGAATTTCATTTCTCTCAGATATTTACTTGCTACGGAATAATCATTTACTTCATAAATTGCTTGCTATTAATTAATCAACTGAATTATATTCAATGATTTATTATTTTGAACAAAGTTGTAATCTTATGTTTTTGATTGAACACAGCGAAGAAAGGATTTGGTCCAGGAGAGCAAGAATGGGGGTACGAGAAAGTGCGTGCGAATGCAAACATGTTCTGGTGGCTTTATTACACCAGTGCAAATGTGTCATCGTACTATGAAAGGCCACTGATTATTTGGCTGCAAGGTGGACCCGGTGCATCGTCCACTTCTTACGGGAATTTCGAAGAAATCGGACCTCTCGACTTCGACCTGGAAGAAAGAAATTCCACTTGGGTAGGACGTCTAATCTCAGCGTGCTAATTAAATACTCTGATAAATCGATTAATCGCAATTTTTGTTTATCTCTTAATTACATTCCCTTATCACGGTGTTTTTAATCTAGACATCATTGATAAAATAAATCCCAGATTGAACTGAGATTGTATCTGATATCACAATTTCAATCAGAGTTTCTCGTTGCTATCAAATCTAAAAATACTTCAAAAATAATACTGATTAAATTCTTTTTCGCAGGTTAAAAACTATAATGTACTCTTCATTGACAATCCAGTGGGAACAGGCTTCAGCTACACCACTTCAGCTTCAGCGTACGCGACGACAAACGCGCAGATCGCGGAGGATCTCGTGGCATGCATGAAAGGATTTCTGCAGAAGCTGCCTCAGTTTCAGAATGTGCCCACGTATATTACCACCGAGTCTTATGGAGGAAAAATGGGCGCAGAATTCGCCCTCGTGTGGTACAAGGTGAAACTCCTGGCAATTAGTATTATGCAGCACTTAATTTTCTGAGAAATTCATAGAAAGCTAGAAATGTAAAGAAGTAGAAATCTAAAGATCCAGAAGTATAACTTATTGTTATTTTCTTTGAAACACAGGCACAAAGTGAAGGAAAAATTAAGAGTAACTTAAGAGGTGTTGTTTTGGGCGATGCTTGGATCTCTCCCATTGACTCAGTGATGACTTGGGCACCCTTCTTACAGGCAACGGTACACACTCACCGCTCAAGATACCTAATTGTGTTCTTACATGACGGACTGTATGTTGTACCAAAGAAAAATATTTTTGCAGGGCATGATCGACAGCGAAGGTTTCAAAAAGGTTGACGCTTCTGCTCAGAAGACGAAGGCGGCTGTAGATTCAGGCTTATGGAAAACGGCAACAACTTTGTGGAGTTACACAGAGGCTGTAATTTCTAGAGCAACCAACAATATTGACTTCTATAATATTTTAACCAAAGTATCGCCCTCCTATAGACAGTACTCCCTTGCAGACAAACTTATGTCGGACTCAGGGTTCCTCAGAGGTATATTTCAAGGAAAATTTTGGGATATTTCTAAATTTCCAAATTTTATTATTATAACAGTTAATACTCTAAAATTAATTACGTGATAACTTGAAGATCATTTAACTATTAAAACATTACAGAAAAGGCGGTCTATGCCGAAGCTAATTTGGATGCGTTAATGAACGGTCCAGTGAAAAAAGCTCTTGGTTTATCGGTGCATCATGGTGGACAGTCCAATACCGTGTTCTCCAGATTGCAGGAGGACTTCATGAAACCCGTTGTCGATAAAGGTATTTTTATATTTATAAAGTCAAAGAATCGTAAATCATTCAAATTATTTTTGAATATTTTATTTGAATACCAGTGGAGATGCTGTTGAATCAAACCGACTTGAAAGTGGTGGTGCTTACCGGTCACTTGGATCTTATCGTTGACACTCCAGGTATTCTTTATTATTATAAATTAAGATAACTTGGCAACAAAAGATAACTTCACTTTATCATCAAGCGCTATTTACCTCGCTAGCAAGGTACTCGTTTACTTTGCTACTAAAGGAGCTCTAATTTCTATCGATATAAATATTCAGGTACTCTTCGGTGGGTTGAGAAACTGAAGTGGAAGAATGCCGCTGCCTGGAAAAATTCCGAAAGACTTCCAGTGGTAGCTAATAGAGTCTTGGAGGGATATGTGAAGTCTTATGGCAATTTCGCCATGTACTGGATGAACAGAGCTGGACACATGGTAAACAATTACCTTATTTTATACATTTATTTGACTTCCAATATTTAATATATTATCCATTGCGAATTCATCAAAATCCCAATTTGTTCACAATGATTATTTCATAATACAGGTACCAAAGGACAATCCCAACGGAATGGCGCAGTTGTTAAAAGCTTTCGCCAATTGATACTCAAGTATGAAAGTTAAAAATATGATATAAAAATAAACCGGATAATCACTACAATAATTAAATTTTATTATCTTGATTTTAATAAGATAAATAAAAACATTATTCTTGCAAAGATGTTGTTTAATATCTAATTTGGCGATGAATAATTTCAGCGACGCTTTCGATTGCGTTCTCAGTTACTTCCAAGAAAATTCACCGGTCACGAGGACGGGTTAGTTTATTTTTTGCGATTTAGACGGGGAGGACCGAGCCCCAGCGAAACGCGGATCTGCAGTCTGTGGATTTTCCCACACTCGTAAAACGTCGCAAAGGCAACAATCTGAAACCGAGCAACCCGCAGACGCCTGCCGATTTTGTCAATAAGGAACGATTGTTTAGATTCGACCGGGTACGAGGCAGTAAAACGAAACGATCTGCAAACAAGTCCGTTCGTGTTCATGAGGCCTTTTCAACCGATGAAGAGGAAAGGCTTCTGCGGTTGGCCAGCTTCTTAAATAAAGCAGAAAGAATCCCCCTTTTCGCCGGGAGATCATTTCGAATAGATCTTCCTATTTTAATAGGAAAATAAAATAATAAAATGATAAAATGAAGAAATAACGGTACAGAATAATAGTAAAATAGTAAGATGGTAAATTAATGAAACAGTAAATTAGTAAAAATAGTAAAATAAGAAAACAGTTCGTTAAAGTCAGCTGTTAGGTATAGTTAAAACGCGAGTGACTTTCTTTCGAACGGAGATTATTTTTACCATCTGTTTCAACCTCTGCGAATGTTTTCTTTGCTTACACCTTCAGAATGATTTAAGGAACGCAAAACAGGGGCGCAGGATTAACGCATCGAAGACAATTTTGGCTGTTTTTCGAAGAACATTCCGAGGATGTTCGAACACAGCCTAAGTACTTTTCGTTTGAACGAAAGCTAATCCGTCGGTTCCTTCCGCCGTCAAATCCACGGTGATTTGTTTCTTAATATTTCAAGATGGAACCAGCCTCGGAACGGCAGCGGTGTGCAAACAAATAACGTTTCTTCCCTCGATCTCTTCATCTCTCCCCTCGTTTCATCTTCAAAAGCAGCGGCTTTGAAAACATGGTTAAAATTGTGAACAGCGGAGACAATCTTATTTGGATATCTCTTCAAAAATATGCTGAAAAGTTAATCGACTGGGTGAACTAATAAACGATAATGATAGAGTACGATTAACTGAGGTTTAAAGTTGAAATTAATGTTAAAAATGAAGCTGCTTATGCATACGATACTATTTGCATATCGGTAAGATGTTTTAACTGCACTATGACGTTACAAATTCTTGAGTAAATTTATTAATCATATATAATAAAATGGTTACAGGGTTGCTGTTAAAATAGTAATCGAATATCTTTCATCTTCCTTCTCTGAAGTCTAATTCGATCTTCAAATGATTTCACCCACTATCATATTTAATATTTAATGCCGAGTCGAGTCCAAAGTGAAAGTCACCCCATCCCCAAGGGAAGCATCTCGAAGAGGAAGACAAGAGCGGTTCCAAGAAGCGGTACAGTTTCGGTATAATTACCGCAACTTTGTTTACATATCGGCTCGTTTACTGCCGGCGTGGGTGTTAAGACAGCATATGTGTAAACAGCAATAAAACATGTACCATGGTCCCGGATAGGTAACCCACGCCTCCCTCGCGTGGAAACGCACAAACGGCAATTCTCCGGAAGCCACGATGGGCGGAGCTGGACCATCCTCTAGATCCTCGTGTCAAATTAAACACCCTTCGTTAGAGAATTACTCCAACCGACCGCAAATCGTAGTCAGTCGTCGCTTAACCGGAACCTGGACTAGTTCGAATCAGTTTCAGGCGAAATTTTTCTATCTTATTGCATCAACTTACAAATGTAATTACTGAAACCTCTTGAGTACAAGAATGCGTAAAACTCCCACCGAAAGCTGCCAAATTATATTAGTTAAAAACAGTGTTTGCAAGTAGTTTGTTAAACAATGACTTGAAGATATGAGGATTGCCGACGATGAAGTTAAAGAACCAGAAGAAAGCAGAAGCAGAAGAGAGTTACATTGGTCCTTGAAGTTCAGTGAATTGCCGTTATACGTCAGAGAGTACCGCCTGAAATCAGAATTGCAATATTAATTTGAGAGTATCGGTCTAAACGTGTCAGCACTTTAATCGAGTTCTGATGGAATCGAACGTCCAAGGTCATAACTGTAACGTGTCCAAGATGTACGGAGATCTGTGGAGAAATTACGAATTGTGGAACACGGAGGAAGTTTTCCCTACGATGTGTCCACTGCCGAGTTACTATAATTTGGTACCCAGCACGCTGAATTCGAGGCATGTACCTCTTTCATGGGGTTCTCCTCTGATTAGATACAAACCGCAACCTCGTTACGAGAAACCACCGTATTCTTACATCGCTTTGATAGCCATGGCTATTAATTCTTCGCCCAAACAGAGACTCACCCTGTCGGGTATCTATAGATTCATCATGGATAGATTTCCTTATTATAGGGAAAATCGTCAAGGATGGCAGAACAGTATTAGGCATAATCTTAGCTTGAACGATTGCTTTGTGAAGATACCGAGAGATAAGGTTATTGGTAATGATAACGAGCAAGACCAAGCTGGAAAAGGTAGTTACTGGACCTTGGACCCTTCTGCCAGCGGGATGTTCGAGCATGGTAATTACAGAAGAAGAAGAATGAGGAGGCAACGAGGACCTGGAAACGATAAACAGGATCAAGATCAGGCGATTGTATCGGTAATGGAAATTAGAGATGTCAGTAGAGCGATACTTTTCCTTTGTATTAACGAGAAATGTAATTCTAGGTTTCGTCGAAACTTTTAACCAATTTGAAGCATCAGGAACGAAACGATGGACCTGAAATAATCGAAGTTAAAGACAGTAAGGAAAATGCACGGAAGATGAAAACGAAGTACAGCGAATCGCAGGGACAACGCATGAAATCGATGATGTTCACTATTGAGAATATATTACGAAAATCAACGAATGAATCTCCCATTTAAATAATTATGTATCTTACTGTTAGCGTTTGCTTCGTAAAAATTTATAATTTATTTGCATTAATGAATGATTGCGGTTTTAAAATGTAACGATTAATTATAAAGGTAAAAACTAGGTTGGTAGAATTATTTATAAATAAAAGAGATACCATTTTTTATTATAAAAATCTTGTCATATTTTTAGTTATACATAGAGATACTGTTTACAAAGATTATAATACTCTTCAACGTTTAATCTAAAGTATAGTATGTACAAAATAACGTACGAGGAAGACATTTTTTATGCAAGAATTATTTCAACCTTGTGCCATTTATTAATGACTAAAACATTCGATCTTATAATTAATTTCTCCTTCTACGTGTCCTCTTAAAAGTAACTTTGCTATTATATGAACCGGTTTTTAGTGGAATTAAACGATATATCTACTATAAATGTTCATTATGTATCACTATTTGTATGTACATATTGTAGATCAGTTGCCTCTCTTAATTCTATTGCTTGGAAAGTTTAGTTAGTACAATAAATATATCACTGTCTCATAGAGACATAGAATGTATTTTGAAAATGCACTGAGTTTTATTATGGGTAGGTAACAAATGATTTCAAGCAACTGGATTTTTGCTCATTAATTCTAAATCAGAATCCATCATGTCTTTTACAAGAGCCTGAAATAGGATTACTTATTACAAAACCAGTAATAAGTAATTACATACATGTGTAAAAGGAAAAAAGTGATACATACCTCAAATGTGACTGTAGGTTTCCAACCTATTTTTTCCTTTGCTTTAGTAGCATCACCCAAAAGTACATCCTATATAAATGAAAGGAAGTACATATTTATTATTCACGTAAATAATTAAAGTACAATATAATTTTTAACTCAGAACGTTAATGCTTACTACTTCTGTTGGACGGAAATATTTAGGATTCACTTTAACCAAAACTTGTCCTGTCTCTGCATCTTGCCCTGTTTCAGTTACACCTTCACCCTCCCATTTAATTGTACGACCCACATAGCGAAAAGCTGCCTCTACAAATTCCCTAACACTGTGCGTTTCTCCTGTTGCTATAACATAATCATCTGGAACTGGTTGTTGTAGCATCAACCACATTGCCTAGGAAATATACAAAATTAATAATATTATGAAGCACAAATAAATGTCATAGATTTCTTACTTCAACATAGTCCTTTGCATGTCCCCAATCTCGTTTAGCATCTAAGTTTCCTAACTCAAGTACATCTTGTAAGCCTAACTGTATTTTTGCTATAGACCTAGTCACTTTCCTTGTAACAAAATTCTCTCCTCTACGAGGACTCTCATGATTGAATAATATTCCATTACATGCGAACATATTATATGCTTCTCTATAATTCACTACGATCCAAAAACTATACAATTTTGCACAAGCTAAAATGTTAAAGATTTTACTGGTATAATATATAATCTTATTTCAAAGATAAATGAACTCAATTACCATATGGAGAACGGGGATAAAATGGAGTTTTTTCATTCTGAGGCACCTGTGTTACTCTGCCATAAAGTTCAGATGTTGATGCATGATAAAATTTTACAGATTTCTCAAGACCACAAGTACGTATAGCATCTAGTAATCTAACTGTTCCTACTGCATCAACCTCAGCAGTGTATTCACTGACTTCAAAACTGACCTACAATAAAAGAATAATGTTAATATTGGTATAAGAAAATTTTTTGTAATTGAAATTTTATAAATAAACAAAATAGCATGTACCATAACATGACTCTGAGCAGCTAGATTATAAATTTCTGTCGGTTGCACAGTGCTAATTACTTTAACTAAACTACTGGAATCTGTCATATCACCGTAATGTAACTTCATTTTACCCTGACGATGACATTTTGGATCTGCATAAAGATGTTGAATTCGAGCAGTATTAAAAGAACTAGCTCGCCTAATTATTCCATGAACATCATATCCTTTTTCCAATAAAAATTCTGCTAAATAGGAACCATCCTAAAAAAAAACATCAATGCTAAATATTTAATAAATTAAACATTAGCTCTTTCATAATATAATATTAATTCCACCGAAATAATTCTATTGATATTTTGACACGTGTCATGTAAATCAATGTATGTCCACGTCAAAATTAAAGTTTCTTAAAAGCTATCAACAAAGCATGAAATGTCAATCTTACTTGTCCGGTAATACCCGTAATTAATGCAACTCGTCTTTCATCACCGGTTGCCATTTCCATGTATTATCACAGAATGTTTTTTTTTCTCTAAAAGAGCTGTAAAACTTCTTCAAATTTTATCCACTAAAGCAAATATTATCCATATAAATATACTGATAAAATGTGACGTGTTACGTTTACACATTTATCATATCACTACATGAAACTACGCTCTACATATATTTATAAAACTAAACCGGCAAGATAATCAGTATAATCCAATGATTTTGTTTACGCGAAAGAATAATAATGGTATTTAATGTTTAAATTAAATTTTCAATTGATTAATTGTAAATCGATCATTTTGCAATCATTTAACGATTGTTTATCATGTATTGTATATTGAAAAAGAATTTTTATATATCTTTTCTAAATACCAATATACAAAATTTTTAATTATTTTCTTGATTTATTACATGGGATTTAAATTTATTATTGCTGATACATTTCTTATTTCTTATAAAGCAGCATGTATAAATTGTCCAATCATATGTGTGGGACTTATCTGTGTATATGTACATGTATGAAACGCTATTTTGCATTGGTGCCATTTTCATTGCAAAGTGTAGTGTCATTGACGGCGGTAGAAGATTAAAATTTAGTTTTTCAAGTAATATAACGAAAAATGACTTTTTTAACTGAAAATTCTCGTGGGTCTTTGCCCGATTATGAAACTCAAGCAGCAAAAATGCAAAGTTTCAACCCATATGCTGATAATGGAGGGTAAGGTTCAAATATAACCTAAATTCAGTTTAACAATAATGGTTACAGGTATACAAATATATTTTATTTGTATATAATAATTTGTACAATATAACCGACAATATAATAATTTGTTTAGATGAAAAATATACAATTTTTTAAACTATTGTTCTATCTTATATTTTTGTTGTAATTATAGGAGCGTCATAGCCCTTGCAGGAGATGACTTTTGTGTAATAGCAGCAGACACTCGCCTTAGTGTAGGCTTTTCCATTTATACACGTGAACAGCAAAAATTGTTTCCTTTATCATCCAAAACTGTTCTGGGATGTTCTGGTTGTTGGTGCGACACTTTGACTTTAACAAGATTTTTGTCTGCTAGAATGCAGGTAAAAACAGTTTAAATTATCTTTCCTATGTCATAAAATTTTATACATTATTATTATATTATTACTATGATAGATGTATGAACATGAGCATCAGAAAGAAATGGCAACACCAGCAGTAGCTCAAATGTTGTCAACAATGCTGTATTATAGACGTTTTTTCCCCTATTATATCAGTAATATAATTGGTGGATTAGACGACAAAGGTCATGGATGCGTTTACAGTTATGATCCAATTGGACATTGTGAAGCAGCAAAGTACAGAGCAGGTGGTTCTGCTGGTGCACTTCTACAGCCTCTTCTTGACAATCAGGTATTACAGCATATTATCTAAAAATTATATTTCATTAATTGCATTATAACTTATTAAATATTTTCAGATTGGATATAAAAATCAAGAAGGTGTTGAACCAGTTCCCTTGACGCAAGAAAAAGCCATTGCAGTTATAAAAGATGTTTTTATTTCAGCAGCAGAAAGAGACATTTATACAGGTGATTCTATAAGTATTAAAATTATAACAAAAGATGGTATAAAGGATGAAAGTTTTGAATTAAGGAAAGATTAATGAAATGGAATGAAAATGATGTATTGTTAAATTTCTATACAAATAAAGTTAATACTAACTAGTATAATTAATATTTATTTAATAATTTACTTTTATGTACAACTACTATGATTTGTATTATTACATTATACATTAAAATGAGTGTATTACGTGTATAAATGCTACCAAATTAATGATTCATATGCATACACATATCGACAACCTTTCATTTCTGTTTACATTAATACTATTTTATCTAGCCTACATTAATTAAACTTAAAAATTAATGATCTTTTAGCAGAAATAGTTGAATCTATTTAAACAGGAAAAACGTAAGAAAACGATGTATAAAGATAGTTTAATAACTTCACATTTTAGAACTAAGTACTTCTAACTTTTCAAAATTAAATAAAAATGTATTTCTTGTATTTTATACATGAAGGCATACTATAAGAATCTATTTTATTATACACAATAATATATTTAATAAAATAGTGTTTTATTTTAAAGTATATTATAAAGTAACCAAAGGTAAAGGAGGTGGAAATAGTAGATGTTCTTGATCCTACAATTTTTCTCGCAGTTCTGTTTAGGGAACAATATATAAGGATAAGAAGTAGAGTTTTTTTTCCCCGAGATTCATTTTTTTGCCCCAGGAGCTGCTAATGGTTTACCACGATCTTTTCCACGTAATTTTATTCCCAATACTCGTTCAATTTTACCAATCACCATTTGATTTGGAATTCCACGACCTGCTTCATAGTCATTGATAACTTGTGCCTTTTCATTTACTTTCTATATAATAGAAAACAAATTATTTTATAAACTGTAAGCATTTAAACTATATAAATTATATAAATAATCAATGATATACCGTTGCAAGATCTTTCTGAGATAATCCTTTACTTTGTCGTCCCTGTTGGATTAATTTACCAAGATCAAGTGGAATTTTGTCATGTTTAAGTTCTTCGGTTTCTCTGTCTAATTTAGCAGTATTTTTAGTTGCTACGTGCTGCCTGTTTGTTCCACCACCCCCTAACACAAAACCATATATTTATATGGTACTTATGCAAGGTGACATTGTTTACATATATTACATTTTTTATATAGTCATTAAAACACATGTAACAAATGATTATGATTACAATATTGTGCAATACATCAGATTATAATCTCTATAATACCTAATAGTGATAACAATTGTTGTACAAAATAAGAACGAAAAAAAATGAAGGAAGTACATAAATAATTGTCTAAATGTAACTAATTCTGCTTACATTTTGCTTGTGTTTCAATGACGAATCCTTGACGACGTGCAGCATTCACCGCCTGTAAATAAACACAATTACACAATCGTGGATACAAGAATCATTTGAGACAAAATACAGTGAAATACATCTTAAGAAAGTTACCTGTTCTGATTTAAGTACAGAGGCTTTTGGAGGACGTTTTCGCAAGGTAATAGGAGCAGTGTCCCAATCTGACATAATGAAACAACTTGAATATGTCAATAGAAAATGAAAATTATACTATCAAAGCCTCACGTAATGTACAGTAACTTTTGTTCACTATTGCACTTGCTTCCACTCTTCCAGTAATTTCTCTCAACGTTCCAAAAACTACAATTTAATGGTTAATCTCAAAATCGACCCACATGTGACTTTGTCCAATTTCATACGAACTTTCTTTTAGTGTACGATTTAGACATGTCATTGATTCTCATTTGAATATCTAACTACCTAAGAAAATTATTTCAATTTAATTTACCAATTAACATTTCTATTTTGTTAGATAAAAAATTATATTATATGCAAATACAGTTGATTCTCTGTATTTATTATATGTGAATGAATAACCGCGATATTTAAAGTTATGATATGCATATTATTTTAAATCGCACTATCATTTTACATAAATAATTTATATAGTGCGCTCGTAATTTAGAATATGAAACATTGTTTTATCATTGCGCGTTATATAGTCACGCATTATATTATCTCTTATTATATGGCCACGCATTATATTGTCAAACACTGTCGTACTTTTATATGACCCAGTGTTATACCGCCATGCGTTGTATTAGGACCACACTATATTCTTCAGCTCGAGTATAATAAATGCGTTGCTAGTCGTAGTAGTTTGTTTTCTTATGACATGTGCATGACCTGCTAAATCACTGTTTCATATTTTGTATTGATAATTAGACTACGGATTTATTTGAAATACTTGAAACAAATGAGAAATGTCTTTTATTAGGACACTTTGGAAATGTACATTTAGCCCGAGGCTTTTCAAAGTTTATGAAATAACATGGATTGGTCGTTTAGTGGATGTATGTAGAAATAATTAAATATTTGAGCTTATTGAAATCAATGTATTTTAGGTTATATTTTCTTTAATTTATTTCAGAAATCGTATGAACCTAACAGCCTAGAACGATGGGGTGATCAAATTGTAATTTGTGTAAGTATTTCCTTTCATATACTAACATTGAATAATATATTGTACAATAATTATGCTTGAGGGGTAACGATTACTGTTAACTCATTAATAACATTAACAGTCTTATTAGACCCTTAATTAAATACTATCTACTAATGTTAAAAATAATAAATATTAATAAATTTATTTCAGTTTGCAGCAATTTGGTCAATTAGCTTGTACACTATACCATTAGTTGCTATTTTTTTCTATCAGCGTAATGGTTCTTTGTCTGATAATATTTACTCTTTGAGTAAATTGGTAGCTGGTGCTGGTGCAATTTTTATTGCATCGCTGGTTGCACGTAGTTGCTCAAGAGCTAATAATCCAGTGTATTTAAAATTTCTAAAAACATTAGATGATGCTAATGCACATTATAACGCGGAAACGAAACAGGAACTTCAGAAATATGATTTTGAATTTTGGGCATTACCTGTAGATTTTAATGTCACTGATGTAACGGGGTAAATGTTTTCTTCGTTAGAACATTTAATTGATATATTATTTTTCTGTATGTTTACTCATGATTTGCACTTGTATTTGTAGAGATAAACCAGAAGACAAATTGACATTAGAAAAAATTGCAATTTCTAGTGGACGAATAAAGAAGCAAAGTGGTAAAGAACTTGTATTTACATTGCCATGTAAATTATTATCTTACGTAGTAGCTCATACATTTGGTATCAAAATGATATATCCTGGAAGTGTATCAGTGATCAATTGGGCATTTCGTAAGTTAAAAAAAGTTCTATTCTGTATATTATATTAAATTATTTCTTATACTTTAACATCATACATTATTGATGTAGGCTCTACACTTTTAAAAGGAAGGATGGATTTAATAAAACGAGGTGGAGAAAGGTACAAATTGTTAACTGCAGATAATAATGAAATTGATGCTATGTTCATTGATCAACGTAACAAGTAATGTAAACATTAATAATTTTTTTTCTAAACTATCACTGTACAACAGATTATTTTTATATACTCATATTAATTTTATAGAACTTCAAATGGAAATATATTAGTTATTACATGTGAAGGAAACTGTGGGTTTTATGAAAGTGGTATTATATCAACTCCATTGAATAAAGGATATTCCATATTAGGTTGGAACCACCCAGGCTTTGGTAGCAGCACTGTAAGTATTATTCTTATAAAAGATTATTCATGCAATATCTATAGTGATATATAGCTGAGAAGAATTGCTGTTACTCTTTCATATTTAAAATTGCAAAGATAAAATTTTGACAATGTTGCAGTTAATATCAATCGTATATGCAAATTAAATATAATTGAAGTAATGGCAAGACTTCTCCTTCGATCAAAATATGATTATAAAATGATAACAGTAAGACATGAAAATGACTACAAAGGGTGCCCCGTATCCTCTGCAAGAAGAGAATGCTATTGATTGCGTAATGCGCTTTGCAATCGATCGCTTAAAATTTCCGGAGGATCAAATAATTCTCTATGGTTGGAGTATCGGTGGATATCCTGCAACTTGGGCTGCTATGAATTATCCTTCTATTCAAAGTCTAGTAAGTATTTATTTAGATATAAACAGTGTACATTTTTATAAGTTTTATTTAAAATAATCTTTTGAAACATATTTAAAAATGTAATATTTATTAGGTGTTAGACGCTACATTCGATGATATACTTCCGTTAGCGATTATGACGATGTCCTCGTCTCTAGAAGGTTTGGTACGAAACATTATAAGAGATTATTTCAATTTGAATATAGCAGAACAATTGAATAGGTATGCTGTACTATTTTGCTATAGCATAATATGTATGGAAAAGTATCATAATTGTTTGCTTCTTCTTAAAGGTATAATGGAACAGTATTGCTTATACGAAGAACAGATGACGAAGTAGTATGTACGCCTAGTAACACTTTATCAGGAAATCGAGGTAACATGTTACTTACAAAACTTTTGATACGTCGTTATCCACTTCTTTTCTCGGAAACCTCAGAATGTGCTGCACTTTTAGTAAAATTCCTGTCGGTGGATGTTGCCACAAGAAGTAAGAGGATGTTGATAAATACATATTCCATTACACTGCATTTTTCAGTATTGTGGCACATTAATATATTTAAATTCTTATTATAGAATCAATACTTGAAACAGTAAATGTTGACGAAAAACAATGTTTAGACATAATTGGAAAAGATATCGAAAAAAATGGTGGTGTAGTAAGCTATCCCTCTACACTTGGACAAAATTGTGACTCTAAAACGAAACAACAGCTCGTCCTGTTTCTCGTATGTATTTGAAACAAGTTCAATTTTTATTAATATTTATTGACTGATATACTTGTATTATCTTAGGCAACAATGTATATGAAAGATCAGCCATCATCACACTGTACTCCATTAGCAGTGGACTTGTTTCATCCTGGTTGGGATCCTGCATCTGCAATGTCCATAAAACAGTGAAAGTTCCGCGCTATTATAATTGATTAATTATTAGAACCTTTATTCAAAGTTTTTATTTTTACAGTAGCAGGAATGAGGGTTATTTATTCTACATGAATTTCTATCTATTTTTCATATTCCACATTGCTAAAACTACTAAATTCAATTGCATTGCAATTTTATGACCGTTATTAAAGTTCTAGTCTAATTTGATTTTTGAATATATATATATATATATATATATATATATATATATATATATATATATATATATATATATATATATATATATATATATATATATATATATATATATATATATATATATATATATATATATATATATATATATATATATATATATATATATATATATATATATATATATATATATATATATATATATATATATATATATATATATATATATATATATATATATATATATATATATATATATATATATATATATATATATATATATATATATATATATATATATATATATATATATATATATATATATATATATATATATATATATATATATATATATATATATATATATATATATATATATATATATATATATATATATATATATATATATATATATATATGATTTGAAATTCATATACCAAAAACGATACAGAGTTATGACATGCTCAATAATATAATTATTCGTACAAAAAGAATGCTTATAAAATTTTTTTAACATTTAAAGTTAATTTATATGTGTTAATTTAAAAGATTTTCACGAAAAATTGTACAAACATCCGCATTAAACGCTAATAATGAATTATTTGTATGGGTACATTGTATGATGAATAATTTTTTTTTATTTTTTTACAAGATTGTACAAAATTACGTATATTTCTTACAATTTGCAAATTACTTAAATAAATAGATATACTTCATGTCGATGTTCAACAAATCAATTATATTTATCATAATCTGTATTACGTACTTTGCATATGACTCAAAACGTTATTAAGAGAATTTTTTGAGTCTTGTATTGAATCCGTAACTTTCGCTTTCTTATTTTTTATTGATTTTTCTAAGAAAATTTTTAAGGTGGTTCGTATTTCCTCTGGAAAGTAATCTTTTTGAGTGACTTGTTCTAGTGCTTTAAAACACCCTTCTAAATTCCAGTCAATCTTTTCACTGCATTTATCTTCAGCCTAGAATGAAATAAATTGTTAGCATTTTTTAATTAAAATATACTTAGATTAATTGTTGGATATTTACTTTTATTAAACCTAAATTAACCAGTAAAGCATTATTCCATATTGAAATCTTATCACTTTCCTTTGCAAAAGAACATAACTTCGAATATAAAATATCTGAAAGATTTTGGGCTTTCGTTTTCACGTCAATGTAACCGCTTGTACTCAGCGCCGATACCTTCATTACTATTCTTGTATATTCTTCTATGAACCTTAATTCTGGAGATGTATCACCGTTTCGTGATAAAGTCTAAAATATTAAAGATGCATTAAATACTGTGTTATACTTGGTAATTATGAAATTCATTACTTACTTTGGCATGATCTATAAAGTCTTGTACAATGTTATCTTGCAACAGTAATAGCCTTTCTCCTGTTGGTGATTTTAAAAATTCTGTAACAGATATTTTCAGTCGCACAACATTCGACGATTCATTGCCATTTGTTACTGTGTTTTTAAGATCACGTCCATTTTCTTTGTTTTCAATGTCACTTTCATCATCTTCATCTTCTTCTTCGTCATCATCATTGTCATCATCGTCATCGTCATCATCTTTCTCTACTTCTTCTTCATCTTCCTCTTCATCATCTTCATCAGTATCTTCATCATCACTTTCTTCATCATTACTTAATGAACCTAAAGATTCAATTCTTCTTGAATCTTTAAGCAAATTACATAACATCGTGCGTCCTGATCTTCCAAACGAATTTCCATCTAATTCCAGAGTTATTAAACGTTTTTTATCAGCCATAGCTTGAGCTATGGAATTGGCACCCTCCTTGCGAATTTCATTATAACTCAAATTAAGTTCAGTAAGTGAAGGATAGTTGCCTTCAACTCCTAATGCTTCTGCTAAAATTAAACTGCCTTGTGTTTTGAGTAAACAGTCTCCAAGATTAAGTTGCTCTAAATTTTGAAAATTTGGTAAAGCTTTAGCAAGAGCTTGAGCTCCTTTGAATCCAACCGTATTATCATTAAGGTTTAAAATTTTTAATCCAGGGTTAGAAGATAATCCATGAGCAATGGCTGTTATACCTTGATGATATATACCATTCTGAGGCATTACAACCTCTTCTAAACTAGTTAATTTTTGAAAAACAGATGCTAATGCTTCTGCACCTTCATCTTCAAGTCTGTTTCTTCCAGCAACAAATACTTTCAATGCTAGAGGAGATGTACCTGGAACAAAGAAATCAAATATAAACATTTAAGTATATTCTATCAATCAATGCACAGTCAATCATTAAAATCTTACCAGCTTTGGAACTATTGTTGTAGCAATCTAACAATGCTTTTGCTACTATTTTGCCACCTGTTGCTCCAAGTCCAGTGTTATGCAATTTTAATATACGAAGAGTATAACACGAACTAGAGGTTAAAAAGCTAGCTATTCCTCGAACACCAACTGGACCAAAAGCATTATCGCTTAGATCAAGTTCAGTAAGCTGAGTACCAGCACCACATAAAGCATTGCTAAGGTACTCTAATGATTTTGGTATTTCTGCTTTCAAACGACCAGTGAACATATCTTTCCAAAGAGCACGTTTCAGTAAAGAACCATTTTCCTTTAGTGCCTCTGCTACAGCCATAGCAGCATCTGGCCCTAAAGTATTTCCTTCTAAATCCAGATATTCTAAGTTCGTACATGCTCGTATTGCTTCGACCACTTCTTTCGCTAATAAAGTAAAATATTAAATGTTTATTTTCATGTAACTTTCAATATATTGCATAACCTTATAAGAGTATATAAAAATAGAATAAACAATTCTAGTGAAAATAAGAGTTAATATTGATCAAAGCAATTTACCATCTTCTGCAGAATCAAGTTTAAGCGACTTTTTCGCGAAAGATACGCCGAAGCCGGTAGAATTTTGAGTAACACCTTTTAATTGCTCTCCAAGATCATTTAAATTAAACGAAGACATAATTTATTCTATTTACACCCAATTGAACTTTTAATAAATGAATTGTTCCTTAGTAGATTTTTGTCATACAAACTTCCAAACAGTCAGTACTACAAATAATATTTTCGACATTTAATATCAACACTCATTCATGATCATGATGTTACGATATGAACGCGTTTTACGCACACAGCAAGCGCGGGAGAAGCATACCAACTGTTAAAAAACAAATTTTTATTTACTGTTGTTTGTTTTACGATAGAATATACTGAATTCGTGTATCTCGGCTCACTTCAGCAGGTTTCCACTCTGTTAATCATATATATGGTGAACATCATATATAAACAGCAGGAGGAGGTAAATAAGGATGTAGGATGATCATGTTTGAGAGAGACGTGACAGTAAATATAATATAGGAGTAAGTTTTAGAAACTTTTATGAGTTAAAGAAAAATGGAATATCCTTATGTACAACTACAATTATAATGTAAATAATATGTAAAATAAAATAGATCACCGAGTATATACATTTGGCGATACAAAAATCGCAAAGTCGCATCTCGAATCAATCAGAGTTAACATGCATAAAATGAACAAAAACTTCTCGTCTAATAAATATGTATAAGTAACACTATAGAATAAATGATATATCAATTATGATTTTATAAAAGAAACAGCTATTCATTTTTTATTTCATATTGTTACTCATATGTACTACCATAAATTTATTACATTCACTCTGCACGTTATATTATATATTATAATTTTTAAAAGCACACAATTCATTTATACTAATATGTGCAAGTACATAATTCAAGTACAGAAAGTTGAGTTTATTAATAAATAATATTTCCTCATTAGTTAATAGTTTGATTTAGACAGTGTTTCGCGGCAAACGCATCAGTTAGTGATCTATACTATTCATATTCATAGGTATACGCCCGTAAGTTGCAGTCGCTACTGCACAGTCCGCACCCGTATGTACGTTCGCGTAGTGCGTCTCAGAAAACTATCCTTATCGAAACACTGTCGTACATACATACACACACATATACGCTTATACCTAAAATCGAATTTTAAAAATCAAGGAAAACATCATCGGTGCTCGGGATTTCCTTAATGATAGACGTCTATCGTTCGTTTTAGCGTGGTTGTGTCAAGCGACGATGCAATTTATCGTCGAAGCTGGTGGTTGTTTTGAGCCTGGTGTGTTACTCGATTAGAATGGTTGCAAGTGTCGCGCGCATCGCTGGCAACCCGTGTAGTGTTGTGCCAAAATAAATCAGTGTTAGCTTTTCCTCGGTTACTGCCAGTGAACGAATGTACCCCGTCGTTCGGATTCGTTCGCAAGCGGCGGGACGAGCTATGAGGATTTGCGATTACCCGCTCTTTTGTTTTGAAGACTATGGGTGTCATACTCCGCTGATGTGCATCCCGGTATTTTAAAAGCGATCGGCTTCGCCGAGCGGAGGTGTTTTCTTCGACTATCATCGTACCTACCCACCGAATTATCTTCTCCTCGCTCACCTGAGTTATATTCACGACAGAGCTGCAACGCATCATTTTTTTCCACACTACTGTTTCCAACTACCTTATCCGCCCTGACGTGATTCGCCCGGTTTGCCCGCCACAGGACGGGTTATGTTTCCCACTTTCATCGGAATTCTAGGTAAGCTTCTTCTTTCCTTCCGTCTCAATAAAAGAAATAAAACAATTACGATAAAATATTTATCGATCTTTTTCTTTAGATTGTTGTGTTGTTTCTTAACGAAGATCGATGCTTACAATCGAGAAGCTCTTGTCAATGACCCCAAGTTTAGCAACAGAATCGTTTTCATTGTTTTTTTTTTCTATTGTTGTACATTCTGTACAGGGTATCAGTGCACGGCCGCATTATATTCATATTTACGACTGGTATTATTGTTGGAAGCATTTTACTTTACCATTTTGTGAAAGCTTTAGAAATTTGGTCCTCTAAGATGTAGTTTCATTAATATTCAGTTACTCACAAAATTGAGTATATACATTTTATGAAAACCTTATTTGATTAACAGAAGACAAACAAATTTTTCACGAATCAAGTTTTGTATATGCATTAACAAACAATTATGTATTTATGTTAAATTGTATAACTTTCCTTTATTCTTGTTAATAAAATAAGATGAATATATTATTTGTGTTTTCTTAAATGATTCATTGTTTCAAATTGTATATCAAGTAAATGAAAAACTTCATTTGTGAAAGAATCATTTGTTTTCTATTAATTGAATAAACAAGACTTTTATAATTTAATTTTGGGAGTAACTATAGGTTCTATTTTATTGTTTAGTAGTACATTATCAATCAAAAGTAGATACCTTTGCTTATTGTTGTTTAATGAAAGGAAGATTATTAGGAGTTTATTCGCTATGCAATTTTATGTATTATCATACAGTAAAAATTTAATTAAAAATCTTTTATTTAAAGAAAGTCATGAATTATTTTCTCAAATTTCAAAACGAGAAGACATACATATGTATGATTAGTGCAATGTTACTTTCCGTAATAAATAAATTTCAATGCCATTAAAAATGAAATTGTTCAGAATATGAAGTATGATTTATTTTAAGGATAACAAAAGTTGGTGTGAACAAAATATATATAATAATCAGATATATGATTACATGTTTATATTTGTTTCAAATTGTAGAATTATACAATAGCTACATAGACATGTACATACTTTTATCGCTAAAGTTTTTGAGTCAATTTTACTTTTGAACCACTTTGATTACGTGTAAAAAAGAGGCATTCCAGAGATTAAGAAAATAAAACATCAAGGAACTTTCAATTGTTCCTTTATTTTTTTAGACATTCAATCGTGGTGGGAGGTGCCAAGTATAGCACACTTCTGCTCATTATTTAGGGCTGCCTTCAATCTTCTGGACTTTGATATTGAGGTACCTACCTAAATGCTGACTCGTATGAGTAGGCATTGTATATGAGTCTTGTTAGTATTGCTTCAGCTTCAGGAAGTTAAATAAACCATGCTTCAGCTTTTTTATGTTTTTTAAATGCTTATGCATTATTATTTATGCCTACATTAATAAATTCTTTGATCACACGTGTATATTAATTGTACCCAATTTTAGGATTTAGAAGAAGCTTTACTAACGGATGGTGGAACAGAAGGACGTTTAGTACAGGAACTAATAGTCAGGTTACTGGAAGGTTGTTTACCTAATGATACCCGCAATGACATCTCTACCTTTAATTATCAGATGTTTCTTCGTAGACTTTTTCGTAAGAAATGTCAGGTAAAGATGATTTTTATATTCTGTGGTATTCTAAACATAAGAATGTATCATGTTGGTATTAAGACTAATCAATGTTTTATTTTATTTACAGGAATACAAGTGTGAGAATCCTTTTAATACAGATGTAGATTTTGAATTATTGCCTCTTCGTCAGAAAGTAGAAATCTTACGTGCTCTCTGTGACTTCAGGCTCGACGCCGAAGACGTGGTACGTGTTTAGGAGAAGATTGAAATACAAACTTAAATGACTGTATAATCGATAATAGTAATGCTAGCATGTTGATATTATATTTCCGTGTTTTCAACATATGTTTGTAGGAGCAATCATTAAGTAATTTAGACTCGGATAGCCTGCGAGTCGAACCTTTAGGACATGATCGTAAGAATTCTGCCTATTGGTACTTTTACGGCACTCGATTATATAGGGAGGACTACATTGATACTTCTAACAGCATCTCGTACAAACAGAAAAACAAACCTAGGGATAAAAAGCGTAAAAGACGACGAAACAGAGTGGCGAAGGAGGAAGAGGAAGAGGAGGAGAAGAAGGAGGACAGTTTAATACACGGGGAGGGAAAAGAAAGCGTCTGGCAGGTTGTCTGCTTTACTCAACAGGACTGGAGTCGTTTAGTTGAAAAATTTCGTGATTCGGTAATTGTCTTTTTCGATTTAATTATTTTATCTTTTAAGCTTCGTTAATAACGTTATTGTAACACTTAGGAGTACGATACCGAACGTAAACTTTACCGTACTCTATCCGAAGATTTCATGCCGGAAATCCCTAAACTTTTTGATTTAAAAGAAAAACAACAAAGACGCAAATTATTACAACGTAATAGTTCGCGCGTTCTTCGAAGCCACGAACCTGCGGCACAGATGGAAACAGTCATGGTTAGATCGAAGATCAAAACTAAAACGAACAAAGGAAATAAAAAGGGGACACAGAATTCAAAGAATGTTTATGTTAAAGAGGAGACACCTCCACCCTTGCCTTCTCCTCCAGTTCAAAAGAAAGGACGTCAAACTAATAATTCGTTAGCTTCAGCCGTTGGTCAAATTGTAATTCATACCGATGAAGTGGAAGGAACAGAGAAGAAAAAGGGTGTTGGAAGTAATAGCGATGGAAATTATGTAGCTTCTAATTACGGATATAAATATGGATATTCATTTGGGATCGAGGAAGAAGAACGTCGAGTTGGTATGCACAAGGTTCTTGAAAGTCTTAAGGACCATGTGGACGCCTGGCCATTCATCGATCCCGTAGACGAAGAATATGCACCAAGGTATATAGAATGATACATATGTCTAAACTCCTTATCTTCGAAATATAAATATAGAATTGGTAATTTACGTTTTAATACAGATACTATAGCGTGGTACGCAAACCCATGGATCTTAGTACAATGGAGGAAAAACTCGAGAATGGTTTATATAAAAATTTAAACGAATTCAAACGTGATTTTCGGTTAATAGTAGATAATTGTAGACAATACAATGGTTCTGATAATGGTTAGTGCTTTATACTTGACTTGCTAATGAATCGTTATGTAATATAGTCTTGTGGTGTAAGTGTTATTGTTTTCTCACAGAGTATACCGAAATGGCGTTCAATCTTAAGGAAGCATTCGATAAAGCTGTGAATCGTTACTTAGAATCGGAAACATCCAGCGATGAAGATACTTCATCACCGAAATCCTGTCTCACGACTCCTACATCCCCGTCGTGCCCTTCCCGTGTTTCGTCTCCTCATCAAAATAGGAAACGTTCGAAAAAGTCGACTAAGAAATCCAAATCGTACAAGTCCGAAAGTAAAGGAAAGTCCAAAGTGAGCGATAAAAACGACGAAGAAGAAAAACGGGGGAAAAATTATAAACTTCCGAAGAAGAAAAGGGGGAAGAAAAAGAGTAAAAGAGTAAAAGATGAGGAATCCGTGAACGAGGAAGAACAGGAAGAGCAAGAAAGCGAGGATGCAATGTCCGAATCGAGTATTATAACGTCAAAAAGAAGAAAACATCTTGACGTGAATAACTTATTATTAAAAACCAAAAAGCTGTCGCCCAAAGAATCGGAGGAATTTAAAAAGATGGATAGAAAGATGAGTAAAGAACGTCATCAACAGAAAAAGGAAGCGGAAAGTATGCGACCGATAAAGGATTCGAAAGAAAACAAAAAGCGAAAAGAGGACTTCGAGGAAGATTACGAGCCCCTAGTCATCGCGAAAAGTAAAAGTAGAAAAATCGAAAAGAAAGAACTCGAAGAAACAGAAATATTCACGGATAACGCGAAGAAGAACAAAGTGAAAAAGAACGAATCTCACGAAAATGAAATCGTGTCGGAGGAGAAAGATAAAATTGAGCATATCAAGGTAAAGAAAAGTCGAAAAAAGGAAAAGGCAGGATTAAAAGTCTTGAAATCCGACGAAAAATCCGAGAAGAATCATATAAAGGATAAAGAGAAAAAATCAAAACAGAAAAACGATGAACTTAAAAATGGCGAAATATCGAGCGAAGTAGATTCCAAAGATGTAGATCTAGAAAGTGATATAGAATCGAAAGAAATGCACGCATCTAAAAAAATCCCTGCATTTATAGGTAATAAAGATATAGAATCGTTGGACGGTTTAAAGGATAAAATAAGCGAGAGGCGGCGGGAGGAAAAGTTAAAAAGTGAAAAGGAGAAACAGAAGAAAACGTCGAAAAGCGACCTTCACAATATGTATTCAAAAAAAGTGCCTTCAAACGGTAGTACCTTTAACGACAGCGATAAAGCCAGCGCAAAACGACCAAAGCTAAAAAAAGGAATGAAAGAAGAAAAAGTTCCTACTACGGAAGATCCAGTTAAAACTCAAGACCAAGAAGTCAATGAGACCAAGAAAATAAAAGTGGCTCCGACCAAAAGTACCAAAGGATTTGGAAAAGAAGAAAGTTCGATACAAGCGTTGAATCAAGCAACAGAGCAAACACTCCATGTAAGCATATTTTATGAATCATTTTTTTTTACCGGTACAAATTCCTATAATATTTTATTCTCATGCAACGTATTACTAAAGATGGATAGAAAGATGAGTAAAGAACGTCATCAACAGAAAAAGGAAGCGGAAAGTATGCGACCGATAAAGGATTCGAAAGAAAACAAAAAGCGAAAAGAGGACTTCGAGGAAGATTACGAGCCCCTAGTCATCGCGAAAAGTAAAAGTAGAAAAATCGAAAAGAAAGAACTCGAAGAAACAGAAATATTCACGGATAACGCGAAGAAGAACAAAGTGAAAAAGAACGAATCTCACGAAAATGAAATCGTGTCGGAGGAGAAAGATAAAATTGAGCATATCAAGGTAAAGAAAAGTCGAAAAAAGGAAAAGGCAGGATTAAAAGTCTTGAAATCCGACGAAAAATCCGAGAAGAATCATATAAAGGATAAAGAGAAAAAATCAAAACAGAAAAACGATGAACTTAAAAATGGCGAAATATCGAGCGAAGTAGATTCCAAAGATGTAGATCTAGAAAGTGATATAGAATCGAAAGAAATGCACGCATCTAAAAAAATCCCTGCATTTATAGGTAATAAAGATATAGAATCGTTGGACGGTTTAAAGGATAAAATAAGCGAGAGGCGGCGGGAGGAAAAGTTAAAAAGTGAAAAGGAGAAACAGAAGAAAACGTCGAAAAGCGACCTTCACAATATGTATTCAAAAAAAGTGCCTTCAAACGGTAGTACCTTTAACGACAGCGATAAAGCCAGCGCAAAACGACCAAAGCTAAAAAAAGGAATGAAAGAAGAAAAAGTTCCTACTACGGAAGATCCAGTTAAAACTCAAGACCAAGAAGTCAATGAGACCAAGAAAATAAAAGTGGCTCCGACCAAAAGTACCAAAGGATTTGGAAAAGAAGAAAGTTCGATACAAGCGTTGAATCAAGCAACAGAGCAAACACTCCATGTAAGCATATTTTATGAATCATTTTTTTTTACCGGTACAAATTCCTATAATATTTTATTCTCATGCAACGTATTACTATCACGTTTTATTATACATATTATAATTTCGTTCTGTCTTTTAACAGGACATCAATAAATGGCTCGACGACGCACCGAGACTTTCTGAATTTTCTTCTGGAAGCGATTCTCCGGTATTTCATTCTTCCGTTGAAATTGGTCGATCAGGACCAAAGGTAGAAGCGCCGAGAAAACGACCAAGTTCTATCAAGATCTTTGGACCTCATGGACCTAGTAGACCAAAAAAAATACAACGTACAATAGACCGTTTGCAACCTGGGAAAAGTAAAGGAAACTTGCTGTTAAAGAAACCGTTGAATTTACCTAATGCTGGTACCAACGAAACAACGGTACATCCGTCAACCGGCGACAATGATCAAACGAATAAAAACGCGGACGAAGAACCAAAACTTAGTCTAGGAACTGTTCTAAAAAACGTGGATTCCATTCAATTAATTTGTAAGAGCTTAGTTTCTTCGCCTAATCCTAATTTTTCAAACGACGACGAGGAAGAAGACCACAATACCGTTCCTACGATCCCAGTGTCTAGTTTGAAAGAGGAAAAATCATCGTCCGGCGTGACAGCGACACAAGCACCCGCGGCAACAGAGGAATCTAAAGATGATCAGTCTACCGCTAAGGAAACGCAAAAACCTAAAGCAGCAACGCCTAATTTAAGCGCATGGTTCAAAGCCTTTGGTGCGCCTAAGTCGAAGAAGAAAGACGAGGAATCTGAGGATAGTACGACAAAGAAAGATGGTGACTTGCAGGAAGTGTTTTACGGTAGACAGAGGAGAATGAGTACGGGTGGTAGTAGTGTAAGTGAATCTGTTTCGAGTTTCTCTCAAGAATCACCGCCTGGACGATCCGGTCGATCTCCGCAAGGTCAACCTATAATGGCTTCGGTTGAACCTCAAATAAGAGGAGCTGGATTTTATCAAGACGCTTTATCGACAGGAAGTAGTCCTTACAATAGCCCTTATTACGCTACTCCTCCAAGATACAGTGCGCAGTTACCACCTACTCCTTCTCCACAAAATCATCCTCTATCTCCTGCTTATCCATCGTCGTCTTATGAACAGGCTCCTCTTTATTCTCAAATACCAGCTCAACAGCAGCATCAAACGTTTCAAAAATCTCCACAGGAAAGTTCTGGAGAAGTGTATCACCAGTTATCACCTACATTTCCACAGCGTTCTCCTCAAACAAACTTCCCTCAAAACTCCGCTCAAAGCGAACCTTTCAATCAACCAGTGCAATCTACCGCTACCAATCAAAATCCACCCGCGACCTATTCGCAACATTCGCCACAGCCGGTGCAACAGGTGTATCCTCAGCCATCTCCTCAGCCACCACCGTCGAATTACTCGCAACCATCGCCTCAGCAATCGCCCACTCCTAAATATTCGCAGCTTTCTCCACAACAGAACGCTGCGAATTATTCTCAACCTTCCCCGCAAGCTTCCAACTATTCTCAAGCGTCTCCTCAACAACCGCATTCTCCTTATTCGCAGAATTCTCCTCAGGCGCCTCCAAATTACTCTCAACCGTCACCACAGCAGCAACCTTCTCCTTACGCGCAGTCTCCTCAACAATCGTCCGGATATTCTCAGCTCTCGCCTCAACCGCCTTCGAATTATTCTCAACCGTCGCCTCAACCACCTTCGAATTATTCTCAACCATCGCCTCAGCCGCCTTCGAATTATTCTCAACCTTCGCCTCAACCGCCTTCGAATTATTCTCAACCATCGCCTCAGCCGCCTTCGAATTATTCTCAACCTTCGCCTCAACCGCCTTCGAATTATTCTCAACCATCGCCTCAGCCGCCTTCGAATTATTCTCAACCGTCACCTCAACCGCCTTCAAATTATTCCCAACCGTCGCCTCAGCCGCCTTCGAATTATTCCCAACCGTCGCCTCAGCCTCCACCCGTCTATCCGCAACAGTCTCAACCATCGAACTTTTCTCATCCGTCTCCTCAAACGCATGCCGTTGGTTTCACGCAGTCGTCGCCTCAACCTCTTACAGCGTACTCTCAACCGTCGCCTCAACCACGAAACTACTCTCAGCCCTCGCCACAACAGATTCAAACTTTCCCGCAACATTCTCCGCAAGCACCACCTTCGTATTCCCAACCTTCTCCGCAAAACACACCGTACTCTCAACCATCGCCCCAGCAACCCGCCAAGTACTCCCAGCCGTCTCCTCAGCAACCAGCAAACTATTCGCATGCGATACATTCGCCTCAAACGCCTCAGAATTATTCGCAACTGTCTCCTCAACAGGCACCGCCGAATTATTCTCAACCTTCACCTTCACCTCAACAATCTCGCAACTATTCGCAGCCTTCTCCATCGCCTCAGCAGTCGCGCAATTACTCTCAGCCATCGCCATCGTCTCAACAGTCCCACAATTACTCTCAGCCATCGCCGTCACCTCAGACCCGCAACTACTCCCAACCTTCGCCGCAACAGAAAACTGTGTGCGCCTCGCAACCGTCTCAACAGCCTTCCAACTACTCGCAGCCATCGCCTCAGCAGAGCAGCAACTATGCTCTGCAACAGCAATCGTCCAAAAACACGGAAGAGTATCCGCAGAACCCGTCAACGCCGTCTAACTACTCCCACGGATTCAAACAGAATCATACTTACATACAGTCCCCGACGCCGTCGTCGATCAACGAAACGGAACACCGGACCGATTACACCAAGTCCAGCAGCGCTGAAAAATCATCGAGCATAGAACAACAGAGAAATTTCGCCGTGTCGGCCGAGGCATCGTTGAACTTAAACGCAAATCATCAAATATATCAATCACCGAATCAGTACCCGCCCGCGTTCGCCAACAATTACTCCAACATCGATCTGCAGAGGTCCGTCTCGAGACACGGTGGTCAGGAGCAGTCTCAACAGCAACAGCAGTCAGCCCAGGAACGTGTCAGTTTCACGGACTTGAGCGAATCTCTGAACGCCCAGAAGTATGCTCAGCAACGTTCGTTCCTCGGTAAAACTTCCAGCACGGGCGAACAGCTTTCGACGCAGGATCAGTCACAGCTCTTAGCATTCCAGCAGAACCTGACGGCCCACGAATCTCTCTACCCGACCAGTTTCCAGCCATCCGGATACCCGATGCCAAATTCCAGACCGATGTACCCCAGTCCGCATTATTTCGATACCGGCTCGAAGACTGCCAACAGCGGAACCGCCAATAGCTCCACGGGTAACCTACCACCGGTGAAGAAACGGGCGTACAACGAATCATCCGCCGAGGCGTCGCGTGGTTTGACGCAAGAGGCTGCCTCGAGAGCGAGCCAGGAACAGTTCGGTTTCGATCCCATAATGGCGTTACCGCAACCGGAAACAGTCTCGGCTAGTCAGTTCGACGCTACCTTCGTCGGGAACCTGGCAGACTCGGTCGCAACGAATTCGGCGGCGTACGCTCGCCTAGGTCTAGGTCTGGTAGGTCGCAGCGGCAAAGAACAGCAACAATTGTTGACGATTCCTAGACCACCGGCGACGAAGGCGGAACACCTGGCGTACGCTCGCAGTCCCGCCACCGGAGCCGCGGAGCTGGACCTGAATCTCCTTCAAAGTCTGCAAACGGCCAGCGCGAAGAACACGCAGGGTATACTGTCCATGTCTCGCAGGGGAGCAGACGCGTCTTCGGGTTCCACGTCCACGCCTGCTAAAACGAAGAAAAGCAGGAAGAGCAAGCAACAGCAGCAGGAGCAGCAGAACGTTTCGTCGACGGTCAGCAGTGAACCCCAGGCGAGCATACCTGGTTTTCCACAGTACACGGGGACGTCTGCGGATTCGATCGGTTTAAAGAACACCGCCATAGTCCCGCCTGCTGGGAGTGCCTTCAACTTTGCCGCATCGACCAACACCACCACCAGTTCACCTTTCTACGATAAGGACGCGACCGCTGCGGCATTCGCCTTTTTGGACGAGTTCCGGAATCCGAACAGTTATTACAGCATGGCGCTAAGGCAGCAGCAACAACAGCAGCAACCGCAAGTACCGCCCGTCTCGGATGCCACACAACAAGCCTGCAACAAACTTACCAATCAACCGCCAAGAAACTATCCACCTCATCCTTTTCTTCATTCTGCACAGAGGTCGGCAGCTTACGGTCCACCGGTATCCGCTTACGTGACTCCGCATGGACCGAATTTGACCATGGACCCAACTGCCTATCAACAGTACATCCATTCCCTCTATGCTCTTCAACCGCCGCCGCATCATCATCGACCGTCCTGGCTTTAGCTGTTAAAATCTTTGTAACAGGGTGTTCGTTCCTCGAACGACACATCGATGGGTATATCGTCGCGGTATACGGTTGGACGAAACAGTATTTAAAATGGCGAATAATTAGGGCTATGCGGATCGTTCCTGGTGTCGAGAGTCTGAATGATGGGTCGGAAAGGTTCGGTCGAAGTTGGACGAGATCTTGATACAAATTGCTAAGTTATACAATTTCTACATTTATAGAATTTCTTAATTTTCAAATTGTCACATTTTCACCAGATTTTGAAACCATGTTTAGTTACAATGGTTATATTAGAATCTCGCCCGAATTCATCCGAATTGGTCTGATCTTGAACCCCAGGATTCCGCATACCCCTAATCAGAACAGTAGTATTTGTTTTTTTATCGATGAAGTAATCGCGAAATTATCCGTGATTGGATACCACTGAAATATAGTAAGATACTCTATTCACAATTATAGATACTGTTTTATCCAATTTTACTTCTACATACACGATCATAATCAGAACTTGCTTCAAAATACAACGACGCTAAAATGTTTTCTTTTTTAATACTTTTAATAGGAATGCTAAAAGTAATCAATATTTTTTTAATGTCACGAATATGTCATTGATTTATTTCATTAATGCATGAACATTATTTTTCTTTTTATCAATTAACGATGAGCAGCTCTAATATTACAATGACAGAGATGGAACAAAGTTCTGATTACGATATTTCGAAAGATAGCCGACAGAAACGTCGCAGTTTCGTGTATGTCAAAAACGCGTGAAAATAGTTGATCGTTAATTTTCTCTTTTTTCTTCTATTTCCTCTATTGTACATATAGTTTTATTGATCGACTAGCGAGCAACGGTTTTTAAAATCTTTTTCGGGAACTATGTATATAACAGGGTTTCAAATTGTTAATTAAATTTATTTCATTGAGCATTAATTAACAATCGACGCTTACTAATTAGACTTTTTAATTATGATTAAAAATTTAATTTTTAGTTTGATCGCGTTTGATCAAAGATTAAAATTTATTTTTTAACAGAATAAAATTTTCAATTAATTGTCGATTAAAAGATATTCAATTATCCATGATAATTTAATTATTAATTACGTAATTAAAAGTTTCGAAACCCTGCTATATAAACAACCGATTTCTCCATTGGTTTGTTTTCCCCATTCTTCGCATTTCTTTGATCTTTTCTTTTTTTACCGAAACAATACGCATCTTCGACATTTTTACAGAAGATTTATCAGGAAAAAAGTGGAAAGGAAAAGAACGTTTAGCTTTTAGTTGGTAATCTATTTTGTAGTCATATGTATATAAAGGATAAGCCTACTTTGCGTAGGAATTTTTGATAGTTTTTTCTAATGAGACTAGTCGACGGCTTAGACGGAAGTTGAAGTCGCTAGTGCAGGAAGTAACCTTTCTATCAAAAGTTCCTCTATCTTAACTGTTCTTCTAATGGACGTCCCTTTCTCTTTCACGGTATATCGAAACATGGAATATGCAATATTCGATTTGTTATAGAGAAAAAGCAAAAATTACGGCCCACTGATGACAGAGTGCTCGCAATTATCCTGCCTATCGGAATACGTATCGGTTTCTTGTTTTACGTTGCAATGGCAAATCGCCAAACACGTAGAAATTTTACGTAAATTCTGATTTCGAAGGATTTCTGTATGATATATCGAGTGCACTGTTGCCGGTGTATCTTATGTAGAGTATATAGACTTGTTAGCGATATAAGCTAGGATTCGTTTCTTTGTATATAAAATACATATCCTCCATAGACGATGTGCTCGATGTAAAGAAAGATCTGCAATGTCGAAGACCTTGTAGAGTCGTCCGCGATAGATGAAAAACGGGAAAACGTAGGGAAATAGATGGAAACGTGAAAATTGTGTGTACGCATGTGTCTGTGTATGTATGCGTGGACGCGTGAGTGGTCAGTATGTGTCGTGTGATTTGTGGATGAGGATAGAATAAAGTGTAATACACCACAATCATACATTAACCCACCTTATTGCTGATAAAAAAGACAGAAGGAAGCGGTATATTAAAACTTATAAATATATACATATATATTGTAAATGTATATTGTAAATGTATCGATGACAGATTAAAGCACAGTTTGTTACAAAGTTGTATGACATATTTTTCATAAACAATGAATTCCTGTCGACCACGATGTATTCAGAATATTATCAATTTTTAAATTTGAAAATTTCAGACTTCCTAAATGTTGACAATGCAGAAAGCAGAACTGCGTTAGCCTTAAAAAATGTATAAAATTTGTGACACAGATATTAAAAAGAAATCAGTCAGATAAACTTTTGCAAGTGCAACTAAATCAACGTTCATTTTAATTATACTAGCTAATTTAATTCCTGTGTACATATGTACAATATGTGCGCCAACGCGTAAGTATAAATATCAAATGATAGTTTCGCGTATAACGCAAATATAATAGCTACGAGTTCCGCCTCTTTGATATCTACGTTTCATGATTCAGTCGATTAAATACTGCCGATATAGCAAAAAGAAGAACTGCAGATAAGTCAGATTTATGATATCAATTAAACATAGCAGCAGCCTTTTTGGCCAAAGTGCATGCGAAGTAGTTGTGCTCTTTATAACAGATGACTTGAAGTCTTCATTGCAAACATATTACGTTATTATTTTAAAAATAATAGTTAATGTACGTATTAGATTGAAGAAAATTATTTCCGTGTTTTCATTTGTAATTATATTATAAGTACATAATTATTGAAAGCGGTAATTGTGGACAGTGTTTTTTTAATTTATCTCGAACTGTAATACCGATAAGCGTGTCGTGCACAAATAGCACATAAAAAGAAAAACGTGTTTAATAATTTGTATCTGTTACAGATAATAATTGGTGCCTTTCATCTACAATCTCCAACATGTTTGAAAATATAAATAAAGAGTTGCTACCAATCAAAGCACATTATTTCCTATTTAATGCAGGTAATTTGGATATATTAAATTTTAAACAATATGCAATTGTAACATCTAATTATATCATTCATATTTCAGCTACTGGACCAATAGTGCCATTTTTACCAACAATAGCAAAACAGATAGGTTTTTCAGGGTTATTAGTAGGCACAATATATACAATATTACCAGTTTCTGGTTTAATAGCAAAACCTTTATTCGGAGGATTAGCTGACAAATTTAAAATACACAAACTATTATTTTTATTATTTCAAGTTGTAGTCGCTGTAGCTATGTTCACAATACTTTTTATCCCAAAAATGGATAGGACCGCAGTTGTTACTCTTAACTGTGATGGTGAAGCATCTTTGGAAATATGTTCAAAAAATGGGTTTTCTACTAATGTAATAAGTAACGTGATATCGAAGACTGTGCATAGAAATTCCTCATGTCAGGTAGGCTGTTTGTATTTCCTCATTTATTATATATTAAATTTTATGTCTTTATGCTTTTAGGTATCTTGTAAAGCCACAGAAGAAATTTATACACAAATGTGTTTACATTGGCAAGCATTAAAGTTTTGTAATATTACAAATTCAAGCATTTCTGATACTGACAGATTTGATTTTACTGTAGAATTTGACATCTTTCATGATTTGAATGTAAGAGTACATATACTTTATTATGTTTATTATAAGAGTAAAAATATAATAGTATTTTGTCCTACAGTTAGATAAATGTGTATATATCCATCACTTTATGGCCAAGTTCCCGAATAATGAATTGCATAAGCCAGCTTGTACAAAATATACAAAAACACTGTGCACTGCCACGTGTCATGATAATCCAGCATTCAATCAATTGTTGGAAGAAGCTGAAGTTGTAGAGAATACTACACAGTTTCAGTTATTTTTATCAGCATCTGTAATAAGTTGGGTCGGAATGGCAGTTGTAGTTAGCATAGCAGATGCTATATGTTTTAATCTCCTTGGTTGGTATCATGTCAATTATTTAAATATTTCATAATTTCTTTACATTTATATATTACAGGAAACGAGAGACGAAAGGAATATGGAAAACAAAAAATGTGGGGTAGTATCGGATTCGGTATTTTTGGAATAAGTGCAGGATATTTAGTAGACGTTTTCAGTAAAGGACAGTCTGAGAAAGATTATAGTTGTATATTTTATATTATGTTGATCGTCATGATTTTTGATATTATCGTATCGGCAACTTTAAGAAAGGTATTAACTTTTTATACAAACTATATTTTCATTAAATGCGAGCTTAAATAGTACAGAAGTCTGATACTTCTAACTTATCAAAAGAATAAAAAATTAACAGGTAATGGGAGAAAGCAGTATCATTACAGAAAAATCCTGAAAACTCTGAAGATGATCCATCAATATTGGGAGAAATAGCCACCATCTTTAAAGACGGTAATGTGTTGGCATTTGGATGGTGGTGCATAGGTGCTGGAATGTGTACTGGTGTAATATGGAACTTTCTATTCTGGTACACCGAAGACTTAGCGACTAGCGCTCAATTTACGTGGCTTAAAACTTTACAAGGCCTTTTGACTGGTATACAGTGTTTTATAGGAGAACTACCATTTAATTTTATCTCAGGAAATGTATTACGAAAATTGGGCCATGTAAATGTTATGAGTTTAGTTTTATTAGTTTATGCGATTAGGTAAGGAAGTTGTAATTTTTGTTTACTATAATTTTTGTAATAATAAGCATTCTATTTTTACAGATTTATGGCATATAGTACTATATCAAATCCATGGTGGTTTTTAATTATTGAAGTCCTTCATGGGCCATCGTTAGGTCTTTGCTGGCCAACAATGGTATCTTATGGTGATAAAGTAACACCACCTGGTACTAAAGCTACAATACAAGGGTTCATTGGTGCTGTGTTTGAAGGAATTGGTTAGAGAAAGTAAACGATAAAAACTAAAATATTCAATGTAACTGATTTGCTAATATTGGTAATTAATTTTAGGGGTGTCAAGCGGCAGCTTAATATGCGGATGGTTAATGGATTCATATGGAGGTATTACAACATTGAGGGTATTTTCAGTAGGTGCACTACTGTGGTTAGCTTGCTTTTGGTTTATTCAGTTGTTGGTGCGAAAACTTAAAGTACCGCCGTTACATTTGGGTCATAATCGTGAGTAACGATTATGTAGATACGAAAGCAACATCAATCAGAATTATATTGAGTACTTAACGAAACTAGTTTTTAACTGAAGAAAAATATTTGTTATTTGATTTTTTCCAGATTTGGTGAATTATGCCAATCCAGACGATGCAATTCTTTTGACAATGAATCGTGAATTGCATACGTATTAATAAGAATAATTTCATATACCTGTAGCCGATTTACTCAAATGTGGCTATTTTAATTGAACATAATATAGTGTATTTTTTGTATAACCATATTCGTGATTCATTTTTACAGCATTCTCTGTACAATAGAACTCCGTTTATCCGAACATGTCAGGGGATAGGATAGTTCGGATAATACGAGCTTACTAGTTTTATTAGTACTTATTTAGTTCCGATAGTAAGAGTTCACGTTAAATACATCGAAGTCTGTACGTTTTATTGACGTTGATATATGCTTTGAAGTCGATGGTATTTTATATTATGTTCAACTATTTCTTCAAGTTGCACATATAATTTATTGTGAACACAAGAAAAGTTTGTATACTTACATTCCTCATATCAGTAGGCATTCATATAAACCGGAACTTCGCTGGATCGTAGTTCGGATAAAAACAATATGCATAGAGTTCAGATAAACGGAATTCTATTGTAACGTTATTTTATAAATAAATGTTGATTATTCAGTATTATGTAGCAGATGTAACACATAGTATTCAATAATATATTGATATTTTGAAGTGAAATTGTTTCTTATCTTTCTGATTTCATTAACAGATAGAAAATGATTTTATAAATATAAATAATAAATGAAATGATCGACAGATGTAAAAGGAGAATTATGTCAGGGTATGTTCAGTTGAGACTTAAAATTGCTCACAAAATATCTCAACCATTTATTCATTGTGAATTCATTTCTTAAGATTGAAATCATATCATGCTAGTAATTTTATTAATTACCAGTATATTTTCAATTATTTATTGAAATCACGCGATAATAATATTTTTTTATGATTTCTGCATAATATGTTGATAAAAAGCTACAAATAACTTTCTTCGGATTTAATACCACGGCAATAGGTAACAGTTGCACGCGTGCAAAACAGGATAGCTGCATGCGAAAAGACTCGGTGGTCATTTTTGCGTAGCGTTATTCTTGTTTAAGATTTCGTCTCTGTTGATTCTGACGAGATGGCGAAGTTGCTTGACTTGGCGCAGGTTCGACGATAGCTTGAAGATTAGAAATTTCACCTGCGGTATCACAGCAGTCATTCATTATAATTCCAGTACTTGAATGAATAAAGGCAAGGCTTCCTTCGCTCGATGAAGCTAAACTAGCTGACAATGGTGGGGATCTTTCCTTAGGTGACGCCGAGGATGCTAAATTGTTTATGGTGGTGGTACTGCAAGTCGCTGTTTCTAGAGTACCATGAAGTTCAAGTATACGCCCTTCAAGAAGAAGATTGATTTCGACTTGCGCTTTATACTTTGATTCGACAGCTTCTAATTCCGCCTCATGCTGATCTTTTGTTTCTTGTAAAAGCCTCTGCAATTCTACGAGTTGCGCTTCTTTTCGCGCCTCTTTACTTTCTAGTTCACTGAGGCGTACTTTCAAGGCTTCTATGAGAGATGTTCGTGATTCCAGTTGCCGCCGCAAATCTAACAAGTATTAAGATGTATTTTAAGTAATTTTTTCTTTACTTTCGACGTTGTTAATAAATGATTCAAACATACTTACTAGTCAATTCTTCCGCATACGATTTCTGTATCTGCGTTGCTTCTTGCTTGGTCATGGGTGAAAGACCATCTGTGCTCTCTTTTAATTTTAATTGTGCCTATGCAAAAAACAATTTTGCAGGTTAACATTCAAGCGAAGATACATATACACAGGATGAGTCAGTAAAAGCTACCACCTTGACTACCATCTTACAAACAACGTGGGCTAAATAATTTATAAATTACAAATTTTGTATATATATCAAATTTTATAAAGTATTACCTCTCCAAGTAGAAGGAACTTCTTCTGTACAGTATCAAGGGTACGTTCTAATTCTTTACTACGATCTGCAGCCTTTAAAGCTACCCTTAATTGATGCCCTGCATCAAACAGAGAAGCCTCTGTAGAACGAAGTCGTTGTTCACAATCTGTTACTTTCTTTTGTTCGTCTTTTAGTTCAAGTTCAACAGATTCTAAACGATTTTTCAGTGTCTGATTCTGTCGTTGTTCTTCTACGCACTGTACATTATTGATCAGATCACTATATGGATTATTTTTTGCAACTCGATTAATAGATGTGTATTGAGGTTACCTTAATTTTCCAATGATGTACTGCCTCTTTATATTGATTCTCAATTTGACAAGCTTCTTTCTTGTTACGTTCTAATTCAGCCTTTAACCCCTCTACTTCTTTTTCCATTATTTTCAAACGATCAGTCTAGGTGATAAGAATGTTGTGTTTAACTAAAGTATGGAGAAACGCCAGCAAATTTTATTTCGAGTAAATAATGCCAACTGACCAAAGCATAATTATGTTCTTCTAACGCGCGCGAATCCCTCAGTTTACCGAGAAGTCTTCGATTACGTTCAGCGTGAACCTCTCTACGCTGCCGCTCAAATTGCAATTGCATTTGCATAAGTTGCAACAACTGAGTTGCACATTCGATGTCTAAAGTATCATCTTCCCCCGCCTCGCAATCTCCATCGTTTTCTTTCCTTTGTTTCTTCGCTGTACTAGCCCCTTCAAAGAAAATGCTCCATTAAAATTGCTGCCAATTTAAAAATGTAACGTTTATTCATTTTATATTGTACTAACTCGTTTTATCGCCAGAAAAGTTATTAATACGCGTGCAAGCTTCGACATATTGATCTAGCATCGTAGTTGGCGATAATCTACTTTTAGTATCTTTCTGGACATTATTCTGCACGTTCATTCGCGTTTTTTGATCTAAGATACCGAGTAACAGATATTCGTATGGAAGCAAATCAAATGTTTGAGTTCCAGCCTCTTCCAATTTTTTCGTCCCTATTATTCGTTTTTCTTCATTTATTTTCGCCCCTATTATTAGTTTTCCTTCATTTGCTTTACTATGACCAATTTGATTTTGAATTTCGATATCGGGACAAGATTCACTTTTTCGAATCTATAAATATACATACCTTTTCATTATGTTGAAAATCCTTTCCCTTTCGTTAGAAATATTATACATATGCGTGTAATACTAAAAATATATTACCTTATGAAAAGAATTAGAATTTGAAAAGTGTTCTGAAGTCTGACTTTGAGAATACAAGCGCAACTGATAAACCCTTTGAGATAAATCTGTGAAAGCATTTTGCAACTTTTCATTGTGTTGTTCTGGCCGTTCAATATGTTTCGAACTTTCGAATTTTCCAGCAGCTTGAGAGCTTACGATTTCTAAAACCTGCATAGTATAATGTTAAACAGATACATTAACAAACTCTTGTTGTTATACAATACATCCACGTGCAAAAGTATATAAAACACAAAACCTCTTGATCTTCTTGCCATGAATCGTTCTTTCCGTTCTGATTCGTATCCGTTTCAGAAAATCTTCCATCTTCATCGACATTGACAGATGACTTTGGCTGAGTAACAATTTGTCTATCTGACATTATCTTGCTTATCTTGTGCGAAAGAAATCCATGTGCATTGTTTCCATCTCCACCTCCGACCACGGAACCAGATACAGGTGGATTTACAGGAACCGGGGTAGATGGTCGTGAACTTGGTCCTACTGTACCATTACCAAATGCAGTAAGAGCACGAACAGCAGCAGATCCCATCGGTATTTGTCTCGTTGACAATTTCCGTAAATCCTGCACGAAATTTAAAGCATTATTTTAATTACTTCTTCAAATGTTATAAACGTACTTTAACAGGAGTTGTTTCGGGAGTGGCTTCAACCGCAGCTTCTGGAGGAGAAGTACCGCTTCTATTATTGGGTGTTGACGGGGCAGATCGTTGTTCATGAGTTGTAGCTGGAAACTGAGGACTCTGCGGTGGGACAGTCATACTGGGTGACCAAAAAGTTTCATCTTCACCATTGATCGCTTCTGATGGTGCTATTCCTCCACTGGCACTTATTGGAATACACACAGAAGAATAGTCTAAAATATGTAATATTAATAAAACCACATTCATAGATGTAAGAAACAATATCTACTCATTTTAGTAAGATTTACAAACCTAAAGGTGGTGTAGAACGTGAATTAGTGTTATTAAATATTTCTTCTCGACATTTATCTAACGTAAAACGACCACATTCTGCCATAACATCATGATGTTCCATTTTCTTCCACCTAAAATTGAACGAAATAGATAATAAATGAATTTCTTCTGGTGTCGTCGCCGCTTCTCATAATAAAGAACATACCTAGTAGCAGAAATTTCCGTGTCTTTTGATGCAGTAACAAGTAAAGGGTGCATCCGTACCGAGTCCAACATCGGTCGAATGGTATGAGTAAAAGTAGCTAATTGATCTCGTTGAATATATAGCTGCTTTAAATATGAAATAAAGTTGCAAGGATACAGAGCATATAATCTGTGAAATAAACTGTACAGCCCTACCTATAAAAAAGTGAATAAAGATAGTAATTATTGCCTCTTATTACTTTGCATTCTTAACACGTACTTGCAAATGTAATAAGTATAAATGATTTTTATCAATAACCCCTGTTACAGATGTAGAAGTAAAATGCATAGGAGATGAAAATACGGACGACGACTGATGATGATAGTAAGAAGCCAATCGACCAAACACTTCGAAAATTTCTGGAAGATATGGCCCTAAAGCAGCAGGTAACATTGGTAATAACATCACCAAGAGGAGAAGTGAACTCATTAGAGATAATGTATCTGCTTCCATCTAAAATTAAATGAATCATAAATATGAGTTTATTCTGTAATTTTGATTACAGTTTAATTATACCTTAAGTAACTTGAGTAAATCCCGAAACAAAGTATGACTGGTAAGCTTGTATAACCAAGTAGGTTGACGCCGAGCAATATGACCTAACAATGTAAGGGTTTGAATTCTTTGGCTGTTGCTTCCTGATTTAGAGAGAGCTTCTGATAAGCGATCTAAAAGATGTTTGTCATGTGGATCACGAACACCAGCTAACACCTCAACAGCTCTCAAAGAATTTGTAGATAGATAATAATCAAAAAGACCATTCACCAACCAATTGTCTTTTGCTAAAAAAGAGTATAGAGATTTGTAAAATAATATTAAGATTACAGAGAGATTTAAATTTATAATCTTACTTACTACATAAAAAGAATTCATGGAATACTTTTTTTATTTCTTCTACCTCTCCAAGTTTATTAGATTCCAATAAGTTAAAGAGATCAGTGATGCCTATTGAATTAATGTTCATTTTGGTGGTAATTGGCACTCCAATATAGACAAACGATACTTATCCTGATCGTCTGATCATATAATGGAAGGAGAAGCAAATATAAAATTTAGTTTTATCCATTTGTCATTTGTTACGTGAGGCAGGCTTCGCAAGAAGCAAAAGAAATTTGGAATACCTGAAACAAAGAAATATGGAATTAAACGAATTTAATCTACAAATTCTAAAATACGAGATTTTTTGTAAAAGTTTGCTATCATGAACTGTCAATTTCGTGAATCAGCACATGATTTGTAGAGCTGTAATTCTGTATAGAAATATCTGTTAACGATACCATTTTAATGTTATCCAACTAAGAATTTCGTACAAGATATTCCTAAGTTATTGGTACATATTTCATCCTGGATATATAAAAAAACTGTTGGTTCAGTCCTATGATATTCGTAAAAAGGTCATTCGGAACAATGTCTGCAAAAAACCTTTTGTGAATATTACTTGATTTTTTAAATAAAATGTCCTGAATACTGCTATAAATACATCAATGAAAATTAACAAGTTAACTTACCCGAAGCTCATCGAGTACTTCGAGCAATTTTTATGAGTTTTATGGCGACTGGTACACCATCACAGATACATCATAGTCTGGCACATACGCATTGGTGTCGCCACAAACGAAAAGCACCACAGTCGCATAATTATTCTTTATATTTACGTTCCGAAAGTTATTCAAACCTGTACCGGCATTTTTTGCTTTCAATTGTAATTAAATGATTTTTACGGAATGATTACTTTGTAAATGCAAATTGATACGTATACTTATATATACGTTAATATTATAAATAAATTAAATTCTAAATAAACCAAGTTTGGTACTTCATTCAAATTCTGATAATCGATATTACTTGAAATACAACAGTTCTTCAGTTTATTTGATTCATCATTTAAAATTGTTGAAATGTTGTAACAAAAAATATTGATCATCTTTTGTCCCACGAAAGAGTATCAAAATTTGTGTATCTTAAAAGTCTACCATTTAGTTTAGTTTTTATTTTCTTCCACAGAAGATGGCGCTTGAGGATTCTATTCTGCTAGATGTCTAACGTGATCTAACCACACCTAACCACAATGTGATACCTATCTATGATCTTTTATTGATTTCATGATCATACACACAGCGGGCAAAAATAAATGGAAAGCGAAAATCGGTGATATCTAATGTAAAAAAATATAAAATATAAATAGAAGAGACATTGTACTCCATTTTTTAAATATATACAAAAATATATGTCTGAGAGAAAAACAGTATTTTGGTTATTGAACGGAATATATTGTGATCAATAAGGATTAAAAATTATGAAACTCTTGCTCACTGTTTATATGCTTTTGGCCAGTGTTGGGTAGTCCCAGTGCATGCGCAGTAACCTATCCGTAAAAGTCCTCAGTAGCGTATACACTTTGATGAAATATAAGGCATCATTAAGCCCTAGTGAGAAAAAAAAAATAAATCTGAAGAAAATTGCAGGAAAGAGAATAAAAGGGTTAAATAATACAACAGATTATATATAATAAAAGTAATATTAAATTTATTTATGATTATTATTATTTTTTACGTTTGCAGCCAATGTGTTATACGAATACCAATATTTGTTGCAAGAGCAAAGGAAAAAGATACCGCACGATTTTTATCAGATCTATGCATGTTAACAAAATAAAATCCATGTATTTCTTTGTTATTGTTACTCTGATATTATAATTTTCACATGTATAAAATATAGTTATTCAAAAAGGTCCTTCCCAGTCGTTTTTCTTAAATAATAAATTCATTTAGTGTTTTCACAGTTGCATTTCCAAAATAGTAAATTCATTTAGTCTTTCAAACGTTATTGTGTTTTCTGGTATCTTAAATTAAATAATGTCCCATATTCCATCAGTCAGGTTAGGTCATATTATGTTAGGTCAGGGCCCAGAGTTACGTCATATTAGGTTAGGTCAGGGCCTAGGGTTAAGTTACATTAGGTTGGGTCAGGGCCCAGGGTAAGGTCGGATTATGTTAGGTCAGGGCCTAAGGTTAGGTTTGGAGACCTAACACACATTATTCCCCAATTACTGGACAGTAATTACTCTATTATAAGAGTAATTATCCTTATTACTCTTTTTATTTTCAGTAGAACATATTATTACTCATACTACTATTGTTATTATGGTTAGAGCTATTATTATTATCCGTATTACTCGTACTATTAAGAATATAATATATATTATTATCCATATTACGACTATTATTATTACTGGAACTGTAATTATACTTACTACTCTTATTATTATCAATATTATTACGCATATTACTACTTTTAT